TAGTAATCAGTCTTCGTTTACGATAATTGTATGCCTTCTGTTTGTTTCTAAAGATGGTTTATCCTTGACGAACTGGCCGGATTCTCTAAAGATGTCTTTGTTCTATAAAGTTATTATTATAGCCTCGCGGGAACCAATACCCGATCGATCATGCTTCAGTTTTGACATCCAGGCACTCCCAGTTTAGGAAAATGACATCAAAAATCCTTTAATTGATCTCAATATTGAAATTGAAATGGAAAACAACCGATTTGCACATTCATTTAGATAATTATTTGTCTCCTGTCTCTCTTTCTACTAAAATTAAAACGATCTCTCTTTTTATTTCACAATTGCGTGATTTTTTCGTTAAAATCCCATCAACTGACCAAAACTAATAAAGAAATAATAATTTGTTTTCCAGAGTAGGCCAACAAAGCAGGGAGAGCTTTTCGCGGCCGACAGCTTAAACCCGTAGTTTTTAACAAAATTGCCGCCTTGATCGAATCGCTAAGTGTTCAAGAGAAAATATAACATTTCCACTTGCTGTAACTTATCAACCAAGGGAAAGTTTTAAGAATACAGGTAACGATTTTGAAAGCGCATCACCCGCTTAACACTAATAAACAAAAGAGTTGACTGACTCAAATAATTCATGTTGATGCCTTATTTGAACAAGGCTTATTCGCCGAATGCCCTTGGTAAATGCACATGTAGGTTCAAATGATAAACAACTGTTTTTGTAAGATTTTTCTGAGTAAACTTCACTAAATAAGAAACCTGCGATAGGCTTAAGAAAAGTGTGCTGGCGAAATGATATCAAACGCGAGGGAAATCTTTGCGTTGGAGAATTGATGCAAAGGAAGAGGTGAAACAAAATCTACCTACGATAAGAAGTCGGAACATTAAAATAGAATTAGAAATTGGATGGGGAAGAGGAAGTAGTAAACGTGAACGGTCTTATTATTCAATCAGCCTGGTGTTTTCTCTTCTCAAATTACGACCTAACCGGACTATATGCCAGTTTCATATTTTGGATTCAATTAGGAAAAGTCAGCAGATGTGCAACTGGTTAATCAACGTTTTGACTTCCTCGAAGATGAATTATTGAATGCAAAATCTTGCAGAAGAAATCTCTATGACTCTGATTCGTTAATGAGGCGAAATTGAATTCTTGACCTATGATAGTCATACGGCTGTTGAACCCACAGTTTCCGCTCCAAACATCTCGAAGAATCTACAGTTTAACCTGAACTGATAAAGGAAAGCACTCTTTTTTTTGCTTGCTGGCCGCCGCTGACACGAACTTCAAAGAAGGTTAAGCAAGACGCGGCTGTCGCTCTCTTGTTTCCCTTTAAACCCGAAGTTACGTTGGGATGTAATTTAGAACCCAGCAAGTGGGTCGTTATCAGATTTTGTCGTTATCTTAAATATTAAAATCAATTGTTGGAAGCTGTGGACAGCTTTTCAGATGATAGAGTTAACATACCATTAGTCTGTATGGTGAGATTCGTTGCTAATTGCATTTTGGTAAATTGTTAGTTATATATCTAACCAAACCCTCTGACGTCGTACGAACTCATAATCAGAGGCGTTACAGTATCCCTAATGGCATATGCATTCGTATTATGCTGTAAGCGATTGGCCATATGTACTAGAGATTTATAGCACAATAAAATAACCTACGTTCCCTCAATGAGCAAAATTTAAGTGGTTCGTAAAACTCTCGCTTAGTGAGTCGAGTATTCCTATGAAATGTCGAGTAGTTTTTGCTCAGCGTATCCGCGTGGAAAAATGTTATTACCATTATTATGTTATTACCATTAAAGGCTTTTTTCAGCGACAAACATGGGGTGGTTTCGATTGCGTTGAGATCATGCTCCTAGTTCTCATCAAACCTGTGAAATGGCACGAAAAACCAATCAAAGCGCTCGATTAAAGATCGGTTACAATGCAGCTAACGTAACTAAACAGCCGCGTTAGGTTCTCTGAAAAGTAACTCACATAGAAAACTGAGAAGAAGTTGCGGCATGCTGTTCGTGAGTTGAAACCGGAAAATAGTCATCGAAACTGGATTGCTCAATAAGATGCCGTTCTCACCACACATAGTTATAGTAGAACGGCCATTGCCATTTTCAATTTCATGGGTTAAGCATACGTGCTTATGTGAAAAGATTCAAATCAACCTGATGATGACCTGCGACAAATGGAAGCTGCCAGAGGCTGGCTGTTTAGTCGTCTGTTTGTATACATTGCTTTTATCTCAATCGTTATGAAGATAGCCCCATGTGGAGTACTACCGCTGGTATTTGTTGTTTTATCGGCTGGATACTGATTCACACACAGAGCGTGTGCACTATGAGTTTAATCAAATACTGTCAAATCCCTAGGGTTACAAGGCAGAAAATAAAGCAGGATATGCGAAATTAAATAAATCTGACAAGGCTTGTGAATGGCAATTAGAAAATTAACTGGTCCTCGGAATATTGATCGCTATTTTTCATGTTGATCATGGCAGTGTCAACTACAGGTGCCTTCATTTTGAGTCGGTAGCGTGTCATATCTGTATCATTACAAGCCAGCATTGAGTTGCAATTTAATAAAAATAAACCTATGTCAGTTCAATGTACACTTCATAACAAAGCAATTCTTAATTGATTGATGAAAATATATGAAACATTAGTTCAATAGCTAACGTCGTCTTGGTAATGGACAGTTGAGAGAATAATAATTAATTGATTTTAATCCATTGTGAGCTTCTCTTTGATCTGTGGTAAAAAGCGCACTCATAATTTGGGCCTTCGAGGGCAAAATATGAAGATTGTGATTTGTTTTATCCTCAGAGCAGAGCTGGGTATATTCTTTGAGACTGATTTAGAAGGTCGCAAATTGAGACGAACGTTGCAGCCAAGTCTATTTGACTGTCAGTACTGTTTGAATTAAAAAGACAAAAATTAATTCTTAAAGGAGCTGCGAAGGATCCATTAAAATGTTTTCTAAAGCCAGGCTAGATGTACGTCTACAAAAGACTGTTTTGTGTCCTTTTCAACTAAGCTTTGTTTATTGTTTAACTGTATTGTGTGGTTATTTAATTGCCTGCCTCAATAGACTAAAACCTGTAAAGCGCGAAACAATACTTGATTAATTCAATAAAGCATCGTTTGCACGAAGCATTGTTGGGCAAAATGTTCGTGTTATAGGAAACATAATCTTTCTTTGGAAGAAGCAAAGGATTAAAGCTAGAATAAACTAGACAGTTATAAATATCTCCCTACGCAGATCACATCCCAGCTGTTAATTAATTGTTAAATTCATTTGACAACCCTACTTCCGAGCATTAAAAAAATACCTTCGCGTATTACAAAATAAGAATGGTAAAAATTTGCACCTTTTTTCGAGTAACTGCAAAAATAATTGTCTCTGGTGAAATGTTTCTAGCTGGGACATGACGTTTTGCGATAATAAGTCTTGCATTGCAAGAGTTCAACGCGTTTTTAAAAACAGATTAACCGGAATTGTTTCCAGAAATGCTTTCATGACTTGTGTCAAACAAGTCGAGACCCTACGACTAGAAATTGCCCCCAGGGCCGTGAATCTTGCGTTTGAAGTCAGTTTATGATAATGGGCTCGAATTGGACAGCTTTCAAGTCAGGAATTTTTGAATTCAGATACATACATCCACGTACACCTAAGAAACACGTCGTCCCCTTGCGTGGAGCTGATCACGCGGAGCAGATATGCCCGCTTTGTGGCGAGTTTATATCGTATTTTTGTCACTTTGCTATACCGTGTGTTCATCTAAAGGTAGGCTGTCGTCGACTTTTTGAAATTATTTCATTCTTGCTGAGGTAAATTAAAGCTGACGGATGCCCGGCTTTCAAGCGTAGTCGGCTTGACGAGTTTTGACATCGCGCCACGAGGATTGTCGAGCAACTTAACAAATGATTTTAGTGAAGGTTGTGATTATTTCAGAAGATTGTTCTGCAGCTTACCAGGTTTTACACATTGCAAAACTGTACGGCTCACACAAATGCCTTACTCGGTAGGGAGCACTCTAAACGCCTATTTAGGACACGACATGTTTCCAGCGTGAATTTCAAGATATATATTTTTATTCGTTCTGCATTATGCGCACCAAAACCTGTCGTTGCGCCCTGATTTTCCCTCCATCAGTAAACCTAGTTACAATCAGAACCATGCACAAAATCACTGAACTCTTTCAAGCGTTGTTCCGTTACGATACAGAAAGAAAACTTAATTTGATCTAAAACAAAGGAACTCTTTGGCACTCAAGACGAAAAATTACCAGGCTGTGGAATCATAAATCATTTGGCTAATGCAGCTTGTTTAGCAAGAAATTATCAGCTTATTATCTTTTAGCGTTATGAAAGAATTAGTTGTTTCCACTGTCACATGAAGTTTCGGTAAACATATTAATATATTATCAAAACTAGACAAGGAATAATTGAAATAGGGTATCGGTAATGAAATCAGATGGTGATCACATTTAGAACTCAATTATGAAAAGGTACTTTTTCCGGTAATGAGGGCTATCTAAATTCCTGGAGTGGTTTTGACGATGACGAATAAATTAGTCCTTTGAGGTCGTAGTGAAACATAATTGCATTTTTTGGCAAGAATGCTTTGGCACATGTATATCTCGTAACACTTATTTCAGTTCCATGGCAGGAGCCCAGCAATTTTGACCGTGAGAAAGACTAAATCAGTAGAATGGAGTTCAGGAAACAATCGTTCATCTGTATTTCATTCTTAGCATGTTGGTGAATAAACAAATGGTTTTAACGTAGTATGATACTCTATGTTCCATAACAAACAGTTTCAAGAAGAATGCAAAGTATTATTCATGTCGGGTTTATAACTTGCTTGAAAAACTTTTCCACAAAGGAAGCAGACAGGTTTCCAAGTTCATTAAGTGCTGAAGAAGTTTATAGTTTTTTAACAAGTCAGCTCTTAATGGATTTTAAAAAGTTTCTAGTATGCAAGCATATTAAACATATAGGATGATAAGAATATTCTTTCTCTCTTTTTTTTGTTTAAAAGTTACAAAGTATAAAAGCATAACGGACGATGACGACGAGAAGAAGTTGTTACACTTCCTATTTGATAACTATGACCCAGAAATCCATCCTGTTCTCAAGAAAACAGATACAGTTGAAGTAAAGTTCGGCGTCTCGCTCCATCAGATCATTGAAGTGGTAAGTCCAAAATGGTTCTTATGGAAGCTGAAGGGATAAGGTTACTAATGGAGCACATTTCGCTGCTCTAGGGTCATTTATACTTTTTATTGCTGCAGTGCTTGCTTCAAAATCAACCAAGCAAGGAACTTGGTTCTAAATTATAGAGAGATACCGGACGCGTCTCGCCTGTGTCACTCATTTGGGATGATTTCAATCTTTTCGAGCACAACAGGCTTGCTTTGGAATGCATACTAACCTCATAAATGCACTAGTAAAGGTCAATTTGACCCACGGTCATTTATCTTAATCAATTAAAACACGAAAGAGGACCCTTGTAAGTTCTTAATTAAAAAAAAAGGTCATACTTTTTGCTAAATTTACTAATAAATTTAAATGGCTATTAAAAATCACTATGTATAAAATTAACAAGGTTCTCTACGTATGAAATATGAAAACAATGTTAAAAAGTAAATTAAAACAATTCACACAAAGAGCCGAAGAGCTTGGCTTTAAACAAGTGAAAATACTGAAATGGCTGCCACCTTCAAAAGCCACTTTCTATTAATTATATCTTCGACATAGTACCATTACTATGACTATGAAACAAAATTGAAAGTTAGATCGAAATATGAATTGTAGCTGGCGATTTGGAACAGATAAACGAACAGACGAATTGAAAATTGATCGGACGACAAACAAGGGAGAAAATGTTGTCACTTTGGATCACGAAGCCGGCGAGGAAGAGATTTTCATTATCAATCTGTTACATCAGGCATGCATGACAGGCTCAAAATTTCAACTCCTTCAGACAATGCATACTTCCATAACTTACGATCAAAACTGCCGTGTAAATGCAAATTTTCACTTATAAATGATTGATGTAACTCATTTCTTTCCTCAAAATAGTGGGAAGAGAGCCTATGATCTAGGCGTCCTCGAATTTTCGAAATAGCTGAGGGAGACAATTAGTTAATTCATATCTTTATCACCGCATTATAATTGCATAACGGCATTTTTCTTTCAGGATTTCAAAAATCAAATCGTCAAAAGTAGTGTTTGGATAAGACAGGTATTCAAATTTCACCAACTTTCAATAAAACTCCACTTTGATTCATTTAATGCAGTTACGATTGTACTGCAAACGTAGCAAAAGAATTTCATGGATGTGAGTTCTGCCAGCGAGCTACAGTTACACAAAAATGCTCGGAAATTCAAACGTTTTAAAAATTGTCAACACAGAATACGCTGTAAATGTGCATGTTGTCCTTTCCATGTGATCTATTTAGACTCAAGTTAAAGGTAAACACTTTTAGATATGATATCCATTTCCTATGGGGCTTATTTAATAATTGTTGTAGATCAGTAGTTAATTATACCCTCCGCTTCGTCATTTGCCGTTGTTTTGTGTTGTTTCATCGCTACTGAACTTATTTAAGATTTTTCAATTCGTTTTTTTAGGCATGGAATAACCCGTTCTTAACGTGGAATAGTTCAAACTTTGGTGGTATAAAAACTATTAATGTGCATCAGTCAAAACTCTGGAAGCCTGACATATTCTTGTATAACAAGTGAGTATGGATCTTAACGCTCGGTACATTTACATGCTTGTACCCTCTGCTTTATTACAGTGTTTCTAAAGTTTGCTGTCATTCAAAATTCTTCAGCAATCGCGACCGCTTAGAGAGCTGTCTAAAGTTGCCTCCAGAGACGAGTAGAATCCCATAAGAGTTATTTGCACTTTAGTACTGACTCTGTGCATATATTGGTTTACTTTGCTTTACCATTTGATTGGTCTGAAAACTCAAGCCACCCCCTTGATGTAACTCCTGTGCGCTTTCCTGCTTCAGACCGTTTAGATGTAAATACTTTCAGTTCTAATAAGTTCCCAACGATATTTTTTCCAAGCTCTGATTGGTTTTTGTGGTTATTTTTTTTTGGGGGGTTTGTGGGCCTTAATCCCAATGCAAGGGGATGGTAGCTGTCACCATTGGTTAGAACTGGCAAGCCACGTGGGCCAATTCGTAGGATAAAATCGGCCATTGCTCGGAATCGTTCAGAAAATTTAGTCATTTTCTAAATCAAAATCTATGATAAACATTTAAGCTGAAATCAATTTAAATTCCCGCTAAGAAAAGCCTATTTTCTGCTTTAACTTGACTAGCTTAGCCAGTTACTTTCTAGTAATACTGAGGGACACTTCCGTCGACAGCTGCTGAAAAAAAAAAGTAATTTCCACGAATGTACGTTTTTTGTCGTGTTCATTATACAGTGTAGATGACTCTGACGATGGGGCTCTGGATCGTTTCAAGACTAAACTTGTCTTAAGCTCAAATGGAGACATTATGTGGATGGCGCCAAAAATCCTGACAAGCTCCTGTAAATTTGACGTTACTTACTTTCCTTTTGACAAACAGGTAAACCGACACGTGTAAGAAAAGAAATAGCCACTGCAAGTGAAACTGTGATTTGTCATTGTTTGAGTTCATTCTATCTGAATATTCAGTTCGTCTCCAGATACCATTGGTGAGACTATCAGGCTTACAGGGAATTAATTACTCTGATCGTAATCATTTATTATTTGGTGGACTGTTTGAGCTGATGTAACGGTGATATCAAAGGAAAGAAAGAAACTTATAACGTATCTAATTACCGTCATCGTAACTCCAGCAAGTGACATTTGTTATTGTGGAGTAAGCTGTTTGAAACTATCAAACAGAACTTGAAATACAAAAAAAACAATAATTGGCTAATAACAATGTTGTTTTCGTAGACCTGTAAAATGAAGTTCGGTTCATGGACATATGACGGTCTTCGACTTGACCTTATCCCAGAAGGAGGAAAGAACATGTGTGATGGAGACATTAAAAAGTTCATCAGACACGGAGAATGGGACCTGCTAAGCATGCCTTGCAGTCGTAACGAACTTGTTTACGCCTGTTGTCCAGAGCCTTATCCGGACGTTACTTACACCATGACGTTGAGAAGACGACATATGTTTTATTTCGTTAATATGATCGCCCCCTGCTTTCTTATATCAGGTAAGTGGTTGCCTCGGTTCTGAAGTTGTGTCATGGGAACTGAGAGATTATGTCATAGGATAAGATTATTTATCATAGAAACTACGGTTTTATACAAGGATTTCCAGCCCGGAGAAGAGCCGTTACAACACACATGAAAAAAAGACGATGTTTTTTCGCAAATCAGCTGCTGACACGTCATTCGCCTCTCGCGTCACTTGGTCAGGTTGATGAATGAACGGCAAAGTCTTCACCATTCTCAATCCAAGGTCCTTTGTCGGAATTTTTCGGATTATGGCTGCTAAAACACTGAAAAATCCGTATCGCTCGCAGACAGTGACGTTCAAACTTAAAAATATGAAAAGAAAAACCGAAAGTTACATATCCATTAGCTTTGGTAATGGCATTTCTCGCGACTGAGAACGAAAATCGACAGCTGGAAGATTTGCTTCAGGCCGGAAAGGAGGGAAAGGACTTCAGATTTTGTTATTTACAAAGGGTTAAAAAAAATGGCAGAACAAAGAAAAATTGATTGATTAGAATTAGACGTTGGCCAACGCATTTGAATTGTTAACTAAAAGGGAGGTATCGAGATTGCCTGGAAATCAGAGGCCAATTACAACGCAAGTCTCAAAGGGGCTGAAACTCTTACTATGTCGACCTTTAGGGAATGTTTAAAATGTTTTTGTTAAACATGGCAACCTTTGTATTACTTTTCAGCGCTGACCCTGTTGTCTTTCTATCTTCCTCCTGAGTCCGGCGAGCGTCTCACACTCGTTATTACAAATCTCCTGGCCTTGACAGTTTTCATGTTGTTAGTAGTAGAGATTATACCAGCGACCTCTGAGACTGTACCTCTAATCTCTGTTTACTTTTATGGCAGTGTTTTTGAGGTAAGCTAAAACTCATTCAAACTTTTGACCAATCCTGGTTTGGGAGCGATCATCTCCGCTGTGTATGCTTTCAGGTGTAATTCCAGCTATCAAAATTAACTAAATATCCATCGGATCATTTAGTGTCGAGTGGAATCTGGGACTGGAATTTTCTTTTTTGTGTTCTACGATTGGTCGCCCTAGCAAACTTTTTAACAAATCAGTTGAAAAAGCGAACCACATCAAATCGTGTTCTGGTCATTGGTGATTTCCCGAGCTTGAAAGAGTTTGTATGCATTTGTGATATTATCCGCTTTTCAGTCCGTTCATTTTCATTTCTTTGCTTTTTCTTTCCTCATTTTGCTATTTTCATCAGCCGGCATTCTTACAAAATGAGTCGTTGATGTCATGTTATTCATTTTCATTATGTTTTTTAGGTGGCTTTGGCTCTCGTTGCAACGTGCCTCGTCTTGAGGTGCTATTTCAACAACCCCTCACATACACCCGTTCCGAACTGGGTGCGTCACATAGTGTTGGGTTGGATGGCTCGACTTACTAAGGTACCTGTCAAGAAAATCCTGGATGGTATTGATCCTAAAGAATCCTCAAAGAAAGACCCAAAGCAAGATGAGAACGATATCTCAGAACCTGGAAATGTTGTTCAAGGGAAGATTCCAAACACCTCGCGTCGTAATTCATCACGTGATCACCTGTCACACATTTCACCCAATCTACCTGGCGATATACAGCCAAGACTAAACCTTTTACCGTCAATTCAGCGAGCTAGAAACGCGAATCGTTTAAGCATGCCCCACTTTTACGATGGTATTCAAGTCGGCGGTGCCATGAATGATCTGATTAGCAGTCACGCTGCCTCGAGGCACAATCTTCTGGACATCGCGCCGCCATCGCATTCTAAGCATGTGAAGTCAGCAGACGACGTTAGAGGTACTGCTGATGGCGTGACAAGACAGCTGTTAGAGACTCAGACAAATCTCGCCAAAGATGTAGCCGAGGTAGTGCGATATATTCAAGACCAGGAGATGAGCGACCTAATGAAGGAGGAATGGCAACTAATAGCTATTATCATTGACAAATTTTTCCTCTGGTTGTTTTTGTTCATTCTGTGTGTTTCTACGGTAATCATCTTCATGCAAGCTCCAAGCTACGCGTGGTCTTAGAAATCTGATATTAGATGTAGCTAAAAAAAGGATTTTTAACTGGGTGTTTAATACCAGCAATTTATCGGTATTTAAGTGCAAACCAGGCTATTATTTTCTTATAAGTCATTACAAAGGGGAGAGGGGTAAATGTACTCTGAGCTCCTCCAAGGACTTTGGTCGATCGAGCAGCTAGGAGGAAGGGCGAAAAAACCAGTGACTTCCCAAGAAATATTTCTTTGAAATATCGTAGCATGACTAAACTGGAAAGATAATCAAGTACCTATAGTCACAGGCAAAACATTTAGTAGACGCTGCATATTGGTTGAGATCATTTATTTTAATGGGCAAGCATTGCCTCCGACCTACAGTAGAAAATATTGAGGTGACTTACACAAGGCTAATGCGACATGATGCAGTGATAGTTCTGACGTGTTCTTTGCCGAATTTTGCGGAAAAAAAGTATGTTTTGGGATAACGTTTAGTTTGTTGCATGATGTTTAGCTGGTTTGAACTCAAATGCAACATTAAGCGGGAACAAAGTTTCCTCTTTTTGCAATATGGTGCCTGGTGCACTTCTTCCTAATGCAAACCAAACCCAGAACAGAGTAGAGAAACAACAGAAGATTCGGACTTGCCGTGATCAGTTGACACACGAACTTTCCCTGAAAATGAGCTTACTGCATGCATTCATGACGGCCCCTCCCAGTAATGTTTACGACTTCTTACCAGCAATTAATATAATAGAACAGTGGATAGCGTTGAAGGCGCATTTTGATTGGTTACTCAAATCCCAAATATCCTTTGCTATTCACCTCCGAGTAACGCGCGGGATTTGCCCCCGAAAATATTATGACCGCGTTACAAGAATAAATGAGTTAAAATCATCTTTCTGTGCTTAATTATCTTATTGTTTTAGGATATGCTAAAAACAACTACAGTGTCAGTGGCTAGCTGAGGATATTTACCTCGCCGCTTGGCGGTTGGGTAAATATCCACCACGAGCGACCTTCACTTCGTTGAATAGCTGTTAATTTTTTCTCTTCATGATACTGACAAAGTTCACTAATGAACAAAATTGACTCAAAGGAGCTATCGCAAAAGAAAAGTTTTGATAATCACCCTTTTTATTAGTCTGATAATATACCTGGTAATTGCTTCTTAGCTCATCTGGGATTTTCACAATAAACCTTTCTAAGTGAACAATTTTATGGTCGCTCTTTAGTTCGTATGATTACAAAACTGAGTATACCAAGTGATTTAGCAAGTATATAACTGCCTCTTTTACATTCCTACATATTTCTGTTTTTGGAAGAGTAAACCTAATTAAGAATATCTAAGACTATTCTTCAAAGATTCAGTACCAGCTTAGTTGGATCCTAATTTCTATATATCTTTGTGTCTGATAGAAAGAGTAACGCATATACAGTTATGCTATTGGTTACTGTCCGCTGTATTCAGTTTTCCACCGTATGAACGACAGCGTTGTTCATAACAAGACCATAAACCTCAAAATAAACGTTTACTTCACCACTTTGATACTATTGCTGTTTCTTTTTTTTCCACTTATTTTCCGATTATTCCATTTAATCCTCGCAGTTATAATTTTTATTGCAATAACGTGCCATGCAGTGATCATTATCTAAACCATGGAAAAATAAAAGATTGTTAATGTAGACAGAAAGAACATAATTAAAAATAACATACGAAAAGCACGATCCAAAATAGCGACCACCGTGTTCCACTCGTCTTTTTTTTCCTGCACATCTTCGTTTTTGGCTACTTCTTTGGTCAGAATTTGAACACATTCCAGCAGCTTCTCCTGCATTTTCAGCATTTCTTCCACTCGCCTGTCGCCGTTGTTTAAAGGCTTCCTGACCTCGCCATCTGTTCCCGTCTCAGAGTTATGCTGCTCTACTCCATGATCTTCATTACTGCTTAGACTCACATCGCTGGATTGTATGCACCAATCTTCCACCTGCGAGACGGCCATTCTCGGGATAGATTCCTGCTCCCTTAGTCCAGGCCCTGATTTATAATTTCCTTTTAAGACTTTTGAATGAGAAATCCGTTTGACAAGTGAGTGAATATCGTTATGGCGTGTAGCCAGGCTGTGGTCTGGGGATGAAGCTTTGTATGTGGAAGCGTTCTCAATCTTGGTTTTTTCATTTACTCTGTACTCCATTGCAATTTTATTTCTGTGCAGAAAAGTAACATCACCTAGTTCTTGTATTTCCTGTTTTCTATGGCGAGGGACTTTAACACGGAGTAATTGTGCCATCCAATTGAAGACAATGTGTCGAATCCAAACTGGCATGTCTGACGAAGCAGGATCGTGAAAATGGCACTTGAGAATGAAGCACGTGGCGAGAAGAGCCAGTGAAACCTAAAGGAGGATATGTGTATCAAGCTGAATGAGCAACTGAAGACGGATATCTTGCTAGATATTAACTTATTTATGATAACAGAGGAGCGAGGTCCTTGAATATTTTCGTCGACTCTGAGAGTTATAATATGTATTAATTGACTGAGTAGGGAAGCCGGACGAAAAATATTTGGCTCAAGGTCATGACGTACGGATTTTAGCGCAGCGAGGTCCGTGCGTCATGACCGAAAGTCAAATATTTTCCAGTCCGGGCTCTCCTACTCAATTAATACCGGTATATAATACAAATAACAAGATATGGAAACAAAGATATATCAATTCGACCAAATGCGATTAAAATGTTCTTCGACAAACTACGTCTTTGACATTTTTCTGATTTTAAAATTAAAGGAGTTGACAGACATACCTCAAAAATCGCACCACTAAAGTATATTGATATAACTGGTATCACTTCTGAAGTTGATGGCATGATATCTGCCACAAGCAACATGAACACAGTCATGGCTAACAGGTTTGTGATCACTAACGTGATACGTTCACCAGAATCAGGGGGAAGGTAGAAAGCCGTTACTGTCAACACTGTAATGGAATAATACATGTATGAAGGTGATAAGTTTCTAAAGTAACTGGAATGCTGCGATAGTGTATGTGTGTGGGGCGGGGGGGGGAGGGGGAGAGAGTTTTTACAGGATTTATTAACTTAGATGATATTGAAAATTGGCCACCACAAAGAGTTTTAAAAACAGCTGACATTTTGAGGGTTGGCCCCTTGTCAAAGCGAATCGGGCATTGACGAAGGGCTAGCGTTCGAAACGTCAGGTTTAAAATCATACGTATACGTCGAGATCCAAATTACGTTTTACACTTAATAGAATGCCTGAAGAACAAATCAGATGGTCTCTAAAAGTAACCTCTCATCACCGAGAAAATGTGAATTTTTCTTCATCAAAATGGTAAGGACTTTGATTGTCATTATCATCATCTTGACTGAGGACAATTTTAGTTTGCGAGGTTATCATAATAAAGGTCAAATTTTTTTTATGGCTCAGCTTATAATTTATTACTTTTGCAGTTTCTCTTCGTTACCTGTTATCAGCAGACATGGTATGATCAGATTCATGTAATAAAACAAAGCCAATCTCTGTATTCTCAGGGTGTAAGTAACATCCGGGTAGGGCTCTGGACAACAAACGTAATAGATTACATTCCTCTTTGCTGGAAACGAGATGAGTTCCCATTCGCCGTTGCTGACAAACTTTGTCGTGTCTGCAAGGAGTGCCTCTGGTACCATGTCCACACGAAAACCATCGTACGTCCAGGAACCGAATTTCAGATCACAAGCCTGTTAGTAGACGAATCATAACTGTCAAAAACTTCAAACTGCTTGTTCCTTTACCGTGATTCTAGGTCTCATGAATTATTTTCAGGGACATCTTCAATTGAGTGCCGAATGTAATCCGGAATTGCTTCGTTTTTGCAATACTTCCTTATGTGATTGGTCCAAAAACCTCGCGCCACTTCCTAAACCAATCAGATACAAAACTAAAACCAACCACAACTTGATCATTCGCGTTTCCCTGCTCTTCGGGCGGTTTGCTTGTTTGTACTTCGAGTTCTCAGTGGCTATTTATGGTGATATTTCCTTGCTCAGATTGCATGGCTGTTGTGATTGCTTTGGTTCTCGTTTTACAAAATTCAATCGAACTGTGCTCTATCTTTGAAATCCGAACGTAACCTTGAATCACATGTTAATCAGTGGATGTTTCGGAGATCCTTACCTGGGTATCGAAAGGGAAATACTTGACGTCCATCTTACAAGAGCTGTACAGGATCACAGGTGTCAGCCACATGTTCCAACCAGTTGAGTTGATTACTATCTGTGTATGAAACTGATCCATTCCACCCTCACGTTCGTGGTCAGCGCTAAAAATTAAACTTTATTATAAGGAGCTTCAAGTATAAGTAACCAGCTACGAGCTGAAAAGTGCAACATTGAAAGAATGTTATTCGTTACTACTACTTTGAATTCTCTCTTTCGTTTTATAAAATCATTTTAAATAGAATAGTTCACTGATCACAAACTGCATTTAAGAACAGATATAAGCATATCGCGTAGAGGGTAAACGAAAAAGCTCTTCCCGAGAGTTTTTTGTGCCACAAGTGTTGTTTGTAAAGTCATATTTTAATATTCTAAATTTGGGTTTGAAACGAATGCCTGAACTGGCTTTGGTAGTTAGTCTCGTTGGTTTAATAATCAAAGAGAGCTACAGGTCCAAAAACGTTTATCATCCTCTTACATTCCTTACTCCGCTTAGCTTACAGGATTACATTTTTAACTCACTTATTGTATAGGTAGATGTCTGGTATCCAGACCTGTGAAGAGTGAACATTGACAGATTTTATTCCACCAAAGTCTGTTTGGTTCCAAACAAGGAAAGGATTGTTCCAAACCTATCAGAATAAAATGAATCATTCTACAATCAGGGTAGGGTAATTTAGTATTATCAGCTGAGTTGATAACGTGAATTGGTCACCGTAAAGGGTGTGAATGGCACATCACTAAATTTTGAGTTTAATTGATCATGCTTTTTTGTAGGGTAATTTAGCATTATCAGCTGAGTTGATAACGTGAATTGGTCACCGTAAAGGGTTTGCAAATTGAAAGCTGACGCTTCGAGTGTTATCAACTCAGCTGATAATACTAAATTACCTTGTTATACTCTTCCACCGACGCAGCGCCACAGTTTATATAGAAACTTACCCCTTTATTCATGCCTTTTTATAAATATATGAGAAGCTAAACATACAGGCATTTTGATTGGTTCTTACTTAAGATCTATTGGAAGACAGACGCATCATTTTGGCTCTTTTATCGTATAAAACAAATTATAGATTCAATACTGCCTTGGGTTTGTACAGTAATACATCACAGAAAAATGTTGAAAGAGCTTCAGTGACACACTCGGCTGCTCCTTGCCTTTTTCGTTCTTACCACATTTTGACGTCATCTGTGATCTATCTGACTAAACAGATGCACGGCAAAGTGGAATCTATATGTATAGCTAGAAAAAGCTCAATTTCCCTTCACTCATCCCTTTTGGTCTTCTATCCGATACTAGATATTATACTAGATACATTGTGCAACCATCTTTGGTAAGGTATCCAGGAAACAGAAATTCCTACCTGTCTGACCCATACACTGGTCTGCAAGAGCTGATTCTTCTCGTCCTGCAGAAAAGTAAATAAAAATAAAATATGAATCTCTCGTAGCCATTGAAAAGTTGCATCAAGCCTATCGCGTAATAGTTTAATACTTTCCGGTTGTTTGGATTGAGTTGTGGTCGTAAAACACAACACATCACAACCTCTGTTTTCGCTGGTAAGTCGTATTGAAAAAAGCGGGAGATTATTTTATTTTGTTTTGTTTTTATTTTTTGAGCCTAGAAAACGGGTAGTTCTTACTACAAGTCTACGCGGTAGACTCCAAAACCCATCAGCAACTTAACTGAATATTTATGCAACAGAAGTGGACAACCTTTCTACATCGTTGTCTCCATTTGCAACTTTTTTTAAATTTCATAGCGAAAAATCTCCGAGGAACTCTTTGAAAATAAGATTCTGGCAGACATGAAGTAAGCGTAAGGGTGTAAATGAAGCTTAGGTGGATATTTGTAATGTGCTAATTTCTGATTTATTATCAACAGTTCTTCTAAAGAAGTTAGTGAAATACAGGAAACCTACTACATTAATGATCTGGTGAAGAGAAACGCCAAAGGTGACAGTGACGCGGTCTGACTTGTTCTCGACAGGCCGCAATTGTGGATTGTAGTTGGTAAACAAGTATTTCAACAACCGCTGTTCGTCGTCGTCGTCTATTCTCATCTCAGGTGCAGAGTTTCCTGGCACTAGTCAATCACAATTTAAATGAATTAAAAATTTGATTTAGTAAAACTGCATCAAGTGAACATCTTCACTTAAAAAAAAGCAACCTAATTTGCCCTAAAATGGCTGATAAATCTCGGCCACACACACAAGCAATTCAGTAATGTTAAGGACACCCACACTCATCTACAATTCATGAAACAACACAGTTAGTACTCTTCGAAAAAAAAAGTTCAGCGTAAAGCAGGTCCATAAAGACGCATATCGTTGTGAGTTTTTTTTTCTAAATTTATTTTTTTTCAGGAATCAAGTGCTTCTTCTCTGCAGTTTTTATAAGTGTGGGACTTAAAACCCAAATTTGAGGTTTACAGTGGTAGTGAAACACAATGAGAACACTTTTCATTTTCACTGCAGGTAATTCAATCAGTTTTACATATGCGGTTACCGTTCGTATTTGGTTCGAAAATGCGGACGTGCCTGCGTGTTTCATCGCAGGTTTTAAAAACCCTTTCTCTTTGATTAACCTACCTTGTTTTGTTGAACATCCCGACAGAAAATAAATGGCAAGAAAAATTATTTTTGGAAAGGTGAAATCTCTGATGAAAAGCCACATCTTAGCATACGCAGCAGAAACCCAAACTCCAGTCTCAAAATCAGTACGTAGCTACGGACGATAGAGAATTCTGGCAATTGTCTTCAATCCTTCTCCTTCTTAGAAACTGAAACTAGAGTAAATGATAAAAACCTCCCGTGAAAAGTCGTCAATATGGTGATAGATAGACATGCAGTTGCTTTTACACGTGTTCAAACCCAGTTATATTAGGGTCCCCTGAAGGCATTTAGTTCCTTTTTGAACAAATAATTCAAAATCATGTCTCAAGCCGGTTAATAACATCTTAAAATGTTGAATTACAGAGTTAAAGAGGATGCGGTATAGTGGAATTAGCAAATGATTGTTCCGCTTCTCCAAAGGATTTGTGGCCGGGAGAGCATTTGATGGGCCTTTGTAGAGGATGTTTTTGGCGCAGCAAGTCACACTTGAATTTTTTTTCATACAAAAAGTCTATCATCGTAATTCTTTGGCTCTTGTCGAGATTCACTGCGCGATGGAATTAACAATTACCCCCAAAAAAATAAATAGAACGAAAAAAACAAGGGCTGTTGTGATTAAATTACTTCCCTACCAACAGAGCTTATTATGCATACATCATCCTGTTATCAAGGAATTGAAAAATATTTTTACTTCCCCTAATACGATGTCTCTTTCAAAATGAAATAATACGCGAAAAAAAATTAATAAGAAATTAAGGAATATTGATAAACCGAAATAAAGAACCGCCTTAATGCATTTCAGGTGAAGCTCTGATGTATCTGATGATGCTTCGAGTTAAAAAACTCCACTCGCTCGCTATAAAAGTAGAAGTGTTTTCTTCCGGTAATTTCAACGCCTGGGAAGCAGATCAAAACTTTTTCCGTCTTCATTTGCTTTGGAAGTCTTAGTGAAAATTATGCCTAACAGACGTTTGTGATGTTATCTGTTTAGACTAAGCCGGTATATTCAGTATTTCACACATTTTTTTTAAACGAAAAGTTACACATGCCAATCTTTTACGATTCCATTAAGCAAATTTATCATTCCAGCCCTAAAAATTGCGTTTGGAAAAGTCTTGTCCTCGAGTAAAGGCACTGTGTTGGTTACAACAATTCCAATTTTTTCTTGGGGGATGACAGAGCTAAATGTATATCGTGGAATTCACCGATCCTTTACTAATGTTATATACTCAGCAGTTAAACAATTATTGGCCGATCGCGGTTAAATCTTCTATTTTGTACCACTTTAGAGAGAGATTACAACTTAATATCTTTAACAATGTGGCTCCCTCCAATTTCAAAAGCCTAATTTACATTTATGATAATTGGAAACAAGCAGGTTTCTGACTCGAACTTTTAGCGCGGGTAACTATCTTGATGTTTTTAATTGGGGTCGGTAGAGGCGTCAAAGCAAAGTTTAAATAAAACTGCAAATGAGCGTTTTGAATCACTTCCAAACCCACGAGGAAAACTCTTGCTTACATTGTAAAACACTCGTCGAACTAAAGTGGAAGGCGAATCGTCTCAACAGCCATCTTGATAAAATTCACGTTACGTACGTAGTACGTTAGGGAGAAAAAAAGCTTGGTGAAAGACATGATTAAAATAATGTATTAATTAAATAATTTTAAAAATCGGACGCATCATCAGTCAGTTACCTTCGGTAAAGATGAGCTTCTAATTTGAACGCTTTCAGTCTCTTGACTCAGGAGAAGCTTATGTTTTCGTGTCACCTACAATTAATTTTCCGAACGGTTTTGCCTTAATACAACTACCACTCCTGTTCCACACTGAAGATAATTACTTTATTTCAATGTAGTCGTGAGATAATTACTTGTGTTCTGATTGGTTCTTACTTAGCCCGTATTTTGCAATACAGACCGTCTCCGCGGAAACGGTCATGGGCCTTTATCTTTGCCTAGACAAGTCTGGTCTGAGTGCCGTGTAATTATAATAAAAAACTAATTTTGCTTGCCCGAGCTGTACTGGAAATTATTGGTCCTCGGTCGTTTTTGTCTTTTACTGCCCTCGGTCCGTACACCCCCCTGCCACGACCTCGGGCCAATATTCCCTGGTAAGGCCCTGTTAGTAAGAAGTTGAAAAGAGAGGCGTAAATTGCATTCTTTTTTGGCAGAATTGCCTCGTTAATTGAAGGACTTAATCAATCCTCATATGAGAACAATTCACTCAGGGGAGAACTAAATTGAGACTGGAACATTTCCCGAAACACAAATTCGTGACCTTCTTCTAATTCTGGAAGGCGTGCGTAGAATAAAATATCTGACCTTAGCCAGAAAGAAAATGTTGTTTATAAATTCTAACTTCCCCTATTGTTAAATGAGTCCATCCAGGCTATTGTCTCTATCTTTTCAGTCCTTTGATTATCTTCTCTATATATTCCGTTGCATGGTGAAACAATTGGTAAAATGAACAGCTGATTATATATTGTCGGGCATAAATAATATAAGATAAAATAAAATGGAATTTGGAATTCCATTTTTTCCTTACCTCAACATAAGTTTCACTGAAATGATAAATTTACCGCGCGTATAATAGTCCATATATTTTCTGAATGTAAATATTTCCAGAACCATGAACAACATCTTTTTAACAAGCACAAACTATAAAAACCCCCATACAAACTACATTTGACCGGTTCTGTCGCCCCTAATTATGTGGTAAGATAGCGTGAAAACAGATGGCTGGGCTAGTGGATACGAGTGCCATTGGATTGCCTACCGAAGACCGATTAAGGTCAAATGCATTAATTAACTTAAGGGTATCGTAGAAAATATACCCGACATCCTAGCTAATTCTTTATTTCATCCCTTGACAGCGTTTAAATACGTTTGATTCAGGTAAGCCGAGCGGTTCAGTTATGTATAGAAAGAGATTTATCAGCTCGCATTTTGAAACTTTCACCCGTCTATTTGTATTTGAAGACAAATTTATCACATCAATAATAACACTGTGGGTTGCGGCGATCCTATCTCTGAACCATTTTCTGATTCACAACAGACAAGATTGATCTGAGAAATTAAACCTAATTGAATTATGAATAAAATGTATGAAGTTTTTCTTCATTTATTTTGTTTTTAAAGAGCTAATAGTCCACTCTTTCAACTGGTCCTTCGGACACCCAAAACACTGAGGAAAACTGGGTATTCGTGATAATCACGTAGACTCAACTCCATGCAAGTGTATCACGAACAGATTAAAAGCCAAGAGAAAGGTTGTTGTTCCAAATTTACAAGGCCTGTCGTCTATCGTGTTGCACGAGGCTCGTTCGGGATCAAGTTTCATTAACCAAAATATATTGTAGAGCAGTTTTGAAAGTTGCCTTCTGCTGACAAAAACCATTTTTAAGAATAGACTTATAACTAAATTAATTTTGTCAAACAAGCATGGTCGAGTTTCATAAACATGAAAATTAATGATGTGGGTGTAAACAGGTGAAGTGCACTCTTCGTTATCATCAACAAAGGGCCCCGAAATAGACACGCGACAAAGCGGTGAGGCGCCTGAATGCAAAAATAATGCAACGGTCTCACATACTTTGATATAGTAATTGTTATGAGTAGAAATTTTCACGATTTATACCCACCAGTTAGCTCATGGTAACGACAACTTTTTCCAGATTTACTCAGAATTAAAGGAATCGCCCCTCTTTGCAATGCTTAAACCGTGTCTATAAATAGAAGAGAACTATTGGAAAAAAAGTTTGTTTGGGAAGAAAGATCCTAGAAAGGTGACGATAAACCAAAACGATATCAGGGTGGCTTGGGATCACGATAATAAGTTACAAACGACTGACTTGGAAAAAAAAGCCTTCGTTTTAAAGATGCACCGAGGGTGGCCGAAATCTTTCTAAGCCAATAAATACGTAGTTCCCCGGTTCACCGACCGGGTCAAACAGAGCACTTGTGGTTAGCAACCTTTCAGCAAAGAAATTTGGCGGTAATTGATCATACAGTAGGGCATTTTGGCAAATTCACGAACTCTTTGGGTTTGTTTGATCTTAGTTGACTTGTTCTCGGTTGTCAACCAAGCATTTACTGTTTAGGCTTACTGTGGATCATCGTCTTGTAGGCGATATTACCCAGGTTTATTTTTACTAAAAACAGTGTCTTTTCTTTACATCCGATCCGATATTGTTCCAAAGTTTTTTCACATTTAAGAGATCAATGTATCTTCCATATCAGTTACTAACCCTTCTCTTGTTCTTTAGAGATGTTCAGATAAGACCGCCAACTGAAGTCCAAGAATTTTTTCATTGTTTCTTCAACAACCTCTCGACCGGTATGTCTATGATCCGCATAAAAAAGAAGTATTAACTTCGATTCTACGTGCACAATTTCTTCTGTAGCTTTGATGTGTTTTGTCAGATGTTTAAATATAAATAAATCGGTGATTGATTTTAAACAGTTAAGTATTGTCTTCTGAAAGACACAGTTTGTAGTACTATAACAAAACATGCTTCATGTGGTTTCCGCCCGCATAACAAAGTCAACAAAGTGATAAACTTTGACATAATGTTATCTAGTTCCAGGATCGCTCTATCGACGAATTTTAACCCTCTTCACTGTGATGAGAAGCAGCTTTGTGGCGGAGTAAAACTGTTAAAGTGAAAGATTTTCGTGCGACAACAACCTGAGATTAAGATGAGTTTTGCTGTGGCAGTGGCATTGTGTTTTTCCGTGTTAAAAACCGTTTTGGGCGCAAACAATACAGGTATGTAAACATGTACTTTTCAATATTATTATATCACAATAGCTAATGTTTCAAACGTTTCACGTCAAACTAAGTCATCGTTTGGATAAATCTCCTAGAAACTGCAAATTGCTAGGCATTCTTAAAAGTAAAATGTGTTTGACTTTGTTTGGGTGGGTGTTTCGCAAAGTTTGGGAGTTATCACTTATTTCCATACTTGTATCTCGAAAACAGAAAATTGTAGCTTAACAGAGGAGCTATTATTAGGAAAACGTCGTAGATCTTATAAGGAATTGATCCTGACTTCGCTTTTAAGCTTTCAAGAGAAAACTCTCTTTTTACAGTGAAATATTTGATGTCATAACTCATTAGAAAAACTTGCGCTGCAACAGTTATGAACAAAAGGACTGACATTGCCCGACTCAGTGAGCTCCTGTATTTGACTCGATCAATTGCTGTGGATTGTCATGCATAAAATCACTTTTAACAACCACGCTTGAAGAAGACATCATTATCCTAAACATCGGAATTTGGGCTGGAGACTGAAACGTATCAGGAGAGCTCCTATATCACTTGTCAGTTAAGGGAGAAATATGAATTATTATTTCACGGCCTACAAAGTTACGGTTTTTTGGTGATTATGTCGTCCAGATGTGACTTTGTTCGGATTAAGCAAATAAAACTGATGTGGGACAATCGTGAAGAGGATAACGGTGAATTATTATGGCGATATTTGATGTGCGTGTTGGTCAAGGGGAAATGCCGTTTGGATTAATAAACGGAACTTAAGTTATCTTCATCAAAGGACTGGCTCATAAATGGATTGAGGTGCAAAAATAAAACATTTCTTAAGAAGCTTATTCATAAAAGCCACTCATTACTCCAAAAATTTAGCTAAACATGAACACACGCACAAAATCACCCTCTCGCGGATAACAATTTGACCTAACATAAGTTGACGGGTAGGCTACCTTCATTAAGCTTTCAACCGACACATTTAATACATTCCAAGGCGAAGACGCATTTATATTTTAGTACAATTTTATCCAAAAAAATGAAAGTGATCAAGGCAGTCAAACAGAGTATTGTGTGAGCTTTAAGATGATAGTGTTGAAGTCATGTTGGTACAACAACACATTGTTTTTCCCTGTGTCACCAATTGGGACTTTCTCTGTCAAAGTTAAGGAATCTACAAATAAACACAAATGCAATCGATGTGGTCTCTACTTGATGAAATCGAACCAAACTGTCAAATACTTTTTTTTCCTCTTTAAAATAAACAGTCAGGTTCCTTTAGAGGAAGTTACGCCACTTTTAAAATGTTCTCCTGTCGTGAAACCTACCAGTGTGATTAAATACGATTTGAATAGGACACTGAGAGGGTTGGGGGAGGGGAGAGAGTGTTTTTGTCTGGGTACTCTGGATTACTTCTCCTGAGAGGGGATTTTTTCCCAGGCCAAGACAGTTAGTGATTGGTTACTCCAGCCCATAATCAGTGGACTCAGGAAATTTCTGGATTGATTAATATCTTGAGAGGAAGCTTATGGTTCTCCTTAATCAAAACTTATATAGTTCTAAAGATATGGACGGTATTAAGCATCTTGTCATTTACCGGCTTGTAAGTTAACTATACAAGATAACCATGTGTTCTGAAATTTTCGAAAGAGAGTTTTGGATTGTTCACTTCTCTTATTTTTCTATATATGGAAATCCTCAAGAACACTGCAAAATGTGACATCAAGTTAAAGAAGATAAATCAATCCTTATAACTCTCCCTGATGGCTCTGTTTTAACATCTTAGTCAGTGAGGAAGCAAAAACTGTTTGATGATAGAGAAAGTTTGAGGATAAGGTGAGCGGCAAAGGCCACAGATCGACAGCTTCTTGTTTGGCAGCGGCAAGCTAATTTTTTTCCAATTTTTTTCGAAGTTATGTTCCTCGTAGCAGTTATAGGATATTTTGCTTATAATACTAACGGTAAACCTAATTTCAAAACTGACATAACTCGCAAACCATTACTTGGGATACTTTTATTATCTTCATTCAATTTTTTTAAATACTCTGCATAGTCTAAAGGGATATCAATACTTAAATTACACAAGACACTTAAAACAATAGCAAAGTACACTGAGATACCGTTGATGTGGTGTGTGACTATGTCTTACTTGGTTTTTTCTCCACTATTACAAACAAATTACACCCTTTGGTGATATATATAAAAGGTAACTTCATTGAATTTTTTTCTTCGCCGTTACCATATAGATGAGGTGAAATTCAATACAATTATTCTATTATAACAAGTTACTAGACAACACTCAACGCTTTTAAATAAACTGACGAGTCAGACTGCCCCTGGGCAGTTAATTTACCTTTCATTAATTTGCCGATAAATGATGACAAAGAATTATTGTTTCCAAAACTTACACATCGTCTTCGGGTTATAAAACTAAACAATCCGGACTTGCGATGTCTGTTTTGTCGCACTAGCTGGAATAAAACTTCGGATTTCGAACTATAACTGAAACATAATTTTCTATATAAGGACATCCTCAAGAACACTGCAAAATGTGACATTGAATGAGTTCTTGAAGCATTGTCTCTCAGAACAATTCTTTCAAGACAACTGCCAAGGATAGGGTCTGAAAAACGCGGAACGACGTCATCATACGACAGGCTCAGCATAAAAAATGAGAACGATGACGTGGAAATATATCATTCAACTACTAATTCAAAATTGTGAAATGGTTACACAGGGGTCCCACAAATTCCTTTCACCGCGCCTTCGTCTCAGCGCCATTCTTCCACGAGTGGAATAACCCACATGTCTCCCGACCGTGAGGAGCTGACCCTATTCCGAGACTTGTTCGATGGATACGACAAGCGGCTACGGCCGGCGCTGAGAAAGGAAGACAATGTTACAGTCATACTGGGTATATCTGTGCATCAACTCATTGACATTGTGAGTACGTGGTGTATGAGATACATTGTATCCCTTTTTGACCAGGCTTTTGTGATAAAATAACAATCTTATTTCAATGTCATTGATAATTTTCCCTATCTCAGGTCAGTACTGAGGGTTAGTGGAAACAGACCAAAGCTTTTCTTCTTCCTATCTGTTGTTTTTTGTTGCGAGTTATAACGATATTAATATAGTTGAGCAAAGACTGAAAAATCATGAGTAGAAAGTTATTATAAGCCTAACACTTCCAGGTACCCTGCACGGCTTAATTTTTCAAAGATCATACCTCTCAACTGATAAACATACGATTTATTTTAGCGTGTTTTGGTTTTTGTTTGCAGAACGAGAGAAATGAGCTCATGCGACTTAGCGTTTGGGTGAGGCAGGTAAGGTTTAAGGTCTTCGAGTCTCTGGGCCATGAGCTTAACCTTTTTTAAGCATCAGGCAAATGTAGGACTTCTGTTCTTCTCCGGTGCGAGTTAGTTCATCTCAGCTACTCCTTCCCCCCCCCAATAATTTATCATTTTCACAAACTTTTTTACTGGTACCCAGTCCATACTCCAGGGTGGGGAGAGTGTACGAGTGTAAGCACGTGAAGTGTGTATAGTTTTACATGCTGAATATACTGAATCAGTTTTCGCTATTTTCTTTAGAAATGGGTGAATCCTTTCCTCCGGTGGAATGCAACACACTACGGAGGAATTACGACTATTAATGTTAACCCAACAGAAGTTTGGAAACCCGACTTAGTCCTTTACAATAAGTAAGTAGTTTCGTTACAAATAGGCATAAAAATTGGATGATTGTTAAGGGTTTGAAGAGATGGACGTAAGTCTGTGTTTGATTATTAGAATGATAAATACTTCAGCTGTCAAATTACATTAACGCAATCAAAAATTTTGTGTAACTATTTTCTGAGTGTACTCACAACTTTATTTCCTTTTTCCCCAACAGTGTCGATGACAGCACAGACGGGTCCCTGGCGAGATTTAAATCACAGATTAAGGTTTCTAGTGATGGTACCAATCTTTGGTTGTCTCCAGTAATCCTTATAAGCTCCTGCAAGATCTACGTTAAGTACTTCCCTTTCGACGAACAGCACTGTAAGTTGAAGTTCGGATCATGGACTTACGATGGCTTTCAACTAGATTTAAGGCCTGAAGCAGATGAAGGTGTTTCTGATAAGTTTGTAAGCAATGGAGAGTGGGATCTGGTTGCTGTTCCCTGCAAAAGAAATATCGTAAAATACGTTTGTTGTCCAGAGCCATACCCAGACGTCACTTACGAAGTGCAGATTCGGAGAAGAACTTTGTTCTTTTTTTTCAACATGATCATCCCTTGCCTTGTTATTGTAGGTAAGTGAGTACTGGTACTGGGGCGTAAGCTATGCATTCATTAAAGAGCTCAAATGTTCAATACGCTCATAAAATAGGATATAGGTGTCGGAGACTTCGTCATTCTTGCGTGACACATGTCAGATGATGAGTGTGAACATTATGTTAAGAGGTAGAAGCACCGCCTGTAGTGATTTTGGGACATTGATCGGTTTACATAATCAACGCAACCTTGAATGACCTTTTAAATCAGTACTTATCTACAACCAATTACGAAATAGGTGTTGAATCTACACATAGCAAGATGCTCTCCGTCCCGACCACCACTGTAGCTTGATTATCATCTACAACAACACTGTGATGCGGACTGAATGTTATTTCTCTCCACAGGTCTCACAATCTTGTCCTTTTACCTTCCACCTGATTCTGGTGAACGCATCTCATTGGTCATCACTAATCTCCTTGCCATGACAGTGTTCATGTTGTTGGTGGCTGAAATCATTCCTCCGACATCAGATGCCGTATCTATCATATCCACCTTTTATTCCTGCTGTATTTTCGAGGTATGTTTCCATCACGACCGAAGTAACTTTTAGTACTTAGTAGGTAACAATCATTGGTGTAAGATGTGGAACGAGTGCTACCGTTAACGGATATTATGGCACAACTTTACAGAGGGTCATATTTGGTAGATTTCAGTGCGAACGATTAAATTTGAAGTTTGTACATTTTCGTTAACCGACCACGCGAAAAATGTGCAAAAATAGATAATTAGATAATAAGTCTACGTTTCCGTTGGCTTAGATACTCTGAAAACTATATCTAAGTTGGGAGTTATTATGGCAAACTCTTGTAAAGCGGAAAATATGAAGCCATGTTACATTCAAGTTACCTTTCCGCGCTAAGTCGGTAAAAGTAGAATTATGGAAGAAATGTTGACATCAAATCACTTGACCGCTAATGATTCTAGTTATTGAAACGATGATCAGTCTTCCTTAAATTTTTTCAGGTTGGAATTGCTCTTATTGGGACATGTGTGGTTCTCAAGTATCATTTTTCAAATCCCTCTATTCACAAGATGCCAAATTGGCTTCGCTTTGTGGTCCTCCACTGCTTGGGAAAGCTTTTTCACAAGAAACTTCGTGATGACAACTCGGAAAACCCATTAGAAACAGGAGCCCCATTCGAAAAACGTAAACTTGTGAGGTCAGACAATGGATACATCGAGGCGTTTTCACCTCGAAACGAAGCCCTGAATCAAAGATTTGGTTTGCTCGAGAGGAGACTCTCTGGATTAGCGAGTGGAAAGTGGACCACTGAAGGAAGAACGTCTTCAGACGACAGAGAACATAGCAGATCCTACGTTGGGAACGACGTCACAGAAGAGACGCGATATGATGACCAAACCTCTCTGACAAAAGCCATTACGCACAAGCAGGGAGCCATTGCAAATGCTTTAGAAAAACTGGTGGAGGCTCAAGAAGCGCAGGACGAAGAAGGGAAGCAACGCGAGGAGTGGATGATGGCTGCGTCAATCGTGGACACCACTTGCATGTGGATTTTTACGCTCACTTTGATAGCTTCGCTTATTGCCTTGTTTTTTCAAATTCCAAAATATGATTAACGCACGAAATTGATATTCTTGACTGCTTTGCATGGACGCGTGAGACTGTTTCACGCGCGCTGATCGAAGTTGACAAAATTTGACCTCTTTTAGTTATCGGCTCGGCCATAGGCTATACAGGGTTGTCGAGAAAGGAAAGTTCACAAGCTTTGAAAATTAAAGATAATTTGTCCTTAACAACTCTTTGCTGAATCTACCAAGCATTACTATGCAAGCTTGATATTAGAATTTGGTGTTACGTCAAAATGACATACTGATAAAAGGCGGGGTTTAGACTGACTCAGTCATGCTTTTAAAACCGACGAAAATTCTCCCTATGCGTTTTTCTGAAACAACAATGTCGATCAAGTTCCGTAGAGTAGCCCTTTGAAAAAAATTGAATTTTGTATCCATCATTGAAATTTATTCCAGTATAGATATTTGACGCTGTAAATAATAGCTTGCACTATAATTGGGTCTTTATTTCCTGCTTTATATGTCCATTTCGGATTTCGTTGTAATATTTGACGTTTCATCTCGATCTTAGTACTTTGTTAGTTGGTTGAATCGGATGGATCAAAAATTAAATTAAACCTTTCATTCCCCTCTTGGGCTTTTCAAAATATATTTTTCTGTATAAGTATTGATTTTCTTTAAGATCAGTATTGAGTTAAAATCACATTTTAAGAACATTGACATTATTTAGGCAACGTTCAAGCCCACTGCACATCTAAAACGTTTTTGGACGAAAACCAACCTGTTTGTTTGCTTTTTGTTTTTTCCGTTCCTTTTTTTTTTTTTTTTTTTTTTTGCTTTTTTCGTAATATTACTTGTGTTTTTATATTTTTACTCCTTTTTTTTCGGATTTCTCTTTCATGGCGATTTTTTATTCGTGCCCGGTGATCGTTAGCATTGACTTCTGAACTCTGAGGGAGTTAATTTTGACCAAAACATACATGGTTGGATATCAGAGAATTTGCGTCCACCCCGTTAAACTGTTGTTAATGTAAACGTAGATCCATCATTATACATTATGGCCTCGAGGGTGCTAGTTGAAGTCGTTTTTTTTTGTTCAATTTTTGAGTAAAACACATTTTTAAGCAAGTCACGATATTCTTATTCTAAAGTTAGAAAACTTATCTTGGCTACGATCTTCATTTCACAACAAATTATAAAGAAGGAAACTATAGGTAACGTTCTCAAGTAAATGGTTCTGTTGTAATTTTCCAGTTGGCTGATAGATGTAACTTGAATAAAACAAAAATTGAGTATGCGGGCTTGATGGATTGGTTCCCACCCAAAACGAGCGAAATAAGATTTAACTGACCACCTGGCTTGTGTATGACTTCGCACCTCTCTCCCTAGACACCACCTACAACCTCTTAAAATGCGGTTCTTGGCGCTAGATCCTAGAAGGTTGCAAAACATTTTCGGCGATATCAGCTGTCTCCTTTAGTCTTTAAGGTTGAGAAATTGCATTTGGAATTCCAAACATCAAATTGGTGACTCCATTTCCGACGCACTAAGACGTAATTTTGTATAAACAGAAAACGTTCATCGTTCGCTTTTTCCTCTTCCTCTTCCTCTTTGCAGTTTGTAGGTCAGAGCGTTACAAAAAAATATGAGCAAAAGTAATCTGTAAGCAAAGGGATAAATTTGATGTCAAGTCACTGATAATATAGCTTTCGTATTACATACCCATGGTCTTGAAATGGAAAAGGAACTTCAAAACAGGATGAATTGTTGACTAATTTCTGAAGCACTTTTTCACCCCTAAGACTCGATTTGGTTAACTTAGAAAGTAGATATCCAAGTGATCAAAAACCCTCACTTCTGAAAGGTCTAAGTTCGTTGTTAACTTAATCCAAAGGTGATAACAAAATGAAACCATATATATATATATATATCTATAAATATATAAATATATATATATATATATATGCATGCCACCACGAGCAAGCCTAATTTTCTGCGTGTTTTTCCTTCCCAGTAGAAAGTATCGTGATTTGGTGACGGTTGAATCTGGTCACAAATGTCTCTGTTGAAAAGATATCGTCACCTTGCTTTGCTGCCTTAACGCCGTGTAAATTTAAAACGCTTCTCTGATCGGAGACTAATGTGGGCAAGCTAAGCAGAACACTCGCAGCCTTCATGGCGCCGTATATTCACTTTATTTGTTTATACATCTGTTAGCTCGCGCTGTGCTGATCTCTGATTCCCTGATAAGAAAGCAAGTTAGTAGAATTCCTTTGCTTGCTAATTATACGGTTCAGAGAATTAGAATTTAGAATTTTCAAAGTATGGTGTAGAAAAACGTTTATACTTTTTACTTTTGATTTTATTTAAATGTGATAAATAGGAAAAAGGCGGTCTAGTTATTTATACTTTTAAATCTTGATGATTTATTTCATTTGTGTGTTTTCAACATCTCAAGAAGCGGTATTATGTGAATGTCATTAGGGAAATTTTCATTTATCCATAATCTAATTGTTCTTTTGTTTCAGCTGTAAGCAAAGCAAATTAATCCGAAACCGCCATGGCACCTCAAGCTCGTGACAGTACTCAACAAACATTACGGTAAAGTGTTTAGACTTGTTTTAATTAGAAACAAATTTTGCTAGTGTTCGAAATGTTTACTTACGTGAAAACAAATGGTGATAGAGTAGTGTTTCAAGTTTTGTTTTGTTTTGTTTTGTTTTGTTTTGGTTTTTTTTTTAAATTGAATCTGAGCGTTTGCGTATATTCTAGACAGCCTAGTTTGAAGCAACTTCCTCGATCACGTGAGATTTGTAATGGGTTTATCTGCTGTCCCAGTCAGAACAAAACGAACAAGTTACAACTATGGAAAACTTCTATCAAACAAAGCCGAGGGTAATCTAAGACTTGATCTATCTGGATGGGTCTGAGACCTTATGTGAAAAGAAAAGTGAGGAACATGAAGTGCACGTGTTCTATTAGCAGATGAACACGACATTTTCCGTGACAAGTGATTGTCAAATAAATTTTCTCACAGCAGGTCAGGAATTTCTTTGAAGTGTAATCCACCTTCAACCTTATTATACCTCTTATGGATTTTGTTAATAAGACCTGGATTTTGGTGTGTTTTAGCAGCCAAGTTGTTCAAAGGTAACTGTGTTGGCTAGTGGAAAATTAAGAAGATCACGCGATCCAAAACGCTACTTAAGCGAACTGTGATTTAAAACGTCAAGACAACCAACGTAAACCTGGTTCGGTAGGTACCTGTTTTAAGTGTGTGTAAATGTTTTTTTGTCGGCCGATTGCGATGTATTTCACGCGCAGTTTTTGGAATTAATTCACGGCGAAGTTTCATCTGAAAACGGCGCAGATATAATAGCGGTAAAAACATGGCGGCATATATGAAGCGTTAGGAAGTAGCTTGGCGTGAAGAGGTCTATTTAAGTTATGGAGCGAAGTGGAGATAACTTGGAACGTAGTGTTTATGTTATGAATTATTTGACTCCCTAAAATAAAAATGAATATTATGGTGGCAGACTTCAGAAGGCATTAGAGACTGAAACATCTTTCTCGGACTCTTCTTCACTTTTCTTCATCCTAGGAGAACATGCAGAATACAATAACATAGTTCACTTTATTTCTTAAGTCAATATAATTATTTTAAGAGAAGTGCATTTCAAAATTACCGTGTTCATCAGTGAACAAATCCAGTACAATTATATGGCCTAAGAGCTAACAGTCATATTACGCAAATTTTGCCTATGACTTGAATTGCATCAGCGTTTTTTCCTTCTGGTGACCTTTTTTACCCATGGTAATTAGTAGAGGCTGAGAAAGAAAATGGAATGTTCAGAAAACAGTACAATGTTAAATTTGTTCCCTTGGCGATAATTTGATGAGCCCGAACATATCTATAAATGTTTTTTTTAATAATCGTCCATCTGTAAGCTCATCCATCCTCCATTTTAACTCTCAAATCAAACGAAAATCGCTCCATATTTCATCGCCAAACTTAGGGAAATAGTCATTTCTTTAAATTAGAAAATTATGCAAACAGTATCTGGAGAATTTCGAAATTCCGATCTTGTAGATAAAATGCGTTGAAATCGCAAGGGTCTTAATTGATTATTATCCCTTCTTTTTTAAAGATACGGTAAAAGTAGGGTTTCTTTGACAATGAATTATTACCTATGAAGGTGGAGTTAGCAATCGGCAGCAAACGCGATACAACACTTGTGTTGTACAAAACATAATTCTCTTTTAATTAAGAGCGGAAACTTTTAACGATGGTCTGTCATTTTACATGGATTAACTAAAAGTCGGATGAAATGAAGTACTGACCTTGATAATCGAGAGGTTATGCACGAAAGTACAGCTTTAAATTTTCACACTGGTCTTTTTTAACTAATTACATTGAAGAGTAGTGTTTTAAGATTGGAAATAATAAGAAAAAGAGGGTTTGATAGGAGTTATTTATTGCTTTTTGCTGTTTAAGTCACTCTAAGCTTCTCTTTAAAAATCAATATTGAAATAAGTTCACGGCAAACTTAAACGATAATTAACAATCCGAAATATAAAAACGTTTTCAAGGACTGTTTGGGCAAAGGAAAGAGGTAGGAAGCAGCTGATGGGCTCTTAAGAAAGATCTGAAAAATGTTGTCCCTAGGTTCCTTGAACTAAAGAGTTGAAGTCATTCATACATCTATTCTCATGATGTCATTGTCGCTGTACAGCCATCAATGATTCTTTCACAGTCTGGTATTACTGCCCCAAGAAATTTTTGTAATTGACATTCAATTTCGAGCAGTTCAAATTATTCAACTTCCTCCCAGAGCCGCTCTACAGAAGAAGAACCGTTTTCTTTTAATATTTTGGACGATACTATGATCACACGTTGCTCGATTCAGCACCTCATTATATTGTTCGGAATCAATTTGGACGTGGAAAGTCGAGAGCAACTCCTAGTTGCTCTCGGCTACGCCTCGAGCAACTCTAGCTTCTTGAGTGCTCTCCAAACTTCCCGCCTGCTTCATATCTCGATGAATGCACAGCTGACGTATGAACCAATCGTTTTATAACATTTTCAACCCGATGGAAAATTTTTTCTCGAGGGATTTGTTTGCAGACGTCATGAGCGTGCACAATAGGAATATGAAGCACGCTCGCGCAATTGAATTTGATTAGACAAATTTACTAGCTATGTTATAATATCAGTTTGGGGATAAATATTTAATCCAATACTAAACTCTCTAAACTAGCATTATAAGAATTGCATGGTTGACAGTAAGGGGAATTAAAAATTTGATCTGGGAGTTAAAGGGATAAGGAGCAACAAAAGCTCGTGGTTATTTGCTTTCTTTTCTTTTCTCAGATCGAGCTGCGAGGTTGTAGTGAGCCCAGTGACACTTCTGCAGAGATGTACTACATGCGACCGACCATCTTTGTTTTGGTAGTGTGTTATTGTGTTAAGTCAGGCATTGGTGAAAACTTTCAAGGTAGAGAATATGTTACGACCTCAAGAGATAATCACTCATTATAGAAATGCGACGTATCATCATAAATTGTGTAATATGACTGGGCAACGCGGGTACCCTGCAAGCCACAAAAAGAGGCAAATTGCCGGGTACAGCTGCCTTAATTTAACTTAAGTATTTTTTCAGTTCACGTCAAAAAAAATTAAATCCTTGTTGAAGGCTCGTAACGACACATTTCTTAAGTAAAATCTTAAGGAAAGGCGACAAAGACAAGTGACCTCGGGTCGTCAAAAGGAACAAGTGTACATGATCAAGACAGAGTTAATGAGTAACTATTATATGTCTGCTGTCTAAGTCAGTGATGTGAATTCCTGACGGATTCTACTATTTATTAAAGGACAAGAGGTCAACATTTATGTTTATGGCAAAAACAATATTACCTTTCAACGATACAAATATAAAAAATTCTCTCCGCAGATGGAGATTACGACGAAAGACTGGTAGAATTCCTTTTGAGTCACAGCAAATCTCGTCGTCCTGTCCTTTCGATTAAGGACAATGTTACAGTGCAGTTTGGAATAACTTTGAATCAAATCATAGATGTGGTATGTATCATGACAATCTTATCCTGTCGAGAAATCGCACGGTTTCAGGAACTCTCTGGCTGAAGTAAACGACAATGACACTAAGATGTGTCGCGGAAACAGGAGTAGTAGTGAATGCTTCCTAAGCGCATGAAAACTCTCTGGACCTTTCATTCCCACTGTCCTTCGTGTTTACCAGTGGGCCGGCTTTGCATAATCAGAGTTATTTAAGCTAGACAGTACAATCATATTGGGTAGGAAGACAGCTCTCTGGGTTGTTTGTTTTACTTTCTTTACAGGTTGAAAGAAATCAAATTCTAAAACTGAGTCTTTTCATCAGGCAGGTAATGGCACACATCTGCATGTCATTTAATAACGGTTCAATTTAACTTTGAAAATATACGTTTTTCCCCTAAAATCTTCAGCGCGGGTCATATTACGGATATTTCAATAAATGCTTTTGCAAATAACACGTTCTTTTCGCCATGCAGTCCTTGCCTTTCCCTATACCATGGTGATTTCGATCTCTAGTATCTCAATCGGCGCGTAGCTGTCAACATTAATTGGGGCAGGAAAGGGAGTGGCCTAATCATATTTAAAATGAAAGATCAATCCGAATGGAATTAGAATGAACAACTAAAACCTGTGCACTGACATGATATGGAAACGAAACTCTTGTTGATACATTGAGAGAACATAAACAAAAACTTATCGAAAACCAAGCCACTGGAATACTGAATTGATTTAGTCAGACCCCATTCAATCGGCCATTTCTTTATTTGGACAGAAACAGCAACTACAAAAATCCCTGTGAGGAAGTTAAGGGTACAAGGTAAATTTAACCACGGAGGTTATTGAATAGTTTTAAGATCATAGCTTTAAGACCTTTTCACGTAGGTTTTAGCACAATTGTATCTATATCATTGGCATAAAAAGTGATCTAGTATTTGGTACAGTGAGGTAGATTGGCAATGTATCAAATTTACTTTAACAGCGAAAAACTAGGCGAGAAAGTAGCTGTTGTCGTTTTCTATGGCGTTAAATTTTTGTAACAGTACCATAATGGTTATATATTTAACGGTTGTAATTTATCACCTTCACCACTGTAATCATTATACATAGGATGATGTGAAATTCCGTAGTATGATACGGCAGCAACAAAGCCATGTCCTCCTGAAAAATGATGATTGAATATAAAAGACGCGCGTGTGCAATAAAAGTTAATCCCAATAGTATAAAAATGAAAAGGACTGGTTAACTTTAAGTTCAGTCGACGGATGGGGATGTAATCCACTCTCAGACCTCTCGATTTTGTGGTGAGATGCTCTACCACTGAACTAAAAAGAACTGATCAGCCGAGGCATGTTTCATATGTGATAAGCTTAAGCGTCCTCTCTACCACTGGGATCAGCACTTATCCTCTCGCGGCCGCAGCGCACATATATATTTGACAAGGAGCCTGACTTACTAGGTGGACTGTCCATTTTAGCCTTGTCGCCCTCAGTTGAGTGGCTTAAACTCGTTCTTTGGAAACAAATTGATTCGTTTTAAAAATCAAAATTGAGAAGAAGCTGAATGATGATGAACAGTAAATCAAATTGAACGATAGCTTGTTATTGAGATGTGACAATTAAGGAACAATGGCTACTGTACATATTTACCATCTTTTCTTGTTCGTTGTCCTTTGTGTACGCGAGAGGAAACGAAATCGCCAGACCCAAAGTTATCAGCAAAATAAAGCAGTTCATGTTTCGTCGGTGATCACTTTTTAAAAGAAATAACCAATATCATGTAATGAATCTCATCGAGGCGACATTAATTGCTCTGTAACGTGACAAAGAATTCAGAGGACTAAACATCAGTGATTCTGTCGACAATAAAATATATACCTTGTTCTTGAGATTCGCTTTGATTGAAGAAATCCGGGGTTAAATGATTCTAACTGCAATCGGCTGATCATCTTATATGTGTTTCTCCTTTCCCAATATGTTATATGTTTATTTTGTACAATTGTATCTCTAGGCGTTCTATAGGATAAGATACTTTATTTAACATCAAATACACAGATGGTTGTTTCCCAGCCCCTCACGCCAGAGACTTATAATGGAGCTAAAGCTAAAAACAAACGGAAACAAAGAAAAAAACAGTATAATTAAGATCACATTAAGGCCGGATTCCTAACAAAAGTTAAAATTAATCCTCTTTATCGTAAATTTTTTTAAACTAAATGGCCCAAAAGTTGTTATTACATGACCTCACGGTACATGTAGCAGTTTGATTAAAGTGAAATGTGTTCTTCCTAAATCTGTGTACATGGATATCTTCTCCTCTTCATTTACTCATATCACTATAATCAGTTCATTTTGTATAGGTAATCACATGATTTCGAGTGCAATTTGGAATAAATAAGCACGAGTAAATTTTTTTTAAAGACTAACAAAATTGCACGAGCCCGTAGGGCGAGTGCAATTTGTGGTCTTTGAAAAAATTAACAAGTGCTTGTTTATTCCAAATTGCACAAGAAAAATGATGTGATTACGTGTTAATAATATACATGGAAAAATACGAAATGGCTCATCATAATTAAACATAAGCAAAGCGCGCGCGTCAAGTGCAAAAATAATTTATTCAAACCTTGCGTTCGGTCAAAACAACCGCGTACGATCAAAACAATAATAAATTATGCAATGATATCTTCACATCTTTAAGGTGCAAAAAAGTTCAAAGTCCGGCTAAACAGTTCAAGGAATTGTTCAGTCTGTGTCCGAATCACTTTCGATGAAATGGAATCGTCGTTTCCAAGGTTTAACCATGTTTTTTACTTTCGGCGTGTGATCGCTCGAGCAAAGTGTTAAGCTGGGTCGGCTCGTAATTTTCGATTTCCTCGGCAATTCCCTTCTCTAAACACCCCTTTTTCCAAACCGACAACCAAAAAGCAGTGCTTTTTACAGTGTTTTCGTTGTTTAAGCTGTTTTTCAGCTGCGGTGGCGAAAGAAAGCCTACTTAAAACACCGGCCATTGTTTTGCTCGCAAATTTTCCAATTTTCAAATTTTGTTGCGACATCCAAGGCTCGCATTTGATTGGCTATCTGTGAGTTTCTTTGATTATTGACCAATCAGAATGTCTTATTTGTTTCTTTCTTTGCACTGAATTAACCCTCTTCTGCACTGAATTAACCCTCTTCTGCACTGAATTAACTCTCTTCTGCACTGAATTAACTCTCTTCTGCCCTGAATTACCTGAAAACTGCATTTATCTTGACCAATCAGAACTAAGTAATTTTTTCATGTATATTATTAACCCCGTTAAAGAATACTGAATAACTTTTTCTGACCTTCGATTTGAAATGGAACAAAAACATGCAGTTTTATTGAAAAAACAGGGTTTTTGTTGCAAGAAAAAGCAGTAACTGAGTTTTCATTAATGATTCTTAACCAAAGCTTAGATTGATCTTATTTAGTGAAGGTCTTTATATTAAATGGCCCATACATTGTTCTTGTTTTACCTTTGGGTTATTATTTTACCTTAGGGTACATGTAGAGGTAACTGTACGTAAATAGCTTTTTTTCTCTCTTAATTAATGTATATCACTATGGTCAATTCATTTTGCCGTGCTTGAGAAAATTGAGGAACTTCAATTAGAGGAGGAACAAAATTGTGCATTTTTTTATGGAAAAAAAAGAGGTTAACACAGATTACAAAAAGGATTCTTAGATAGAATAATTTTGCTCTGAACCTGACGAAAAGGGGTTCTAAAATAGAACTACTCATTTTTTAAGTGAGGAAATAGGAAGCCAATGAAAAACAAAACAGGATATGCTATTAAAAAAACAGATGATGAAATTTTAGGAGCCCTTTGCACCATTCTTTGGAAACGGAACAACATCCTGGGTTTGAAGAATCTTTTCCTTTTCCTTTCTCTTTTGACCAATTGCTGCATATTTTGTATTTGTATGAGATTGACTTTTAAAACATATCTACAAAAAAAAAAATTATCGATAACAAAAATTCAATCTTCTTTCGTCTCAGGGAAAATAAGTCGCATCCACTTTAAATCACTTATCAATCAATTGTAAATTATTTGCATAACATCGTGTTTTGTCTGACAAGCTTTAGATGTCTATAGGTTTTAGTCGTAGGAAGCTCATAGGAGTAACGTGACATTTTCTTCTCGCCTTATTGGAGAATCATTTTTTTTCCATGTATAGGTTTGGGTAAATCCTTTACTGCGGTGGAATGTGAGTGATTATGGTGGAATAACAGAAGTTAACATCGATGCGGATAAATTATGGACACCGGACATTTACCTCTATAACAAGTAAATGTATTTATATTAGCTGTGAATATATGAAAGTCATACATTTGAACTGCGGATAAAGACGTGAATATGAAAGCGATCTTCGCAGTTATGAACACTACTTAAGCAGTATAGTGAAAAGAAGGCCTGAAAAAAATTCAGGCCTGCACCGGTATCGCAGAGGTTCAAATCCAGTACAGGCCTGAGTTTTTTTCAGGCCTTCTTTTCACTACTGCTTAAGTAGTGTTCATAACTGCGAAGATCGCTTTCATATTCATGTATTAATATTCTTCACTATCATTTCCTATTTCTTAAGAAAATAAGGGCAGGTGAATAGTATGCCCGTTTATGAACGATTTTCAATTGAGTATCTATAAAGTAATATGGGATTGTTTTGTTTTTCCTTTACTTCGCTCTGTGATTGGTTTAGAAAACTTGCGCCACTATTACAACCCATGGATCGGGAGCAAAACTAAAAAAAATCCATTTTCTGAGAGATCAAGAGAGATCCTTCCTCAGTAAGGACTTAATTTCTGTTTCTATTTCTGGAAAGACCGACGAATTTTTCAGTTAAGCAAGGCGTTGCTATTTGGACAAAATTATGGCTCCCATCGTCAAAACATTACTATTATACATAAAAGACAGCCAACACGCACTTGAAGTTTTTCGCAAGTTTAATTTCATTCACTCTTTTTACTCTCTCTCCCAAAGGTGAAGGTCTCCTGGCCCTCGAACATTTTTTGTTCGTACTGTTAAGGAATCTACCTCTAAAACACTGCTCCGCCTAGCCGTACTGATGCTGACACTTAATTGCTTTTCTTGTGGGGAAAACTATAACCAAAAAACTGATGGCGTAGCTATGGGTACCAAATTGGGACCTAACTACGCTAATTTTGTAATGATCTCTACGATCGCTAAATTGACGACTGTATCGGAGCTACCTCCTCTACCAAAGAGGAGCCAACTCCGTTTATAAACACTATCAATTCCTTCCACCAGGCTATAAAATACACTTGTTGGGCCTTTTTGGATATCAAAGTTTCAACTGACGGCAATGGTCTATCCTCTGGTGTTTACTACAAACCGACAGACTCAAATAGTTACTTGTGGTATTCAGTCATTTTTGCAGTTTGGAATTGACCTCGTGTAAATAGCCGGCTCTTGTTGTTTTACTTATTAGTGCGGACGATTCCAGCGATGGGGCTCAGGACAGGATGAAAACTAAGATAAAGGTGAATCACAATGGCATTAACACATGGCTAGCACCCTCCATACTCCAGAGCTCATGTAAAATTGACGTACATTACTTTCCCTTTGACGAGCAGGTGAGTAAACATTAACCCGTCGCATTTCACTTAGTTACAGTTACGTGGATCGTAACTCAACATGTATATTCTCACTGCAACGTCACTGTACGCGTTTTCACGAGAGTAAATTGCATTGTTAATTTTTTTTTACCCAGGACAAAGGTCATGTAAAGATAATTCTTTCTGACGCTCAAAAGAGTCTGGCTATTAATGAGGATCGCGGCGTATCGACTGCCACATTGTTTCGTCAAGCAATGACGTATGATTTTTAAAAGTGTTGTTTTTAGGGTGAATGCTGTCGATTCTGCGAGAAACAACTGTTTTTTATACTTCCTTTTCAGACATGTTCTCTAAAGTTCGGCTCGTGGACATATGACGCATGGCGTGTTGATATGAAAGCTGAAAGCGCTTTCGCTGATACCAAAACAACACAAGTGAATGGAGAATGGGATTTAGTAGGGTTCCCCTGTGGGAGAAATGTCATGAAATATGAATGCTGCCCGCAGCCTTACTCTGATGTCACCTGCACTTTAAAGCTACGGAGAAGAACAACATACTTCTTCGTCAATTTAATTGTTCCTTGTTTTCTAATCACACGTAAGTTAAAAATATCAGCTGTAACAGTCAATTATATGTTTCTTAACCCTTTTACTCCTAAGATCTCATGATCTCAGGTGGATATTTACCGAGCTGCGAACCGACACTGAGGTGAATACTTTTTTTAGTATATACCACACAGATATCAAAAAATAAGTTCATTTATATACCGAAAATGGTCGGAGATTGAACTCTTGACTCGTACCATTTTGTCTCATCGGCTGCTCAGAGTTCAACAGTACTTGCTACTCACTTCCAAACAAGCCAATAAGCGCGCCCATAAAGCACTATTCACTTCTGTGGTATATACTAATTTTCTTTACTCTCAGCACTTGTCTGATTAACATTGTATTGATATTTTAAGGAGATATTCTGTCTTGGTTACTCATGGAAGTTAAAGGCTTTAGATTTTATTGATGTAATTACGTGCTCATCAATCTCTGATGAGCATGAAATTATGCGTGTTACAAGTCTCCAACAATTGAAAGGTTTGAGCCGGAGACCATAGGAGCAGACTTGATCATTGCTGGTCTGCAATCTCCGCCAATAGCAGTGAAAAACTGTTCAACTAATTAACTACAGATCTGAAGCGCTAGCTAATTTTTTTGTTTCTTTTCTATTCTTTTTTTTTCACCAGTTCTGTCTCTGCTGTCCTTTTTCCTTCCCTCAGAGGCTGGTGAAAGAATCACGTTGGTGATCACTACCTTATTAGCCCTGACAGTGTTCATGCTGATTGTTGCTGACATATTACCACAAACATCTGAGGTAGTGCCAATCATCAGTGTTTATTTCCTCAGTATACTTATAGAGGTAAGTTGTATGAAAAAAAAACGGTCCTCTTGCTCTCTGTTTTTCGATTGTATTGTCACACAGTAATGACACCGCGCTTCTGTAGTGTTGAAGTAAAGGAGCTAAAAGGCGCCGAATTCATTTTATATTTGAGTGGCTCATAAAAGAGATGGAAAAAAAACATAATGGAGAGATAGTCGTGTATAATTTCAATAAGTTAGATTTAGACCAGAACTGACCATCTGCTAACGGAACGGTTTGCTCTGTTTGCTTTGGAGATCATGTGTTGCACAGCTGCACAAATAAAGACGTTTTAAGTCCATTTAACCACTGCTGATGATGAGCTTCCTCATTAAATTTTAAATGTTTTTTTAGATGGGAATACAAAACTGGAATTTTATTAAACAACAAAATGGTCTAAATCAATCAGAACAATGCTGATAAATTATATTTATCTTAGCGCTCTCCAAGCCATAAGCCAGTGACCTAAGTTTCTTTGGCATTTCTCAGCGACTGCGCATGCTCACCACCTCGCAGCCCTTTAGAGTTACCTGTTCATAGCACCCTTCACTGGATTAATTTTCCCTACTTCCCGTACAAAACTTACCTCTTTTTCTGCAAGAGTCTGTGTTTTTCTTTTCATTATACGAAATACCGGTATGTGATGATGAAGGTTCACTGATCACACTTTATTCCTAACTAACATGACACCAGATTTGGTATCAACTACATGGTCGTTAGAAATAAAGGCATAACAGATGATAAAAGATATCTAATTTACATATTGTATCAAATGTCTTCTCATTTTCTATTCCCAAAGGTCGGTCTTTCGCTAATCGCCACTGTCTTAGTGTTGAAGTGCTACTTCACCAACCCTTCGTTCTCAGAAGTTCCTTTCTGGATTCGCTTAGTAATCATCCAATGGTTGGGTAAACTTTTGAAAATCGAAGTTAAAAGAAAACGAAGGCAAATGCGCAAAAAGGAAGAAAAAGCAGCTGAAGAAGAAAAGAAATCCAACCGACCCCTGTCTGTAGCAGAGTCGTTGGACCCAAATTTTAATTTGTTTCACCAAAGGTTCGCGAGCCGAAGGAACACAGAGGCAAATATTAACTTACTTGAACATCACAATGCACACAAATGTGGAACTTGTCATGAGATGACGGTGGATATGCTTCATTTGGGACACGGACTTCACTCCAGGAACATCAGTAGATATCCTTCGAGAACTTCAGTCAGGAGGGAGTCCGTGTACGATAATGCTCCCATAAATAATGATGATCTCAAAGCGAACACGTCCGCACATTCGAATTCAAACTCGCTTATCACTGCCATGCTCCATCAGCAAGAGCACCTGGTGCACTATGTGAAGAAACTGGTACGAGCTGTTGAAGAACAGGACGAGTATGATTCTAAAAAAGAGGAGTGGATCCTAGTTGCGGAGATTCTAGATTCCTTTTTCCTCTACTTGTTTGTGATTATCATGATTGGATCCACCATAATGATTTTCAGCGTAGGGAAGTCACTGTAAACGTGAGTATGCAGTTAGGGCTACGGAAGAGAACCGTAGAATTATGCAGCTAAGATATGTCGCTAAGTCTGGAATTCTTGTAAAAACTTGAAATATTTAAAATTACAAGCTGGGATCAACCAAACGAGTTAATAGGAGGTCGAGGTTAATATTTTTAAATTCGTTATACATGAATTTTTGGGTATTTTCACCCAAATGAATCATGAAAAGATAAAAATAGGAACGTTGTATAAGTATAAATGATTTAATTAGCATTAAGGAAGACAATTGGCGGATATGTTCTCAAGCAAGATGAATTAAGAATACTTTAAGAGGACCCTATTGTTATCAGTAAGGTAGTAATTTGTCGACCTATATTGTACAGAAGATTAATAGTTCTATTATAATTATGAGCAAATCAATAACGTTATAAAGCAAAAATAATTTTCAATAACATAGAAAAAATTTTGAGTTTAATTTTAAAAAATTTACGGAAAGACATTGCAATTTTAACCATTGTGTCGACAGGATGCTAATCAGTCTTCAGAAAGAAAAGGTCCCTATAAACTCTTATTGACGGGAACTCACGCCATGAGAAATGACTTTTCCCTAAATTTTGAAATGCTTCAAAGAATAAAGCTGTAAATTTCGAACATCTAGATACTAAGGGAAAAAATAGCCGGTTTACAAGGTAAATCTGTGCTTCTTACAACAAGGTCTAAATCAAATGTAGGTACGTCTAGCAATAGTTTGCCGGATAACAATTATTGGAAAAAAGTCCTCTGATTTAGGCTAGGCCGTATCTAGAGGCTATTTCTGAGTTAGAGATTTCAGTAACTTGGAGCTTGTAGAAAAATCGCTAGTGTAGATATGATTAATGTCAACATGAATAACCAAAAGAAACAAGCGTCGATAACAGCGGCGACCAGTTTCCATTCCTCTCTCTTTATTTCATTTGCCTCGTTTTCTCTGACATAATGCACCAGCCTTCGAACGTTCTTCAACAAATTGTCCTGTTTAAGAAGCATCTCTTTCATGGAGATCTCTAAAGAGAGAGGAATATTCTGCGGAGGGCTGTCATCCGTAGTCGGATGCTCTTCGTTAATAGTTTCCAAACAGTTTGCGCATGTGTTAAACAGCTGCGGGAGTCCGATAGTTGATGCTGCCTCTGATGCATGGCTACATCGCCGCTCAGAGAAGGTGGAAGTACGACGTGAAATGCTACCTCTGCATATTCCCGTGGGTGGAAGAACTGAATTTCGTCTCTCGAACTCAATCTCTTCCCGTGCTTCAGCTTTTTCTTCGAAATGTTTCTTGATGACTTTCACGAGTCCTGGAGGAATTTTGACGCGAAAGAATTTTGCCAGCCAGTTCAGGACAATAGTTCTTACCCATGTGGGAATCTCTGCCACTGACGGATTGTTGTAATGACATTTGAGGGCCAAGCATGTTGCTACCAAAGAGAGACCAACCTATGGAAATAATGGAGAGCGCGGTTTGTTAAAACTGTTGAACTGTTTTGTAATGGAAAAATCCATCCTCCATGTACAAATAAGCTAAAAACTCCGACTCAAAAATTATGCTAATACATCTCCGCAACCAGACGGGGTCAGGTAGCTCCAGTTAACTTTTGTTGTCTCAATTGAAAATAAATTTCGAATGAGAGCAGAGAAGGTTTCGCTTTCTGATGAAAAATGAATGTGATCCAGTTACTCACCTCAAACATGATTCCAGTGTAATATATGCTAATCAGTGGAATTACTTCAGAAGTAGCCGGCATGATTTCCGCCACAATCAACATGAACACAATCATGGCCAGTAGGTTGGTAATCACCAACGTGATGCGTTCGCCGGAGTCAGGGGGGAGGAAAAACGACAGCAGTGTCAGGGCTACATACAAACGAAAACAATAACTCAAAAGCTGAAATGTCTCTTGGTTAATATCTAGTCTGGAAATTTTTAATGATAAAACCAAGTGGTGATAAGAGATATATTTTTGACTTTGTAATGATATCGGCTCCCTTGCCTCTGAAAAGAGACATCCATTACAGAGGGCATTTCGAGTTTGGAGCTCGTTTTTTGCTAAAAGGGTTTGTTTCCGGGTTTACTAGTTTTTGCCTCCCTATACTCCCTCCTAGATGGAATGTTAGTCCGTCGCAAGGCTGCCCCCGAACATTTCACCAGGTTTCCCTGGCTATTTCCTGGTACCCATTTATACTCCTGGGAGGAGAGAGACGTTGTCTGAGTAATGTGTTTTTCCCATGAACACAACACATGACCAGACCAGGTCTCGGACCTAACCCTCGAGATGCGAAGTCCAGTGCACTAACCAGTAGGCCACCTCGTCTCCAACTAATCCCCAACTAGACTACAATATTAGTTGGCTTACATGTTATTAACGCACACGGTACGATCATGTTGACGTAATAGTATATGGTTCGTCTCCTTATATGGATTGTATACGTCACATCCGGGTAAGGCTGAGGACAGCACGCGTAGAAAATTTCATTTCTTTGCGCAGGTATACCAATTAGGTCCCATTCTCCACTAGAAACGTACTTTTTAGTGTCACCTTCGTCTGCCTCTTTTACGATGTCAACCCGGTAACCGTCGAAAGTCCATGAGCCAAACTTCATTGAACAGAGCTAAATTATTAAAGTAAATAGAATTCTAAATCGACGCCGTCATCAGGGTGTTAACTGATTGTCTTCAACTAAACCAAGATTGTGTTGATTTCACTTTACAACGCTTTTTGATTGGTCAAGGAAATTCGTTTCACTTCATAAACCAAACAAATCATGTAAAAACGAGGTCTTGTTTATTTCCTCTGAAATTAGTAATTGTAGTCTTACTCATCACTTAAACTTTTAGCCGGCTTTTCCTGTGTATAAGCCAGATCTGGTAACTTTTCCTTTGTCGTAAACCAGACACAGAGGTTCGTTTCATTCTGTTTTAGTCACAGAAAATGAGTTAAAAACTAACCTGCTCGTCAAAAGGGAAAAAGTTGACGTTTATCTTGCAGGAGAACGTGTAGATAACTGGGCTAAGCCACATGTTGCGACCGTTAGAGGTGAGTACTATTTTAGTTTTGAATCGGTCAAGGGCCCCATCTTGGCTTGCATCGGCACTGGAAGGGAAAAAATATAGGTCTGAAATACACTCGGCGCGTCAGTAAACATTATCATTACCTCAAAAGTAATTGGCATTCATACTTGTTGTATAGATAGATATCTGGTATCCACACTTTATTTGCCTTTATGTTCATCTGATCCATTCCTTCATAATCTGATTTGTTCCAAGTTAAGAATGGATTGAACCAAGACTAGATGAAAGGACAAAAACCAAAAGGTTTGAAATCAGAACTTGTGGACAAAAATGCGCAAGGTCAGCATAAAACGAGCACAAGTTTATTTAAAGGAAGAGTTGTGTGATTAAGATTTCCCATTTTCACTGAGTTGCAGAGCTATTTTGGATTCTGGTCACAGTTCCTATGACCCACTTATCAATTATATAATACGGTAATTCGGACCTGGTTAGGGAATTCCGAAGCAACTGTCACGTAAACTGAGCAGCAACACACCACTGTTGTTCAAACTATCTTAATCGTTGCAAGACTACTTTGGAAAAGAGATTTAAAAATTACCTGACGAATCCACAGGCTCACTTGCAGCAACTGATTTTTCTCGTCCTTGAATCATCAAAATAAAACCTTAGTGTAATTGCGATATTTCAACGCAACTTTAAAAGAGAATCCCGTTCGACGTTTGTCAAAAGGCAAAGAAAATCAGGGGGTAAATACAGTCTATGTTTCACCTACAAGGAGAACTAATTTTGGTTTTATTTTTTAGGTGCTTAATAATGATTTAATTGGATTCAACTTTTTTAAATCTCTTAAGCCTTCCCCCAAACTTCCACAATAGATGAGTAGCCAGTCAGACCTCCTGTATATTATTATTCGGCCATTTCATAATTAAGCGCTTTTCCATTGAGTAGTCGTAAAACCAACACAAACGGAACCACAACGGCCAATCAGAAGAGAAGGAATACCTTAAAGGGCCAATGAGAACTCAAAAACAACAAAACTTCCTAAGAAAAAGCGGGAAACCAAGTCGTAATCATTTTAGTTCTGCATCTGACGAGTGAGAGAGTGGCGCAAGTTTTCTGGACCAATCACAGAGCGGAGTAAAGCAAAACCAATGCAATCTCGGATCACTTTCGACAATCAATCAAAGTTACTCTAAGTCGTACCACTTTAATGATTTGATGTAAGGACACTCCAAGTTCAACGGTGACTTTTTCACTCATATTCAGAACAGGTCGGAGCTCAGGATTGTAGTTCGAGAGGAATAGTTTCCGCCATAACCTTCCTTCCTCGTTATCTGAGTTATTCTGCTTAACATCGACATCTGTAGAAAGTAAAATAATGCACAACAAGTTGCATGTGAGAAGAGACAAACTACTTGTAGGTAGTATTCATTACCACTCTGCGCAAAGAGGGTGTGTTCTGGATTTTGGCTTACGCACTCAAATATTGATTCGGTTGATTGCAAGCACTAAATACATTGTTGTTCATTTGTGAGATTCTCGCAGAAATGTTTGGTTTAGTGTTCTGACAACAGACGTTTGATCTTCCGAGGTCAAAAGCCTAACATGTCTACTCAGGCCTGCCGTTAATGAATAGAAAAGCATGTTCTTTAGAGTTATACCAGTACTTAGTGAGTGAGAATCCGAGAGATAGTAATCGATTAGTCACTCAGAACCGGTGTGGCTAAAGAATGAGGGTAAAGTGAATTTGAAGTAAGTAGCATTTTCTTAGAGAACCGAGAGATTGGACCAGATTGAGGAAGACTTAAAAATAAAGTTCGAGGGACCTTGGTGCTTTCGTAAAGGTGTGTTGCGATCTACAGTTAATTTCCCCTGTCATTGCGACCCAACAATATTTTCAACGGGGCAAGCTAATCTATTATAATAAAAAAGGCAGCTGAAACTGAAAAGGAAAAGATATGAAATGAAACATCTGTTACAATAGTTCAGTTTCTCGCACGCAGGTCACGCCGTCTGGGCTCACAAAGGTCACTAAATCACATCAAATTTTATCTCTTGAAATCAAGCGAGACGTCAGTCGGTATCTTTCAGTCCTTTCTTTATTGAATTTAAATACATCACGTAATAACTCCCTGGCATGTTAACGGATTACGTTCACAAAATGCGTGCAGATAAAATCTCACATCTGCACGCTCATGAATTTTTCTTGCCAGACTCTCAAACTGAAACGAGTCAATGGGCTTGATTGCCTGAATGACTTAATACTGCCGTATGTGATCCTGGGTGACCAATGTTAGCACCGCTATATTAGAAACCTTGGAAGATATGGATGAACAAAAAATTCGCAAGGATAGTTAATGACTATTGCGAGAAACTGATTTCTAAAATATTAATTTCAGATATGCTCAAGACAAAAAAAACATTAAATTTCAAGTTTTTTTGTTTATAATTTTGCCACAATTCCACCGATCACATCTATCTCTCTCTCCGATGATGCAGTAAATTATGGCGTTGTTTTCCACAAGGGGGGAGGGGGGGTATTGCTCTAAAAGGGAATCAAAATTGCCGATCTAGTAGATGTCCATCTTACTGAGCCATGTTCGAGGGGAAGGGGACTAAAGGGGTTTGGTTACGGTTGTGCCACTGTGGCCTGCAAAGCCTCCAAACCTGACACCCTCTAGGAGAAAATTCGATTATTTCACTTTCTTGTCCAAAAAGAAAAGCTTGTTATAGATTGTGGCATGTCGACCTCATATGGAGCCATTATCGTGCTTTTCATGGACTATTTACACGATAAACGTTAGAAATGTATTATCCCGACTTCGAAAACCAGGCTCCTGTCAGCATATGCCGAAAAAGACAAGCTTTTACCGTCAAACACAAATTTGATGCTAATCTGAGCGCAATGCGAGGGAGAATGTGATGAAGATTAACTGATATGATTAGATTGAACGGTCTGAAACGATCTGACAGATTTGAATTAATGGAACGTGAGTAATGATGGACACCAAACTGTACGTAGACTATAAAAGGTTCATTGCATCTTAGTTTATAGCCAGAAATACTCGGAAATTTTGATATCGTCGAAGTCGGTTTAGCGCATGATTTTCATCGGAAAAAAATTGGAGTTTTGGTGCTTAAGTTAAAGGCTTCTACAGTTAACATGGTTATCTTTCGATTTTTACGGTGCCCCAGCCACAAATATGAGTCATTCCATTCCAAGAGGATTATATCCTTAGGAGATAGAGGATTATTTCCAATTCTAGTTTGTTCCATCTGATCTTGCGACATGTTGGAAACACTTCGCCCGCCCTTGGCAGAGTTTCACTGTACACCACACCGCTAATGTACCAAATCTGTTGCAGTACATGGTATTGTGATATTGACGGAACATTTCTCCAACCAAGGAAAACAGATTCGATTCAGATATCTCCTTCATGGGAATAGAACATTTGGTCAAATTGACAAGTTCAGTGAAACAGCTAGCGGGTTTACATTGACTCGTTCAGTTGTCTCACGGAAATCCATTCTCTAATTATAAGGTCTTTCTAGTCACACTGCCCAATATTCCAAATTGCTGACATTAATTGAATATCAAGAAATCGGTATTGAACGCTTAAAGAAAAGTATGTGAAAAGGGTTGAATTGTTACATTTACTGCGTACTTTCTCCCATACAATCGAATCAGAAAAGACATATTATGGCCTAAGGTTTTCCTCACACAAATTTTGTTATTCTACTCACCCACACTTGAAGATGTTACGACAGTCAAATACAAGAGATTCAAAAGAAGCCCAGAGAAGATTCCGTGTCTTCTCGTCATTTTTGTTAGCCAGTTAGTGCATGCACTCCTGTGTAATAACCGTTAAATCGTGTCAGTAAGCCAAACCAAAGCACAGGAATCTGGTTAAAGGGGCATATTTGTTCATATCTCTCCGCTACACTGTAAATAGCGCACAGGTGACCAAAAGAGTGGGGTCATACAGCTGCTCTTTATCAGACCATCGAAAGCGTAAAAAAAATAACAATAAGAGCACGCACTCCAGGTTTATTAAGATTTGATAATTATGCAGATCCTTTATCTGTACCGCTGCATGCCTTCCCTTGACATCGGCGAGAAAGAACTGCCTCTTAAAAAAGATAAAGAAAACTTTGCGGTCAACTCAGGTTGAAGCCTGGAGTGGAAGGACAACAGTGCTTAGAGAGAGAGTTACGGAGAAGAGCAAGGATTTTTTCCTAGAATGAAGCAACAGGGTTTAGAGAAATGGGAATAAAAGAGAATAATTGGGGTTTGACACTGAAGCCCTGCAAAAATCGTTGAAGGGAGGTTACTTACAATTTGTTTTTGTTTATTCGACTTTCTTGCGGTGCTATAAAAAGGACGGCGGCATTGGTCTAGGAATGCATACATCGTTTGGAATTAATTTCGCTGTTTGTTGTGAGTTACACGATCCAACAAATAATTTTTATTACGAATATGTAGGTTTTCTTTGAAAGTACAGTCATAGGTTGAGCACTTACACTAGCTGAAGTCCCCACCTCTCGATTAACTATTTGAATTAATGCATCAGTTGTGTATAACAGTTGATATTAAATAATTAAGATGGAAAATACATTGAAAACGGATCAGAAAGAAACAACAAACTTCGTTTACACGGAAATGTTCATTTCTTTCATCAAACTCCACAGAAAGTCCCAGTAATATGCTTTTTTGAACACCTACGTCAACCGTACGCAATATTTGGGTTAATAAGTCGATTATTATCAATACTTTGGAGCCTGCAGAAAAATAACGAGGCTAGAAACTAATAAAACGGCCATGAAAACCCAAAAGAAACAAGCATCGATGACAGAGGCCACCAGTTTCCATTCCTCTCTCTTAATTTCACTTTCCTCTTTTTCTCTCATCACGTGCACCAGCCTTCGGACGTTCTTCAATAAACTATCTTGTTTCAGAAGCAATTCTCTCATGGTCGCATCCAAAGACAATTGAATATTTGGGGCAGATGGTCGATCTTCGTTAATGGAGCGAAGACTGCTGATGAAAGGAAAGTACAAAGGCTTGGGACCTGCAGTAGTTTGTGTGGTTTCCCCATCTACGCTTGAATCTCTTTCTGAAGAGAACGTCCTGCAGCGGTTTCGGCCAGCAGTTTGCAGGCTTCCTCTGGATTTTGAGTAGAATTCTCCGATAGACGTGAAACATCTTTCACGTTGCGCGACTGTCGGTGGCATAGTGGAACTCCGCCTCTCTATGTCAATCTCTTCCTGGGCTGCTTCTTGTTCTTGCACGTGTTTTTCGATTACGTTTATCAAGCCTGCTGGAATTTTGACGTGAAAAATTTTGGCCATCCAGTTCAGCACGATAGTTCTTACCCACATGGGCATCTCCACCACTGAGGGATTGTTGTAGTAACACTTAAGCACCAGACATGTCGCAACCAAAGAGAGCGCGACCTGCAGAAAATGTACAAGTTACATCAATTGTGGCCCATTTTACTACCTAAAGTAATCAGAATTTATATTCTTCTAGAAATAACCATAATACATGGTCAGGCATGCAGGAAATAAGATTTAATAGAGTTATTACATTGAAAACAGTGCCCCAGAAAAATCAAAATATAGAAAAAAAAAAGCTGTGACGTTTTTGAATGAGATGAGCTTGATTGAAGTTTGGAAATGAGTCAAATTAGGCGAGAGAGATGTCAGTAGGAGTGTTACATAGCCGGCATGTCCATCAGCAAGTGTTCCAATGCCACTGAGTTTTGGTTAATTTTTTGAAGGTCATGTCAAATATTCACTAGATGCATGGTGACATTAGTTCTAAAAAACAGAGCTTTTTTTTGTGAATAACGCTTAGAGAGCGAATTTTTCAATTAACGTCGTCTGGGTCTGCTGTTTTGCATGCACAATAAAATGCCGACTGCAGGTTGCCTTCCTCTGTGACAACAAACAAGCCTGATCCTAATTATGCGCTCAGCATATGCGTAATGGAACTTGCACTTACATGGAGGTAAAGAGGAATTGATGAATTTATTTAAGGGCACTACCTTCATGTTACCATCTGCTCACCTCAAACATGATTCCAGTGTAATATATGCTTATCAGTGGAATAACTTCAGAAGTAGCCGGCATGATCTCTGCCACAATCAACATGAACACAGTCATGGCCAGTAGGTTGGTAATCACCAACGTGATGCGTTCTCCGGAGTCAGGGGGGAGGAAAAACGACAGCAGTGTCAGGGCTACAAATTAGGAAGAAAACAAAAGAGCTGTTACGACAATGGACCACACTGTTTGATATGCAAGTGACCCATCACTTAGTTTTACGTCGCCCTACCTCAACTCACGCAGCAAAAGTCATTCCTTTGAGCTAAATCTTTGGAAAAAACCGCCTATTTTTTATCGAAACAGTCAATCAGTGGATATAAACCGTTTTACGTCAGGAAACTTACATGTTATTAGCACACACGGAATTATCAGGTTCACAAAATAATAAGTGGTGCGCCTCCTTATATGGACTGTGTACGTCACATCCGGGTATGGCTCAGGACAGCATACATAAACAATTTCATTCCTTTTCGCTGGAAGGCCAATCAAGTCCCATTCACCGTTTGTTACAAACTTCTTTGTGTCGCCCTCATCTGATTCCATTTTAATGTCAAGTCGGTAACCATCGTACGTCCATGAACCGAACTTCATCGAGCAGAACTAAAAAGAAATCAAAACTGAGATCAGGTAAATGATAATCGTGAATCTTTGCAAGCTAAAAAAGATAGAGGACAATCTGGGCTAAGAATACAGGAAACCTGCCGTTTTTCAGCGAAGGTCGTGGAATTTTTTGAGCTGAAGAAGGAGAAGAGGAAATAGAAAAGTTTCACAGCACTCACGAAACTGAGCACTTACTCATTCCTCCGTTTATCCTTTGTTTTACTATGGTTATAGCCTATTCTACACAAATTGTGTTAACCATATTTTTTAATTTGAAAAGACCTAGAGAAACTTGCATTCTACGACCAAAAAAACTATATATAATTTTTCAAAGTTAAGAATTTGCAAAAAAGTCATTTTTAGTACACACCAGCCTATCAAATGAAAACCTACCTTTATTGTTTTAATAGGTAACACACAGTTCCGTTTTAGTCACAGACCGCTGAAACACTTACCTGTTCGTCAAAAGGGAAAAAGTTCACGTTTATCTTGCAAGAGAAGGTGTAGAGAACTGGGCCGAGCCACATGTTTCGTCCGTTAGAACTGAGTACTATTTTAGTTTTGAATCGGTCCAGTGCTCCATCTTTATTAGCATCGGCACTGAAAAGTAGACATATTTTTAAATGAATCCTTGTCCACTCGTTCTGTTTTCTATATTTGTTGTTGTTGTTGCATTCGAGGTTTAATAAAGGGATTTAATTGATACAAACTGATCCTCCTACAACCCGTTTTTTCATGTTCAGAGCAATTCAAATCTGTGATTGGTCTTGCCAGCCAGATGCAAAACTACAACCATTTATGACTTGCCCATTCGTTTTTCACTTTGAATTCTTATTGCTTATTTGTGGTATTACATTTGCCGTAATTTGCGGTTTTGTTTTTTTAACAGACAATCGGAATGTCCTCGAGAAGTGACATCCATACTGTATCATGTTGGAGTGTAGACCTTCTAAACTTTAAGGAGTAAAGAATGTGTATATGGCTCCATCAATAGTGAAAATATATTGTAGGCGGCTCTTAAACTGTACTTTTGATTCGTTCCTCCAAAAGGAATAAAACAAAAAAACTTAGAAAATAAGTAAATAAAACTACGACATCACTACGCAACAACGTACACCTTCCAAAAAAGATATAATATTAACATGAAAACAAATACGAAATAGACTCTCGTACTTATTATAGAGATAAATATCTGGTATCCAAACTTTGTTTGCGTTGATATTGATTTGGTTGACGCCCTCAAAATGTGAAGAATTCCACGTCAAGAATGGATTGAACCAGGTCTAAGAAACAAATTCATCAATTGGTGTAGCATATAAACAATATAAACATAACCATGACAAAGTATCAAGAAGAAACATGAACTGAGGAGACTGAAGAAACAAAATAGAACTGAGAGATTTATCTCTTGCATGTATCGAACCTGACGTATCCAGAGACTGACTTGCATTAGCTGATTCTTTTCGTCCTGCAAGAATGAAAAAAGAAGAGTTAAAGTTTTCATCTGAATAAAGGGGTTACTTGTTGATGTATCGGCAGGGGATACCACAAGATCATTTGGTTTTATCAACTGCGTTGATAATGTAAATTGGCCACCGTAAACAGTTTTTAAAGCTGAATTTTCATGCGTTAGCCCCTAGTTGGCCCTTAGGGAGAATTACCAAATCATTTTGCAAGTTTTCATCTGCGAATTTATTCAGTATTTCTCTTGATGAGGCTAAGGCATAAGCACCACTCTCCTGGGGTGGTGAGAGGCCGCTTAAACAATGGAAAAAAAGAACTGATGATATAACTGCGAAAACCATATAGCATATTCATAAGCTTCTTCAAACTTAGAGTAATAAAGATCATTTACCACATCAATGATCTGATGTAAAGAGACACCAAGCTTTACTGTGACTTTACTGCTTCTGTTCAGAACGGGGCGTAACTCAGGATTGTAACCAGTCTTGAATAATTTCTCTCTCAGCTTGGCCTCCCCGTTTTCCATCAAAGACATATTCCAGCTCCCATTTATTCCTGTAAGAAATGCGAAAATTGCCGCCGCAAAAACATGACTGTACGTATAGGTTACTCTTTCGAGGCGGAGCTTAGTTAACAGCCATTTTAAGTGGCGAACCCCTTATAAGTACTTTGCACAGCATTTGGCGACGAAAACGAAAGCTTTGGGCTCAAATTAAAATCTTCTTCATGAACATACGTCCTTACTTTATCCAAATAATTTGAAAAGAAGTCATATAAAAGTCAAAGGGTGTTCAACAACAAACCCTCTAGACGAGGAATTGATAGCAGTATCCTTAATTATAATGTGACAGATACATCTTGCCTAGTTTGCTTTAGATCCACCTCTGCATTTTGTCGCGTCATTTCTATTCGGATACGTTGTGTGTCGCCTGCGCCCGCCCCGTTTCGTAACAGAAATGGTTTGACCGTGCAGACCTGAGACTTGATTTGCAGTCGGCAAAGGGTATATGCTAACGGCATCCATTAGACTTCTCATAGTCAACTTTACGCTCGTCGTTCAGATTTAGTGGGAAAAATTCTAAGAAAAGAATCAGCCCGTCATAAGGAAATGTTTGTAGTGCGTGAGACTTCTGCCGTCGAGTAATACAAGGAAAGCAAAACATATTTTGGCTTATCTGACATCATAAGTAAATACAAGAACACAAAAAGGTTTCTTACCATAAATATATTATGTTAGATGTCAATTTATTTGCAGACAATATGCTCGCAAAAATTTCATCCTTTTGTTTATCACACGAACAAAATTTTCTTTCGTTCTTCCTCGTTATGTATTTCTTGAATAAATCACAGAGTTCAGCTGGCGACGGTTCATGTAAAGCTTTATATCCACACGGCCCTCTCGGAGGCTAGTTTTGATCTCACTGTTTTTAAAAGATTTTAGAATGATAAGCTTCATTTCTAAGATATTAGCGATTCAAATACATATCGATGGGATTCTGTACCAGTAAGCCCTGCGGCGTGTGTTGGATTGTTGTTTACTGATGAAATGTGTTAATTAGAAGCGTTTCTCATTATTATTTAAAATATTTTTCAAAATACGATTGTTTTTGCTTAAGTCGAGTTGGATTTGAAATCATCGCCATGCAGTCCCAGAAGTAAAACATTCTATGAATGCGTGTTTAACATTTCCAATTTATGATCAATCAGGTTTTCCTCAAAAATACATAACCACCGACAAATCCTCTTAGAAAACGTGAAGATTATTCAAAACTTCTTAAACCTCTCGAGTACTGATGAAATTTAAACTTTGGTTGTTGAATTTTCAAGTATCTCTCAGTGATTCCACTTAACAATGATCCGGATATAAAACAAAAAAAATGTGGGCAAAAAAAAATGATGTACGAAACCGTACAATGTGCAACAACACTTTTCCAGCATTATGATAGCTTGTCAAAGTTTTGTTCCTCGGTTGACATTCTATTGACTGAAATTGACTCAACAAGAAATGCAAATTTCTAATGAAATATAATCCAACAGTGATGGAGAAACTGAAATCTTCTTCGGGTAAATGGATTTTCATGGCCTTCGGTGGAAAATGAAATACAAATCAGGTCTGGCGATGTTAGGGGGAAGTATCATCAAATGATCGGAAAAAACGCACGTTCTCTTCTCATTCGGAAATCGGTTACTGAACATGTCTCAAATGCTTATGGCTTAAAAGCAAATGCGTTCTGACTCAAAAGCATCAGTTTTTCTGATTTCTGAAACAATGGATACCAAGGACAGGAATCGTAACCAGGCAAGCCTATTGGCCGCCTTCAAGAATGATTTCAAGTTTGATGAATATCTTGTTATCCTGAAATGAGTAAGATTATGAACAGATTGTTCTCACAAACTAATCTAAACGTCCAAAATTTCGACGATACAGCTACAAAAACTGGCCAGAATGTATCAAACAGGAAAGACCCGAACAAGAGCCGTGCAAATAATTAAGGTGTTATCGACATCAACCAAAAAAAACCCCAAATAAGATTACAGAAAGATCCCATTCCTTCAAATTCACTTACCTTTCACAGCAAAGATTGCCGCAATCAGGGCAAGAAACCCCACAAACGTCCGCGTCGAAACCGTCATCTTGTACAATAAGCGTCAGAAACGTCCCCTTCAAGACGTAACTACCTTGACCTACCTAACACAATCGTCTATGTCATTAATAATTAGTCTTGGTCGGCCAACTGTTAAAAAATTCGCTTTAACTATTTTCAACGCGTATTTACCGCCGCCGCGGTAACCTAGAGAAGGGTTACTTTTACCAAGGGTCACCGGATATGACGCGTATTGAGAAATAAAACAACTGACATGTTTATTCACCTAAGGGTCTGCACAACTGACACTGTCTGTACAACTCATGGGTTGAACAATTCAAAATATGCCTTTAGCACATTAGAGTCACAATTACTGGACTGAAAGCAAAATTATCATCAAGATATCATCAACTAACCGAAGATAAAAGGGTAGGATGTGTTACATTACCCTGCTCATCTACTTCATAGAGTGTTCCTATTCAATTATTTGAAGCCGTTTAATCTCTTTTCGAAACTGTTTTCCGTCGTTTCTTTTGCCCCATTCACAGCAACAAAAAATGTTGACTTAAACCAGAATTAAATTAATGAAAATTGATGACAGAAACACGAAAGATAAATGACCCTTACATAAAGTGGACAAACATCAGTTCAGAAACCTCTTTGAAGACAATTATTCTAAATCGTGTTGAACAAAATAGCTTTCGAACGTATTTGAGCTTTGGTGTGAATGAGTCATTAGTCTCTCTTTGAAAAAGACAATGTTGCTTTGAATATTTATTAAATAAAAACTCCTCTCATCTGCTAAAAAGCTTTTTCAAACGTTCTATCCGTGTTTGAGAGTTGAAATTCAATCTCTTCAAGTGAGCATGAAGCTGAAAAATTCCAGAAAGCAAAAGAACGGAATAAATCCTTATCTTTATCTTTTTTTTTTTTTTTTTTTTTTTTTTTTTACATCAGAGCCGCGGAAATGATATTTTTATGAATTCGAATCAGCCAATCAGATGATCCGAAAGGGTTATTTTGCCCGGTGGTGTGGTTTTCCATTCAAACTTATTGATGAAATAAGAGTACCGACTTAAAGCCGCTAAAAATAAGTTTTTCTCTGGCCGTGTTTCTTATAGGATCTAATGTTTGTCTGATGACCAGATCGGCTGCCATTCGTCACGAACCTTCCAACTACTTCCAAATTGAAGAAGTAATTGAGACAAATCCTGTGATAAGTTCTTAACAGATATGTTTAACATATGGAAAAGCGTGCTCTCTGTACGGAAATTGAGAGGTTATCCATTTCCTCTATTTTATTCGGTGGGGAAGAGGAGAACTGTTTAAGAACTGCTCTAATGAAAATAAGGTCAATACAAGTAAGGTTAATACAGGTTCCACTGTACACTACAAACAAGAACTCTGATAACAAATACGACGACGTCACTAACGAAATTTAGATGATTGCTCTTTAATTTGCATTGCATATGTTTCAGCTTTAACCTTTCATTACGGAGGATTAAACAAAATATAAGATAAAAGAAATTAATTGCAAAATTTAGGGAAAATAAAACCAAAAAATTTTTTTCGAGCAACAAGCGACTCGAGGACAACAGTGACTGTCTATGGGCAAACATTCGAGATTGTTACACACCTAGACTTCCGCTTAACAAAACGAGCACTGTGATGAGTTGATTCTCGGTCACTTGCCCCTGATCAAATTCAAATGTATCTCGACCGGTACACAATTGTGCAGTTGTTTCCCGCGCGTCGAATACAACAACACGTTTGTTTGTTTTTGCCATGTGATTGTTAAAGAAAAAGTCTAAATATATAGCAAGGCACTCAATGTATGGTCTCTTGGGAAGCTAGTTAGTTCTGTTTTCCCTCGAGTCCTCGTGTTTCCCTCGACTTTGTCTCGTGAAACATCAGGGCTCTCGGGAAAACAAAACAAACTGTTTTCCTTGGGACCATACATTAGGTGTATAATATTCTCCATCGAAGAATAGTTAAATCCGTTGTCTTTGTTTTGCAAGGTCTCTGTCACGTCATTCAACTTACGTTAGCTAGAAGACCCATTTGATATCTCGGCCAAACGAACGCTTATCGTGGGAAATTTGCCGTATAATGTTTTCTCTCAGGCTGTTTGCTGTCTCTGCGTTAAGTAATCTTCACCGTCAATCATTTGCCCCTCACAAGCTTCATTTTATTGTTCAAAAACTGACATGACAATTTTTGACAAGGACAGATGTAAAAAACATCACCTTTCTCCTTACGACTACCCACTTAAGCAACATTAACCGGTTGGTGACCCTGTGACCTCCAGGATCTCGGTATCATTTCTCCTTACTTGTTTCTCTAGGTTTCTTTTAATTTTAGTTATGAAGATTTAGTTTTTAACTAAATTTTTTTTTTTAGTTGATGTTTTTATCTTTTTCCATCATTTACTGTGACTGCGGTAACCGTAGCTTTCCAACACCACGATTAACTGATAAAAAAGGCGATTTATTGATGTGGAAGAACGATGAGAGTTGAAACTAAAAAACATACAAAATTACAACAATTGATCAAGTAAAAATGGTAGGAAAGAAATACAGCCCACTTGAAGCGATGATAATTACATTGTTACGATTACTCACAAACTGCACTTGCACTCGACGAGAAAACACTGTCCGAAGACGAAATGAATAACGTAGACACTGCTCGAAAGTGAAATGCGACTGGCGCGACTACAGGGAAAAGAAAGGCATCCTGAACAGGGAAAATTAAGATAATATACGCAGGAAAAACCGAAAATTAATGCATGCGAAACGACTAACTGAAAGTGTAATTGACACCAAAATTAAGAATGAAACAATAATACATGAAAGTATGCGATATGGAGAACAAAAGAAGCTAACTAACCGGTGGAAAGACGACGCGAAACAGCAACAACGCTCTAGAGACACCCTAATTAACAATTGACAACATTCCGCACGCTAAGATCTTACATTTACTACATGACAGTGTATTGATGTTGTAGGGAGAACTTACAGAGTTAGCACTCTTGACAGTGATAGGGTTCATTAAATTTACAATGGCATCTCATCATTTCAGCAAAGAATGACTAATTGTTTTATCCAGGGATTAAATTAGGAGATTTTCGAAACACCACGAAGAACTTCGTCTGAAAACAAAAAAAGGATTGAACAAGCAACAAGTTTATTAGCACTTTATTACGCTATAAAATTTACATACCATTCAACTAATAATACGAAAATAACATTATTCAATACGAAAATATTCTTCCATTACACCATTAAGACCAACTAAACTTTTTGGAATTGTTTGAAATCATCTTGATCGTATTGGTATTACCAGCTACAGCAGAGTTTTCACCTTCATGTTAAAACAAACGAAATTTTGTTTAAATAGATTGCATTGCCTTCGCTTCACTCGCCAAGACAAGGTTTTATAATAGGCTAAAAATACATAACTTAGGATTTCTAAAGCTACATATGCTAATGTCTAATGTTTACTTAAGCATTTGAAATTATACCGACTGAAGTTTGAAAAAGTGCAAAATGGAGCTAAATTAAAGTATTTCATATCGTTTTACTAACAAAGTCAACAATAACTTTGAAAATAACACAAATATTAAAACAACGATCAAAACGCCAAAAGCTACCCCCAAAAGGACTAGGATGACGACGATACAGATTAAACAGATTAAATGGATTAAAAGAGAACCATGTTGAAAAATTTAACAAGATGAATCTAAGATACCTAAGATACCCTACGTTGTTACTTCGCACAGGTTGATTAACGCTATTAGGAGAGGCTATCATACCTCATGCCAGTCAACTTACAACGTTTTGGTTTGATTTCACAAAATTCATTTCCAACCACATGTCAGAAAGTGCTACCTTTGTGGTTTTCACTTGGAACTGTTCATTAAAAATTAAAAAGCACTTAAAATATTTAATTTACCAATTTATCATTATCTATTATTGGTTAATAGTGGAGCTGTTCGTAACTTTTCCACAGCAAATTTCGACGAAAATCATTCAATTCACTAAAAATGAATTATCAAATTTCCGAAAAAACTGCATTTTAAAAAGGGCAGCAGTTTCGCTAACAATTAGAAAAAAGTCTTTAAAGGTAGTTTTGAATAACGAGTAATGCTTCACCGCTTGTTAACAGATAACGAAGTCTGCCCTTAAACAACTACTTCGCACAACATCCGTCTCAAACATATTTCGCCCAGATGTAGTGATTTCTTCGAGACACAACTCCGTCGCCGAAAGTCGAGTACACCCGACGATCAAATTCGGAGACATTCGGCTCTCGTAGAATACAACATTCGAGCACTGATTTGAGTGGCGAGTGAGCAGGTATTTATTATCCCATACAGTAAATCTTTGGGAAAACCAGTAAAAATACGCGTATACAATCTCCTAGACAAAATGTTTACAAAATGTTCCTTAGTGTCTGTCCTGAATAATGTAAGTTATTTGCCCAAATATCTACCATTATTACTCAGCTTCGTCATCTGTCATGACTTGAACTAGAGATTCCACAGCTTTATTAACATCTTTTGCAGTAGCAAACAAATGTCCAACGGGGTCTGCACCTAAAACAAACAATATGGATTAATGATTAGCTCCAATCAAAGCTAAACATGGTTGGACTTGTACTGGCATTTCAGCGAAAAAAAAAGACTGTCTTCATAAATTTCGCGGTTCAACTCGTGCTTCGGGTTCTTTTCGATTGAGTTTCGTAAATCCAAAACCAAAGCAATCACGAAAACCATTCATAGTAAGAAGAGTTCACCAGGAAACTATGAGAACTCGAAGCAAAAACAAGGAAAATGTTCGAAGCGCGGGAAAACGCGAGTGACCAAGTCGCCATAGCTTTTTGTTTTGAAGCTGATTGGTTAAGAGAATAGGCGACTTTTCTGGATCAAACACACAACGAAGTAAAGCAAAACTTAGGCAACCCCGTATAATTTTCCACATACAAGTGAAGATTGCTCTGATAGACGTAATGTGCGAAGTGCATGGTAAATTTAATTGAATTATCTAAGCACATAAATTGATGTGTTTCTTCAAAGTAGTTCCCTTCTTCAACAAATATGTTTACGTTCTGAACTTAGGAGAAGATTAGCAGACTTCCCCTTTAACAAACTGGAGAACAAATGGTACAGTTCTCAAAATTTTCTTGACGAATGGGCTTATATAACAACTGAAACAATTGTATACACAGCACTATGTATTGCTATGCTATGTATTGCACGTTTTAATGCTACGTTCCGAACCTGGGAGAAGATTAGCAGACTGGTAAATTTAATTGAATTATCTAAGCACATAAATTGATGTGTTTCTTCAAAGTAGTTCCCTTCTTCAACAAATATGTTTACGTTCTGAACTTAGGAGAAGATTAGCAGACTTCCCCTTTAACAAAATGGCGAACAATAAGTACAGTTCTCAATACCTTCTTGACGAATAGACTTATCATAACAATTGTATACATAGCACTATGCATTGCTATTTCTTTCAAATGCACGTTTAAATGTTACGAGTTAGAAGTATCAAGTCAGTTTCAGTGCATGTGCACGTGACGCATCAAAGCAAGTGCAGGTGGATACAGAGAAGTAATTTTGAGACAGGCTTGCTGACACGGATGGTCACGGGAGAGCTTTGTGTCCTTCAAAAAAGCAAGTTACTGCAGGAACAACTAAGCGAGGACTACAGTGATCTTGATTGCCGCGGGCTGTGTCAGGCGTTTGTTTTTAGTGATTGCTGTATTTTGTTTCCTTTTGATCTCATGATAGGATTTTATTATTATTTTTATTTTAATTTTTTTGGACAAATCAATAATTGTGCAGAGTTTGATTGTAAAAGTGGGTAAGTTTAGATCTCTTACCAGAAGAGTCAACAGTCATGCAGGGTTAGATTCCACTGGTTAGGCTTCAGCAGACACTACACAAGAGTTAACAGCATTAGTCACTGAAAACATACAACAAACAACAAACCAAATGGTGCTTTACCGTGCCTCGCTCCTCACTCACTTTTCTGATCAGGAGGAAAAGAAGAGCTTATTTGACTCATGACTTCTTTTAAAGCTGGATCCTCACTTCCTTTACCGGCAAAACCATTCTTTACGGGTCCTGAGTTCGTCCCACCAGGTTCCGATTCGGAATCACTATCATTCCCGCGGGATTTTCCCGATCGACCTGACTTTACCGGGGAATACGGACCGTCTCCGAGCGAGCTGATGGAGGAAGACGGAGTGGTTCGTTCAGAGGACTGAGCCCCGCTCTGTTTGTCTTGACCCGGCTAAAAAGAGATCAACGATAACATACGTATGAGATATTGCGGAGAATTTTTGGGAAATTTCTGTTCTGGGTCATTCAGTAACCATCATTTGCCTGCACCTGATCGAGTAGCTGTCTAAGTCGCTGTAACTGCGCCTCTAACTGTCTGTTATGGTCCTCCAATACTTGCATCCTCGCCTCCAGGCGACCTTTGTGCTGACGCAGCAGTTTAGCTTCTGCTAGCAGCTCGGAATCTCTGTTCTGAGGTCCCCCGGGAGATGCCTCACCATCAGGTGGAAGGCTAGACTGATCTCTAATGGATTTGAGCCGTTCGTATTCTTCTTGGAGGTCCCTGGCAAAATAAATGACGCATGAGGTTGAAAGCAATAAACCTGTTGATCATTGTTGGCGATAAAGACTTTTGGGCAAAAGATGACGAGCTCGTTATCATAAATTATCACAAAATACTGACCTGTTTTCTTCTTCCAGTTTTAGAAGTTCAGCTTCAAGATCTTCTTTTTCTACCGCATCTAAAGCCATTACAATCTGAGTTGGACTTTTGGGCTACGACAACAAGAACGAGTGTCATAATACAGAAATAAGAGACATCGCGACAAACTTCAAGGGCTCAAGAAAATCATCATTTGGTAAATCAGTTGTGAAGTTCTTACCGCGTCTGCTGTATCGCTCTTTAGGCTGTAAATAACGAAAAGAAAAGTACTATTTATATGATGAAGAAAAACAACTTTAAAAGCTACATGGGAACAACAGAGTCTACTAATTTTTAATGTCTACAGATAATTGAAACGATGGCACCACTTTATCTTAATTCGCTGCCTAGAGTAAATTCGATTTAAAAATTCAGCGCAGTTCAAACAGCTAATATCCGAAGTGTCCATAGAGACGTTTTATTTAAGGTGTAATGAAAAACGTACGGAAACATCTAGGAAACGCTGGCAGACAAACAGACAGATAGATGGTGGAAAAATGATTACCTTTGGCAGTACTGTGCTATAAGCTGATGTTCCTCGTCCCTGCGAAATAACAATACAGGTTTAACCCTTACCAAATCATGACCGCAGGACGGCAAATCCAGGCAGATCAACACATTTACTGAGACCAATTCTGTTGGAAATGTCAACGCAAAAAAAAGACAAGACAGCCTAGTCGTGCAAAGACTTACAAATCCTGTGGATTATATTTTCCTCCTTCTGATTCTGCCTCGGCCAACCTGCAAGCAAGGGGAAAAAAAATCACCTTTTCTGTTTGTCTAGCAACCTACCTCCTGGACTACTCAAATATGTCTCAACGCTCTTGTTTCCCGAATGCGGGAAATACCCTTCCTGTATCAATCCCTTCAAAACCAATTTCTTTCTTCAGTTCACTCTTCTGCCAAACAATACAAGGAAAGTAAAGGGAGAAATTGGATGTGAATAATTCACGCACCTGTGAGCAAACATGCCTAGTCTGTTGTGTACCTCGTGATTAACATTTTGTTGAGGAGTCGGCATGGGTGGCCTACAAAAGAGGAAAAAAAGAAAGGAAAGTGATTATCACAGAGAAAGAAAAAAATAACAAACAAAAGGTATACAACAACAAGGAATGCAAAGGAAACGAACACTAAGCCTCTTGTCCATTTCCTCTTGGAATAAAAGGGCTAATTTTGACTGGCTAACGAAAATACAGTTTGGTACCTGTTGCGCGGTTTAACAAACAACCTTTGCTTAAGGTTATGGGTTCAAATCCCGTATGGGCCTGAATTTTTTTTCAGGCTTTATTTCAACTACTAGTTCAGTAGTGTTCATGACTGCGAGGATCGCTTGTATTCGTTTCTTCAACCGCAGTGCACATATATATGATTTTCACAGTCATTCTTCATCATTTGCTTAACTTACGTTTCGAGATTTCCTCCTTCCATTACAGTCTGAATCGGTAAATAACCGAGTTTTCGTGGCGGTTTGTTCTTGTATCGCCTTTTCTTGAATTTGTTTCTAACCATGGCCAAGAAATCTAACACATCCTCACCAGAGGTGGTCTTAATAAAAAGAAAAATAACAATACTTAATCTTACCTATAATACAGAATGCAACAATTTACATGTACCACAGCAGCAAACACGAGAAAGGGTGGAACAAAAAACAAAAAACATAAAGAAAAACAAAAAAAATATCAACGACTGGATCGTTTGACTGGCTGACAACTGAAGCCTTAACACGAACCAAGATGCGCACAAGCACAAGGGTCATCGTTTATTGTTCTCAGTGTAAAGGCATTAGAAAGAGAAAGTGTCTTGTGTCTATGTGTCCTGCCAGGCTCGAAGCCACACCTCTAACTAGATTACCTGCGCGCTGACCATAAGAAAATCGCGTTTACCTGAAACCAGCTGCAACCCTTAACTAATACACTTAAATGGATAAATTGTCAATCAAACAAAGTCAATCTAACAACGAAGCAACTACTCACCGACAAACAGTACTGATGCATTGGGTGAGTGAGACGATGGTCATGGGAGACTCGGCCCGACCAGAAGCAGCTCTGATGAGGAATGACAAATACGATAGTTAGGAAACTAGTGAGAATTGAATTTGTTATTAACAGCTAGCAAAGCAATACACTTCACATTCAATGCTTGGTACCTGGCATAAATCGTAATTGAAGCACTTTAGACAACGGAACCTGCAACAAATGAAAAACATTTCAAGGGGATATATTTTTAATGCACTAAGGAAGGCCTTGAGAATAAAAAGAAGAAAAAAACATGGAAAGGTGATCTTGAAGAAAAGTCACATACCTAAACCCAACGATAGGGTACTCTTTACATATACTGCATTTGGCTTTGTGTTTTACTGTAAGAGAGACCCAAAAAAACAGAACATTAGTGACAGACAAAGCCAAAAGCTTTTTGGTCTTTTAATAGGTAACATCGGAAATTTTTTAATCATTTCACGGCTATATGCAAATTTACCTAGGGTATGAAGGAAATAGAGAAATACTAGATCACAAAAGAAAAAGGGAAGTAAAGTGCTTACCAGCCTCTGACGCGGCGAGTCTGTGAAGTGTTGGCAGCCAAACAATAGACTGAGGTTCAACTGAGAGCCATGTCATAAACTCTGCACAATCGATGGTCTTTTTTTCTCCGGTCTGTTGACAACAGACAGAAATAAATGCAATCAGTTTCAAACTTTTAACCGATGATCTTTCTGAACTTATGACCAAAGTTGTGCTTGTCGAATTAAACTGAGCTCGACCGACATACGAGATTTGTGGCGTCTGTTGGGGTAATTAGTACATGGACGACGACGAGATAATTTGCGACCACCATATAGAGATTTTAGAGCACATTTCGACTGGGTCTCGTTAGACAAATTCATTAAAATACTAATAGAAGCTTATCAGAAGAGCGGGAAATATCGCAAGGAGGCAAATAGAGCTCAGAGTAAAATAACACAACAAGAAGCGAATTGTTTCAGTCGTGGATCTGCTCGCTCGAGAGGATGGCGCGTGTTCTTGTCGGCGACAACTTTATGATTTCAGATGGTGAATTTCAACAACTTTGAGATTGGAGTCCTTAAGTAGCCTACCTTCGAGAAACAGCTTCTCACACTCGGTTCAATGTTACTGCCACCAAAGGCGGCAATTTCACCGAGTTGACGAGGAATCTGTAAAAACAAACAAATGGGAATAAAATCTTGAAATTCGGTCGAACTATCGGGTTGAAACACCATAACTCGAGAGAAGGCTCCGTTTAAATAGTAGACCAGGAGAATATCTTGCTCCTGACTAAATGCCTGTATTTACCGAATAACAGCCGCCTCTTTGTCTCGATATTAGGTGTACAATTTCAGTAAAAATAAAAATAGCTTTAAGCTTCACCTGCAGTGAGTCATGTAAGAGCAATCCTAGTTGCTTGTGGTCCATTAAGCCTTTTTCGTCCGTCACAAGCCGGTATAAATCTGAAAAAGGCATCAAACCTTTTTTTAGCTGGAACACGCAAGAAGAAATATAAGCGTCAACAAAAAAAAAATCAAACCTTCAAATTCTTACATTTGTATTTGTCTTCTAAATGAGCTCTCGCCATTGTCACCAGACCAATTTTGAAAGAAAGAACACGGATCTTTCCAACTCGCCCGCTAAAAGAAAAAAATAAAGGAATCAATTTTAAATGCCCTTGTAGTATACAATGTTCTGAGAAGAAAGCGCACTTATATACAAATGAACATTTCGGGGAAGAAGACACTTTCAAGCTTGCTTTACTCCGGAAAAATTTATTGAACACTTGCTGCCTTCCCACCCCCACAGTGATTAATTATGTCTTAGAGAGCGGGTCAAATTGTCCTGGTATGAGAAGTCGGCTAACATCGATCGAAGTAAATCGAAGATAACCAGCTTCGAGGCTTCATGAAATCCCTAAAGCCAACTCATTTACTTTAGAAAGGTAACCATGCTTACAAACTACCATCAAAATAGTTACCTGTCATAGACGTTAAGAAGCCAGTTAAGCGTCAGGTCAACACAGAACTCATTGCTGGTCATCGATAAATCCGCTGGCACCTCAATGTTTTGATATATAGTGGTCAATACCTTGACCATATCTGGGACACCGATCAGAGAATCGTTCGTAGACTGTTTAAGATTGTGCTGCTCTAAGGCTGACATCACATTGTTCAGTGTCACCAGGTCCACTGTTAAGCGAGAAAATTGTGGAGTTAATAAATTATACAGGTCTGTTTACAAGAGCAAAATTGATATTAATCCACTCTTCAAATTAAATTTATATCATAAATCATAGGTCAAGGAAGCAAACTTGAATATATTGTTTCAAGGCCTTGCCATCGTAACCAGTTTAGAATAGACTTTGGAATATTATCCTCGGATCGAAATCAAGAAAGTCCCGTTTTGTCTCGTACACTCTGTAGAGGAAAATAGTCGCCAGTTCTAGATCTATTTTAAACATGAGCGAATGAGGTACATTAAAAGACACTCCTTTACTGGGATTATGGAATAAGTAGGAAAATAAGAATAGCATTAAAAACTCAACAAAGAAAACAAAACAACCAACAACTTACAACTAGTAGCCTTTTGAATGCATCGAAGTTTCATAGCCGTTCGGTAAGCGCTGTACTTGATATCGTTCAGTTCCGCTGCAAAGAAAAGACACGAGAAAATTGGACAAAGTCATTCTAAAAGCATAGTTCTGTCAAAATTTAACTTGCTCTCCAAAAGTGGAAAATTCGGAGGCCCGATAGCTGGCCGTGTGGACATCGGATCAAGAGGTCTGGGTCTGAGCCCCAACAGAGTCTTTGTGTTGTGGTCTTGGGCAAGTTAAGTAACAGAGCGTGTCTCCACCCAGGAGTATACATGGGTAGCAAATAGGTATCAGGGAACAGTTAGGGAAACCTAACCAAGTGTTGAGAAGATGAGTACTCACCGATTTGGTGGTAAAGCTCTGTCATCTTTGGATGATCCCACTGTGTTGTTTCTGTCTTGTGGCTGTGACAATATTATGAAGAAGTATTAATTATGAGCATCACGGATGATTGACTTTCGGTGACATTATGTCTACTAGTTCAAGCTAAAGGTTCACGAACAAGAAGTAAGCAGCGCATGACATGGTAACCGAACAATTTTCAGCTGAGAAACGCCTTAACAGAAACAAAGTAAGAAAGGAATCGATACAGCAAGTAAGAAAGGTAAAAACTGCAAACCTACTTGATGTAGTAAGGAACCTTGTTCAGTGCTACCGCTCGTTCCCAGGGTGGTTCGACACTCGCTGATGAATAAAAAGGAAAGCAAATTATGCAGGTCAGCATACTGACTGAAATGACAAGTCAAATACACATAAAAGAAAATTCACAGCCGACGAACGTTCAGTATTCCTTCGCGAACTGTTGCACGGCTGTCATTCTTAAAGCAAGGGAAGATAGGGGAAAAGAAAAAGCAAAATACACGTAGCAACTCAGCAAACTGTCGCTATTTTATGAACCTAACTGGTACTCCCTAAGAAGACGCCTGTAATGAATGATATCTACCGAGAAACCGTACATCCGAGGGCTGTAGGCCCGAGGGTAATCCTTATTTTGAAATTATTCAGATGACAAAGTCACACTTAGGTGAGAAATCAAAGCAACCTGATGTGTGCGTTTCTCGCAGTACTGCGAAAAGTTGGCTCATTCCTCCGTTGCTGACTTTTTTTTTTTTGTGCTTTGATATTTTCTTTGTTCCTTTGTTTATATGTTCTATTGTTTGATGTTTTGTCTTGTTCTTGTTTACTAGGTTTTGTATATGCGAAAGTTTTGGATCTGTATGGACTGTTTCGACAGCTTTTTTACACAAAATAGTTTTTCGGAAGAAAGGGTAGAAGACAACTGGTCAAGCCTGTTTCACAAAATTCATGTGGGGGAATTTTTGAAAAGATCAAGGATGGACGGACGGAGTCGAACACCCCAGTAAGGAAGATTGTGATCGTTGACGATCTTGAGAAGAGGAAGTTCGGCAAATACAAGAATAAATACTCTGGGCAGTTCGTTTTTCTAGAAGAATTTGATTTTCTCAGGAAGAGCAAGGTTCATTTGAATAAAACATGTTCAATTGAAGAGATGCTATTTGTGTTGTCTTTGCAGCAGTTGGATCTGTAACTGTTTCCACCTTCGGTACAACTGGTCAATCCGGTTTTGAAGACTTGGCGACAGCGACACACCCTTGTGCCTCAGTTCGCTCTCTGTGCTGCTGAGAGTCTCAAACATGTTCTGAAGAGATGCTATTTGTTCCTGGAGACTCTACAAGAGATCAAATATTCCGTATGAGTGTAAGGCGAAGTCCTGGATGTAAAGAAGGCACCCCTTTTACATGGTCGACAGAAAAAAACTCATAAATGTCTAAGCGGCCGATGACTTCACAATTGTAATAGTCAATACTTCAGGACTTAAGAATTGACAGAAAACTGATACTACAGCTTGATTTTTAGGCTAGGCATTGCCAGGAATCCTACTTCATGATTTTAACACTTGATGTCATCATGATTAAAAGTAATAGTTCAAGAGCAAAAGTTCAGTCTCTCATTTAAAGAAACTAATGATGCTGAGCAGGACACGTTATTTAACGACTCAAGTGTCGATTAACTTTGAGAAAGCCTATGGCAAAGTAAAGTTTTTCCACAATACTCTTTGGAAAACGTTTGTACAAAACAACATTGACAAATAACATTTGGAACACACTGCGGACAGTCAAGAGATCACAATCTGTTTCAAAGCACTCCACGATTATCATTACCTTGAGTTCATCCATCTGTTCGGATAGCGAGTCAATGACGAGATCTTGAACTGGTGTCCAGTTCGACTTCACCTGCTCGGCCTCGACCAATCGCACATCAATCTCCTCCATCTGACCCTGGAAAAGCTGCAACTTCTATTTAGAAGAAGAAAAATTAAAACAAAATTAGGGCATTGTTGGGAATTTTCTGGAACACTGACCATTTTATTGAATAATGATACATGTATGTCACACCATGTGCTTCTCACTTCACAAAAGTTAATCATTACCAATCGCGCAAAAGTTAGCGAGTAGCGTGACCGATCTTATTGCGGCATTTGTGACAAAACGCTAGAGGATTTATACAAACTCTCATTAACCTAACATAGTACAACTGAGTAATATATGCCGTTGTTACCAAAAAAACTTGGATTGAATCATTCCACAATAAGGGTCACGTTAGGCACAGAAGACAGGACGAAACAGCATTATATCAAGCACTACTAAGACCTTCATATCAAAACTTATTTTCATAGTTTCTATGTGAATCTTACATTCCACCTAAATAACGTCTAGCGGTGTTCATACCAAAAACGAAAGCTTGCTCATAACGAGGAGTGCTAAATACTGAATTTAAAGTAGTAAAGAAGGCACGCCTTTGCGGAAGTCTCAACGAATATAATCAGTTTAGAAGTATTGTGTAACAGATAAGATGCTTGAATGATGTTCTCCCTACATAACAAACACGGGCCGATGGTTCAAAACGAAAAGAAGTATAAATCCTTCCTTTCTAAATTATTTAAGAAGAAAAAAGTCACAAATAACAGGAATACCGAAATGTCTAACATGAGGAAAACAAAAGCTATTGCAAACCAAAACATTCAAAAGTTCGGTTAAAAATGCTGCATTTGGTGTCTCTCTCACTCTCTCAATCGTATTAAAAAGACAAGAACGTCTGCAGCACGTCATCAAATTTAGCTCGTAAATGAATTAATATTTCAACAATCCGAGTCATTTCTGCAGACAGAAACTGTTTTCTCACAAAACTATCAAACAGATAATCCATGTTCCAGCTTTATCGGGGCATGTGCATCAGTTGCATCACTACTTCAACCCGTAATTTGAGTAAAACAAAAGTAGTTGCACATCTACGAAGTTACATAAAAACCTAGTAATAAATCCTCTTTTCAATAAAGACCCAAGAAATCCACAGGATGATAAGTTGATAACTAAGCCTGCGGCGGATGACACGATTTTCATTTCTTAGACGCGGACGTATTAAAAAAAAGAGAGCAGTTTACTGTATAAACAAGATTAAGGCAACTTATGTCCGAAGCGGGTTTAGGTTGCTAATATCAGATTTGCAAAAGAAGGCAAATAGCAGAAGCGTTTTGTTTTTCTTGATGGCAGATATCGAATAGAAAACTAGCGTGTTGCACAAACAACTATTCTTATCTAGGAACTTTTCCAAGAGCAAAGGAAACCGCAAGGAAACGATTCAAATGATAAATAGTTATCAATAATTAACTTACTTTTTAGTCAAGTGATTAACATGTTACTTCTCCCTATAACATCCATACATTGTCCAGCAAAAAGGTAAGGAGAATAATCGAACTTATCAGGTAGCGGTTGTTATCTTGATCTAACACCAAATTCATATAATTCCTATGCAAGGAAATCTGTAGCAGCTAGAGGGGAGAATTAACAATCAGATTTTGTGAGTTGCAGGGTTGGTGGTTTTGAACATTTTATGTGGGAGATACTTTTTTTTAAAACAAGATCTATAAGAGATATCAAATGATTTCAGTTCTAGCATATTGTTTCCGTTTTGTTGCGATAAAGCGTCAATATCAGACATCGTTACTTAACAAAACTGACACCAACATTATTTTTTCCGCTGCATAAAAAATCGCATGGTGGTCAAGTAGTGGGTTTCACTGATCTGAAACTCACTAGATGAGCCTTTCCCCAATTAAAATCAGAACAGATTATCAATTCTTCTGTTGGTAAAGATACTAATTCAAAAATTCATTGTTAATGCAAAATTCCACGTGACAAATCTAAGTAAAATTGCGTGACCAGGGTCATTGAGTTCCACATGTGAATATTTAACCTATATTGACTTTAAAAAAAATTAAATTGGCATAAAACTTTGCGTGGTATTTGCAAAAAATGAATCAAATTTGAAACTTATACGTTAACTCAACATGTGCATTATGGAGATAAACAAATATTTGATAGGCTTCGGGGTAAAAGCACGAGAAATCTTACACAATGTTTCCGCAGCGGAAACGAATTCGCGCGTTCTTACTACTCTATGTTAGGACATAAATAAAGTAAAGAATAGGAATTAAATGCCGAAACAAGCCTCATGTTCTTCTCCAGTACACAAATTCTGTAACAAATTAATAGCGTTTATTGTCCAGTTACAGCTGAGCGCGTGAAAGTGAGTGTTAAATGCAGGATCATTGTTCAAATTTTCGTATGTGGGTTCCGAACATCTCTTGCTTCCTGATAATAAAATCGACAACGTCAATAAATTGGCGAATCATTGCTTCGGCTTTTTGACTTGTTTCTAAGGAAAGAAGAGTTTCTTTCCTCGCTGAACAGCCCAGCTTTCATGGGATTACGATCGGGTTGCCATTAATACCAGGGTCAAAATTCGTATGAGTGGGAAATTCCTGAAATCTTTCGACTGTTGTTTGGCTTCTCAATACAAACGACAATGATGAAATGCTCGAAAACTGGTCGTAAACATGAGGGCGTGGAAACTTTAGGGTAAAAAATAAACCAATTCACGGGACAACTTACGCGACAATTTACGCTAAATAAATGCAATATTTAACCTCGAAACAAGGGCTAAAGAGTGCGCGAAGGTCAAGTTTCATCCAGGCTCCCCGTTCTGCGAGAGAGATAAACTCCTGTGATTTCTTGTTCATCACAAAACAACGCATCACTCACCGAAAAAAGGAAGAGGAAAGAGTGAGCAGCTGCATATTTCAAGGACACTTACAAACATCAATTTGTGCAATGACTGATTAAAACAATGAACGATAGCTTCGCTCCAATAACCTCCGTGAAAAACAATCACAAATGCAATAAATCATCCCAAATTTTCTTAATGAAATTTCACCCTAAGCGAGCAACTGTGTCAAATAACCTTATGTAGTGGACAGTACTCACCATTTGGCCACACAGTTACGGAGATCCTAGATATTTTACGATTTGATTCCTACTTAATTTAAGTCAACACTAAGTGCGAGAGTAAATGTGAAATATGAAGCTGTATTGCCCGCTGATACGATGGGCCGGATATGGGTGGTTTCCAGATGACCTATATACTCTACACTTTTCCTTTGTATCAAAGGTGTATCCGATGAAGAAAGATAAATAATACAAACAAAACAGAAATACCAGTACTATTCTCTATTTGAAGTGCATCTTGATACCCTTCGAGTTTCAATAAAAATTGCAGAATACTTCCAAAAATAAATGCATCCGACCTATGATACCCCGCCTGGTACTTCTAATCGTCTGTTTCAAAAATCGAGGGGTGTTGTTCGGTGAGAAACGAGAAAGCCGGAAGAGATAACCCTTCCCCAACTTTATTTTTTAATTCCTCTTTTTTTCCTAAAAGCCACCGTTTACCAGATGGAGTGATACATCACTTGGAAAGGCCACATTTTTTAGCGTAATCCCCTATTGTATTCGAACACAATGCGATATGCTGGTTCACCACTCTACCCCCTACAGTACATGGCCACTGTTCATCACCCTACCCCCCACGGTACATGGCCACTGACTGTCAACCAGAGGTCCAGTACTTGTTAAGTTGTTCTTGAGGACGAGTGTGACAAAACGTACAGCGGTTTTCACCGGATAGAGATTTATCGTTATCGATCCTTCGAACAACTGGTGCAAGAACAGGAGTGCATGCTTTTTTTAAAAGCATTCATTTATCTCTCTTTATATTTGAGACGCATCGTCCGCGAACATATAGATTGCCCATTACTGCAAATTGGTCCACGTTTCTGAGCCAAAGTTTTGCAAGCAGCGCCAAAATCAAGGAAAATGGCACAAGTGACAGACACCCCCTTTAATGAGGCGAACACAATTCGGAACAAAAAAGAACACAATTCGTTCCCGTTCCATGAAAGGTACTTACCCTTAGGACTTCATCAATCCAGTGCTGCCAATCCTCTGACCGCCGGCACAACATTGACCAGCGTTCGCTGACTGTGTCGATCTGGCGTTTGAGATTCTGCGCAATACGCGCCCGTGGTGAATCTTTCGGTTCGTCAGCGGCTCGGTCTGTTTCATATTCTTCTAAAACCCTCCGGCCATCGTCCAGAGCGCGATCGACAACCAGTCGCCTCACATTAAGCTTGCCCTTGAAAGCCTACACAAAGGAGACCAAAAAGAGTTACATCAATAGTTCTTTCCACTACAAAAGGAACCCTAAGAAAGCCTTTCGAAATTTTCTCCTTTCTAGCCACTCATTTGACATTTTATCTTATTTACCAGAAACGTTTTTTCTAAATTTGAGATAAGATGCACTTATTATAATATATCACATGGACTGTTCCTTACAATTTCGTTTTTGTCCGAAAGCGAGAGACCCCTCGACAATTAAGCTCCAAATCAGAAACTGCATGTGTTGAAAACTTGCAGCTAAATAAAAGCAATATTTTTACGACAAAAAAATTGAAACAATAAGGGGCCATTGTAAGTATCTAAACAACTGCACACTTACCCCTCCCTTGACACAACAACAGTCACTTGATGACAAGTTAACGTTAATGTTTGGTGAGGGAAGGAGTAGGTGTGCAGTTGCTAAGATACTGATATTGATCCACAATCGGTTTAATTTAGATGGCTTTGAAGTCCTATCTTAAGTTACATTCTTATATTCCAGTAAAATCTTTACTTGGTGCATCTCGTTCTGGTTGCGCACGCTTTCTACATCTCCTCCTATTGGCTGCTGAAGGGTCAGCTCCTGATCAGCACGTGCAATCCAATCGATTATCTCCTGAAGGTCCATCAACAACTGGCGCCACTCGGTACCAGTGTCCTCCAGCCGATCTCGGATGTCCAACGTGCGAACATTGAGTGATTGCCATCTTTCAATAATAAAGGGGAAAAAAAACAAAACTAATTTAATTCAGACACTCATCAAAACGTAAACAACGACACACACAGTCATACACCATATTTATAATATAAAAAAAATGCAATTAGCACCTGTCATTCATATCATCAAGCTTGGCTTGAACAGCGGTTAGCACATCCCCAGGCTCCATCTCGGCCATAATCAGCTGGCCATTCTCGTTAAGCGAAGCAAACATTTCTTGATGTCCATTAATGTCATCTTCCAGGAACTAAAACCCAATGATAAAACAATCTAAACCCTCAGAAAATTACAACTCTCTGGACAATTACCCTAACACAAAAACGCCCTTGTAGGAAAATTTCCCCTAGTTTTTTTTTTTTTTTTTGCTGACGAATCATTAATTTATTTGACTATATCGCTTTAGTGGAGGTGTTCGGGTGATTACAGACGTGCTCGTGCTCTGATTGGCCGAAGATTACGTCATATCTTGCTCTCTTTCCCCTTCCCCACAGGCGATTAAAAAACGTGTAAGAAAGTGAAGTTGCTCTAACAATTACCAAAGTTATTACACTAGCACAATTATTCTCCTCAAGCTAAGGGAATATGGTCGATTTACCCGACTAGATCACCACTTCCGAGTGCCGCAAGTGTATCATTAACACTGTAACCTGTTACTCTAAATCAACAAAGTTCATTATCATAATTTTTAATATTTATATTTCGCCTTCAGAAAATGATTCTCAAATATTTCATTGACAAAACGCTCTCCTCAAACAGCACGCTGACACGCATTGCCTTTCAAGAAAAATTCACTGTTTGTCACATGTCAACAGAATTGAAAAAGAGTGTTACAATGCAGCATACTGAAGACCTACTTTCAATTCCTTCCTGAGTGCATCCATGTCTTGCTGCTCCTCAGTACTTGTTGCTTCCACCGCGCTGTCTAACTCCGCTACTTTTGACTCTGCTGACGTCAGCCATGTTAAAGCATTGATCATGTCTTCGTGGAATCGCACCATGCGGTCGAAGGCTTCCTTTAGATTTTTCTTACGCGAGTCAGACCTGAAGAAATGAAAAGCGCCCATATAAATACTACAACGACAAAGCCTGCTATATACTATAGAAACGTACAAACAACAACGGCCAAATCACTTCAGGGTCCAACAGATAAATCCTATGCAAGGTGCAGTTTGATTTGGCCGCATTCGTAACCGAATCAGTTTTTCAAAAAATCAAATTTAACGTGTGCATCATGCTTTTATATTTATCAGCATCTACCCGATGGGTTAGCAATTGTAAAATAAAAGATTACCTCTCAAACAAGCAACTCCAACAACGCATGATGAATAGACGATCTGAGAATTGATCTCTTACAGGTACTTGACTTAATTTTTTTTTCGGCTCCACTAACACTTCTTCGGCAATTTGTGAAAAGATGCGTCAGAGAGTATGCGAAGACAAACCATTCCAAAAGCACGCCAGTTTAAAAATTAAAGTGGTCAGACATGGCAGCTGATGGACTATTTTCTACTTTTGTAACATCATATCACAAAGGGATTCGATTCTTCCTTCTTAAACATGCGTTTTGATATAAGATGGGCGTAATATGATCGACTTTTCATTGTAACTAACGTGCGAAATCAGCCCAGGACCGTTCACATCGTACGAGATTTTTACAAATTACATAAAGTACTCAACCCAAAAATTTTATCTGATCTCGGAAGTATTCATTCAGAATCCCCTTCTCAAAATCAGCTAATTAGCATCACATCTGTCATTATTTATTTTTTCTCGATTGGTGGTCTAATCGATCAGTCAATAATTAGTCTTAGCTTTATCAAACAAATTCACACGAGTGCCGACCATATTTCTGAAAACTGCGGCTTTCACAAAGAGACATTCACTGCGATCAACTCTAAACATTTAGACCTCGACAAAAACGACAAAACACCTTGATCTTGATTTTTTGTTAAACCAGGACTTCTCAATCCAAAAATGACAAGGGTCAGTGGCTGTTACAATTATATGCATATATATCCCAATTCAATATTTTTCTACAGCAATAAAATTCTCCCATAGAAATCACATCAGTCTGAATTAGTAAAAGAGTTGAATGACAAAACGTATTTCAATTTTTTTTTCAGTGTTTTCCTTTTCTCCGATTTTGGAAAATCATCTCATAGCCAAACAGACACATGACTCCTAACCCAAAGATCACAACATGAAGTTACAAGAAATAAAGTGAAAAAAAAAATGCAGCAAAACGACCGTTACTTAGCGAAGGACAACATCGTAAAATAATCAGGTCTTTACGGTAATTGTATTGTTTTTTATTCTTCTTATTGTTAATATTTCCAGCGAGGAAAGAAAGGAAAGGCACAATAATAAAAAAGGTGTTATGCCAGCGTTATTTAACGACTGAACTTGAGTAACACGAAAGCGGGCAAAAAACTCGACTCTTTGTAAAATACAAACAGATACAGTCCGGGTAGTCGAAGTCACCGGCCCGGAACTGGACACAGCTGTTGTGAATTGACTACAAGTATGAAATGAGATTTGTCACAACTTAAAAATAGGCGTTATTTACACATGTAGGCTTCATTGTAAATTAACATTATGTGATTATTCCAGAGATCTTTGATTAAATCCTGTCGTGAAATAGTTCTCTTCAGACATACAAAAGTTAAAAAATTCTCCCATCATACCTAACAGTAATGTTACTCCATCTCTCGTTAACCTCTGACATGGAGTTTTTCAGTTCTCCCGATTCGTAATGAGGGAATTCTTGTACCAAGTGTTCACCGCACTGATTCACAGCAGTGATGCTGCCGCGCCAGTTTTCCACATCATCTTCGAACTCCTGTGTTAATTCAGAGAAAGTTATGATCAAGTGATACCAGAGGGGTATGAGGAATTATCCTGCCGTGTATTGCCAGTTACATCCCCACTCAAGAAACAAATCCGAAAGTTATCGAATCAGAACTGAAATTGTGATCGTGAGGTTGTTCATTTGTTTTATTTAGAATTAGTTGAACGACAAACTATTTCTAAAATGACAGCTTTTCTATCGATCACATCAGACTCTGGATAAAGAAAGACATTGAAAACATTTTTTCATGCCCCAGCGTATGATTAAACTACACTGATAAAAAGCGCTTCCTTCATTACCAATTTCTTGGATATTTCATTTGAATAAGAAGACCCTATTTTTACGACCTGTCTAGCAACTTGGGACAAGCTAGTCAAGCATCCTCCTTCAAAACTGGTGGGTCTGTGGCTTTGCTTAGTTCTTACATAAAAATCAACCTTTTCATTCGTGACTACCAATCAACAACTGTCTCCCATTATTCAACTAAACATCACTGACCTTATGTTTGTCGATCTGTTCTTCCAATTCGCTGACCGTGTAACCGTACACGTTCTCGTCTCTCTCTAGATAGGCCTCAGCTTTCCTGATCCATTCTAGTAGTTCTTCCCGAAGTTCCACGAATCTCTTCCATTCCTCGATCAAGTAATCGATCTGTCCTCGCCAGACGCCTGAGTTGTCCGCGATAGTCTCCCAATGACCCTTTAATTTGCTGACCTGCACAAATGTCCAAATAAAGTCACCTGGTTAGACTGGTTAATCTATTGAACACTTTAAATTAAAGGTACATGAGATTTTAGAAGTTTCTAACTTAAGAAAGTTCGATGTGCGCTTTTTTTAATTCAAAAACGCAATTGGTGACATGTTCCCACGTCACTCACCATGCTGTCAATCAAGAACTTGTCTTCCTCGGTCTGCGCATCATCAGCAAGACTTTGACCCATTTCAGCAATTTCGTCCAACAAATGCTGTTTGGTTTTAAGCTGTTCATCTATGGACTAAAACAACGAAAATATATAAAAATATTTAGTATAACAAGCTTTCAGCGATAACGAGCGACACAAGTTTGGTTCTCGAACGAAGGAGAAGGTAAATATGAGAATCCACTGAATCTTAGCACACCTTTTGTTTTTCCAGAAGTCCTTCCATGTCTTCAGAATCTCCCAGTACTATCTTCTCTGTTTTCATCATCTCTGACAACGTATCCAGCCAGTCATGAAGTTCCAACACTGCTTTGTCGAACTTAGGCCATGGAGATACTCGCTCTTGAAATAAAATAAAAGACAGAGTAAATACTTGTTTCCTAAGCAGCTGCAATGTGGCGCAACTCTTCAAACAATACTGAACCAAAATACGACGGATGTAGCGGAATGATTTGGCTTCGTATGTAAGTATAAACAAGCCAATGCGAAAAAACTTCCATAACTATTCCTCGCTGCTATAACCACTTAAATCGAAAATACAAGAGGGAAGGAATTCCTCAAAAAAAGGAAAAAAACTCATTTAAACTTACCCTCTATGATCATCGGAATGCCAGAGTGAACAGGAACAGAGTGAAGAGGTTTCTCCTCGACAATCGATCGGGGCGATCGAAGGCGAGCAAACATATTAGCGGTCAGTGACGCAATTCGACTCCAATTGTCATTAAGTTCTTTGACTTTAACCTCCAAGGACTTGGGGACCTGGTTTCCATCAAGTTTACTTTCACGTCTGTAGCGCGCCATGTTTTCGTTTATTGCGTCAAGCTTCGGTTGACGAGACTTCATTGATTCTTGAATAGTCTGCAATAAAAAATAACTGGATAAATAAACTAAAACGAATAAATAAAGAACACTATCCCAATAAGGAAAAGAAGCGTCCCTCGTTACTTCTGTTGATGCTCAATCCATGTAATATTTCGGGTCAGCAAACAAACTACCTCTCTACCTCAGTTTTTCGCTGACATGAAAGTTTTCTTCTCTACTCTAAAATGATTTCTCAAAAGTAGGAGTTAGTCAAGTGAGAATTCATTGTATTAACTCAATGATTTCTGCTACATTTTATCAGGTGAGACGAGCTTTTACTGTAGAACAAAGACTTAAGAGCTGTTTATCAATTACCAAAGTACTTGAAAATTAAATACACTGAGCTTAAACAGCAAAATAAATCTTCTTAAATCGAGAAATTTGACTTTTACTCTTATCATAACGACGCAACAAACCTTGGGATTAATATCAACAGCTTCCACACTTTCTCCCTTCTCTAACAGTTTTATTGTCCCAGAGGCCCATGAGCTGAGCTCTTCTAGATCTATAAGGAACTCTGACACGCGTCTAAGCTTAGACTCCACTCCGCGCGTACGCGTGGCGATATCTGCGCGCAGAATGTCCCATCGAGTGAGGAGGATGTCCAGCCTCGTTCTGATGGTCTCTGAGTTGGGTTTAGAGATAGCTGGTTTGGACAGAAGTCTTTCTGCCGTCTGTTGAATGCTTATCTTTGTATCTTCTCTGTCGTTTTGTTCCTTATGAACGCCCTATAAATAAAACCACGAGACGTTTTAAAACAAACTAGTTGGTGAAGAGCTTTGTCTTCAGTCTCTCAGAGAATGGTCGCCAATTGAAAATGAAAAACAGAGGAATTCACGCCATCACCTTCTCATCTCATTCTAAATTACTGTGATCAGCCAAAAGTACAGCCTTTTTCTTCTGGATCAAAACTGACTCACCTTTATTTTTTCAATCAGTTGCACCAGTCCATCCTCATCAGCTGGTGATGGATCCTTAGTTTGCAGTTCAGTATCTGCTTCGTCCATCCATTGCAGCATTTCTCCACTTTCCTCCAAAAACTCTTCAATCTGCATTGCTTCCTCTTTAAATCTAAGGTAGGGGAAGAGAATTCAATTTCAAAGAGTAATAGCCGCGACGAAGATATATCTAAAAACACGAAGTTGACAGCGTAATGATCGACGAGGTATCCAAATTCCAAAGGGACATAAAACAAATCAATGTGTATTACATGACTTTTAATCGTGGAAGCTCGCCAGTCCAATCCTACTGCAGCTCGACTCTAAATCGTGTATGATTTGGGTCTATCACGAGATATTCGTTCAAATAAAAATTCAAATCCTCGTGAGTTAGACATAGAAACAATTTGAATACGCTAAGTAACCTGTCTCTTCTGTTGGCGACTTGATTGCAGATGGATTCCCAGCGCCTGTTCTGGCTAGTCAGTTTATCACGGAGCATATCAGCCTCCACTGTTGTCGATTTACTGATAATCTCTTGGCCAGCGGTATTCATGGCATTGACTGTGCTCTGATGCCGGGCAATACCATCTTCCAGACCCTAACGACAAATATATCGCAACGGTTACGGTGGCAAATAGATGATTTGCTTTAACGCAAACACTTGTGCCGAGCAAAGTTCGCAAAACTTTGAGTAATTAACCGCTGAGATGCGTGTTGAACGCAACTCACTGAGCGTGATGAAATAGTTTTCGGACGCAATTCAAACAGATTCAGCAGCATATCAAACACACTTAAAACGCAGTTAAACACGTCTCAACCACACACCAAAGTAAGGTGTCGCCGTACCCAAAAAGAGTGAACAAATACAGATGGAAAACGTAAAATGCACGACAACATCACTTTTCGCTTTGTTAGGCGTAATATCACAGAAACATTGGATTTTTTCCTTGGTACATTACCTTTTGTTCTTTTTTGGCGGCGTTAAATTCAACTTCCCCGGATGTCTCATTAAGAACCTTCTCCGCATGTGTCATCCATGACGTCACGTCTTTAAGATCGCAGTGGAATTGTCTCCACACTGCAACTGCCTTCTCCCATCGAAGCGACCGCGCCTTGTAATCCTGCGCCAAAATAATGATAAAAATAGTCGATTAATTTGGCTATGACAGCAATGCCTCTTTTGATTGGTCACCAAGCCGATTTAGCCTGCATATCAGTCGTTACCGTTTCTTTCCCCCTCCTCCTGTATATACTTTCTCAGTACCAGACCTTCACGCGACTCCTGCTAAGCCAAACTTCCTATCTCGCTTGATTAAGAGGAAATGAAAAAGACTGCTACCCAGGCTGCAGTTAATTTGGCTCCACCCTTTCATGTTATCAATCCTCGTTGTATTATTTTATAAATAGTAGAATATTGAATTTCAGTTGGTAACGTGTATAACGTACCTGATTAAGGTTATTCCATTGTAGTCTAAACTTGCTAGCGGCTCTCTTGACAGCATCGTATTCCTTTTCACTACAGGCGGACTGAACAGTTTCACTTCGAGAAAGAACTCCAGTTGCACGTGGCTCAAAATTCTCCAGTTTCTCGCTTACCAGCTGTAAAAAGAAAAGAAATACTTTAAAAAAATACGCAGAAAAGCGAATGCAGAATAAATTTTCTTTTTCTTAAAATATAATTTCTGTACAGAATTAAAGTTTTGACTGCATAATTAAACTAAGTCCTCACATCAGAGAAATATGGGATCAATGCCAGAACCTGAGCAACCTCGCACCTACCCCTCCCCAAATTCAACAATAGTCGACTGATAACAAGTTAGGGTTAATGTTGGGTTTGGGGAGGGGTAGGTGCCCAGTTGTTCAGCTACTGACGTTGATCTGAAATGTGTTGTGAGACATGTGACTCAACACCTAGCTGGATTATCTAACCTTCAATTTATCCTCCTGTTTGGAGAAGTCTTCGAAGTCTGCTTTCTGTAACTCAGGAGATTCTAACAGCAGCTCCGCTTCATGGACTTCATCTGAAAGTTTCCTGATGTCCTCCACCAACTTCCATCCGGGAGTCAAGGCAGGTTCATGGTCCACAAGGGTTACTTGCCAGCGGACTCGCGCTAGCGATGCCTTGGTCATAATATCATCGCCTTCTGTTGAGCAAGAAAGTGGAAACAGCAATCAGAATACAGAGAATCACGAAAAATTACAGAATCAGTATTTTGTAATGATCTGAATGATCTGTTTGGTATGCCGAAATAAAGTTCAAAATTTGCTATTTGTAGCTTAATCTGTGAAAATGGTGTTAGTGGCGGACGTACACAGAACTGGATCAGTAACTTTCGTAAAAATTCTATCGTACCTTAAGTGCAACCAACTATAAGCCACGGCCACTTAACATCAACCAAAACAAACTAAGAACGACAAAAAAGTCGTAAAATAATCGTAGATTTCCGTAATTGATCAAACTTGAACGACCAGCAGAACACTCTATTTTGAAATTCGACCATTCAAATGGAAATTATTATTCACTGGGCGAGTTGCCCAGCTGCAACCAATAGCAGGCCTTGTAACACGTGGTTGGAATGACAATTTGGAAAGTATAAGTATCTCTCTTTTCAAAACAGGTAACACTTGAAAACAAAACTGTTCATCTCAACATTTCCGAAGGTTTTACTTCGCAAAATATTGAAATGCACCAATAAAAGCAAATGAAATTACGCTCGCCGACAACGCGGCAATGTAATGGAAAATACAAAGAGTTTAACATAACAAAGCAGACACTGATCAAAATTAATCTATATGAAAACATCCGGTTGAAATTCTCTTCGCACCATCTTTACTGTCAATTTGTTAAGCAAATTTAATGAATGTACGACTAATCAACCAACGCGAACCTTTGTGGCATTGAATATCTCACGTAAAGTCCCAGGCCTTTTCCTGTAAACCCTTATATCCTTGCCATGGTAAATTTTCGTACATCTTTCTCAGATTACAATCCTTGAGTCGAAGTTTTGTGTTTGAATTCAACTATTGCACTATTCAAGTTGTAGAATGTTATGAGCATGGTTATACATGACCAAGGTTAAACGATACATTATTTGTTTATGGGACCCCCTTGGTAAGATTTTCTTCACTTACAAAGATTTCGTAGAAAAAGTCGTTTGCTATCACCAATTTTCGAGAGGTTTTGGGGAGTTGACGAGGCAAACAACAAAATCGATGACTCCTCGAACGAAAAACTGTTGCTATTAATTTTGTAAGAAACTAAGTTTGTCTCCATAGCATTGAAGGCTCAAAGAGAATATTTTTGTATAGACTTCTTTTTCACCTTCTGGTAGGGTGTAACCTTCACACTTGATATCTTGAATGTCAGCATCTCGACCAATCCACGCATTGCAATTGAAAAAGTAAACCTTTCTAGTTGATCTGTCTTCGACGTAAAATCCCTTCACGAACCAATCTGGCTTGGGTCCAGTCCTGTCATGCCAAACTTGGACCTTGTGCAAATCGCCGAGCTGTGGAATGTTGTACACGGTGAATATATCAAGCTGATCGCGACAGAACTTGGTATTGTATGTCTCGGATTTGTCCAAGCGAAGTTTCGACGACTTTCCTTTATCACCAAACAACATCACAGACACGTTCGACTGCGTACCAGCATCCTTTACGTCACCAGTGTGAACTGTGATGCGATAAGAAGTCGCTGAAAGATGAAAAACAAGAGGCAAAATGTAGTAAGAAAAGAAGAAGAAGTAAAAGGTTTATCAAAACATTCCACTCACTGTCTCCAGCTGGCCTGTGGTACTGCATAAACTTGGTGTGAATGTCCCTGAATCTCTTCCTCAGTCGTTCAATCTCGCGAGGAGTCAGTATCTGAACTCCTTGTCTGTCTAGTTCCTCGATATTCTTAAACACCATCTCGTATTTCGCTTGTTGCTCCTCGATTTCCTCCGGCTTTAAAGAATTAGGAAAGACAACATCATTGTATTGATGGAGTAAGACATCATTTGTTAATCTTGAAAAATCTCTCCTTTATTCAGTCTCAAGTTCATAAATTTCAACATTTTTCAATCCTTTCCATTTTTTTTATTGCTTCATTTCCACCTCTTCCATCTGCAACTGTTAATCGGCCTTCATAAGCAAACTAGAATTGTAAATTCTCTGTCTATCTTATATCCTACGTCGCAAAACGATAAGGAAAAAAAAACACAAACAAAGAAATCTTATGTCCTTCAGAAGACTCCTCTCTCTCATTAACATTTGATTACTCTTCGTGACCATTCAAAACACCGCAGCACGTGTTGAGTATGACAATCGACCCAGTCCTCCTCACCTTAACCGTTAATTCTTTTTCCTGCTCCATCTTTCTGAGCCACGCATCAATGTCATCCAAGTTGCTTCTGAACTGATACCAGTTCGGCACAATACGGACAGCTTTCTTCTGCTTCTCGACTTCATCACAAGCCTTCACCCAACGACTGGACAAATCAAGCAACGACTGGTGGATGTGATCTCCCCGTGCCCCCTCCCTGTTAGCGTAGGTTTTGCTCTCCTTCAACAGGTGCTCTACGCGGGGCTGCAGATTGTCAACTTGAATTTCCGCAACCTAAAGAAGAGGTCCACAAGGCGTTTATGAAACCTCCAATACACACACGTAGGTAAGGCGTTTTCTAAGATTTGACATAGGTTCACCGAGCGCTTTTTCATCCAACTTTGGGTTTAGGCTTTTTGGAGGGATCTAAGAATGCCATTAAAATTAATTTGTCTAAAAATTCCCTAACTGAACTCCAATAAGAGCCTGACTAAGAATTGTCTCCAAACTCTCGATTCATGTAAGATTTCCAAATCAAATGCGAGCTTCTGTCAGTGCACATCCTTCTAAAGGAATGGTTTCCGGTCCGTACCTTGATTTTCTCTTTGACTTCTTTCTCAGATGATTTCTTGGGAGATTGAATGTCACGAATAAGATCTTCCAAACCTTTGATATCCAAAAGAATCTGATCTAAACGCCTCTGAAAGTCATCATCCACGTAGTGCCCTAAAAGAAGAAAAAAGATGGCAGTGAGTTGAGGAAAAAGCTTATTATTACTATTTGTATACCACATCACTCGTTTTAGATTACACCTACTTTGGATCAATGTGCGATCTACAGATCCTTAGTTAAAGGAAACATGAACGAAAACCTTGGAGTCACCCAAGAGCAATTGAAGCTCAGACCTTTATAGCTCGTGACTCGATGCTATGTTAACTTAACTATTTATCTTTCTTATACACACACGACGCTTTCGATCTTGTTGATCACAATAGTATACAAGACGCTTGTCGCGTATGAGCCCAGTATACGGCCGACATCAATAACATTTCTCTGTGGCTCTATACCGGTCTGAGGTTGGCTCCGCGCGGGGAACTCAGACATTTTTCTCCACGCTTGTTTGAATTAATAACTTTTTCCATCATTTGATCTTTCGTAAATAGACATAAATGGGACGGTCTTTCCTCTGAGATCTCTTTTCACCGCTGCATGTGCTACATACGTAATCTAAGTCTCACCTGGAGCCGAATTTGTTGTGTAGGTCCTGTGAGTGGTGATGGTGGTGATTGGGGGTCCTGCGTCAGTTTCTGTCCTTTTTTCTCTCGATAGATATTCTTCAAATAACCCCCCGGGAGTAGACGACACTGTCTTACGCTCCTGAACATAAAAAGACCAGATCAAGAGGGTTTTTTCGATACATTTTCTTCCATGGTTTACCTTTTAACTGTGAAATTGTTGTATCCATAAGTATTAGTTACACAAAAAAAAGAAGACTTTCTCACCGTGACGATAATCTCCGTTTCCACTCTTCCTCCTTTAGCTCTGGCCTCCGCGGCCGTCCTTTTGGCCTCATCCAAGTCTTGCTCCAGCTGACCTATCCTAGCTGACAAGTCATCCCACCTTCTGTCCAGCAGACGCTTGTAAGGTTCCATGATGGGACGGCCGCGATGAACGAATTCACCGCTCTGCTTCCTGATTAGATTCAGCTGAGGCTCGCGATTTTTGATGCTTTCTTGTATTTCCTGAAACAGAATGAACGAACAGAACGACCATTTAAAAACAGCTTCCAATTAATAGAAGGAGTTCATATTGGAACTTTTACGAAGATTAACTTGACCCTTTACACCGTTACACAAGTATTCAAGCTCTCGACACAGTTCTCTTAACATTTCCTGTGGTACTGATGAGGAGAATTTGTTTGACAATTTGGAGCTTCTTAAATTTTTGATCGTTTCCTTAATTCTCATGACCTTCACATTTGATTTAAGGATGATGATGTAAGGAGAAATTAGAAGCCAATCACTCCAAGGGTTAAAGCAAAGAGCTCCAATTAACGTGCACGATATAAAGACCAGCTTGTCGTGACAATTTGAGGTTGTATATGAAAAATAATCCCCAAATGATAACTTTCCCAGTTAACAATGCCCACCAACATGACGGTGTACCAGCTGAGGGGATACTTCATATGTTTATCATTCTTGAAAAGGAAAGGGTTTGTAGCTTAGATGAAGGGTTTTTTGACAAGACCTAAAAGGTATTGCGACAATGAGAGTCTGCCTAATGCTTTTATCATTCTCGACCAACTTTTGCCGCATGTTTAACGGTACTCTAAGAGACATCATCCTGAAACTAAGAGACATCCTTTTACGATTTAGGGTTGTTATTGATTCAATATCCGATGTGATTTTGTGGCGAGAAGAATATAGTCGTTACGATATTGCACGCTCACCCAATAACAAAAAAATCACAATAGCCCACAATTCAATTATATTGAGCCACCCTTACTTAATTAAATCAGGAGGGTCCTAAATGATTGCGTGATAAGTCGATGGTAGAGATTCAAGGAAAATCACATCATAGGCACGTCTGATTTTTGAATGTTAAGATTCTATATTGACATCTGACAAAAGACGATATAGATGAGGGGATATTCTTATCTTACAAGTGTTTGTGGTGTGGCGAACAGAAGTGGAGATATAATTGAAATATTTAGAATAACCGCAGGCTTCCGCTGATATTTTCAATAGAGTACTTTCGATTGGATTCGCTACGAAGTTCAATCCCGTGACTGGCAATTTGCAAGGTTGCAGTTTGATTCTCCTTCACATGAACAGACGAGCCAAGCCGCTCATGTCCTGCTTGGAACCATCAATTTGTAGTGCACTTGTAACCGGAAGTCATATTATTTATTCTAAGATTACTTTTGCTCTCTTTAAGTGAAAAACGAGCTATTAATTTAATATGAGTTATTGGGCATTTCTTTGTTCTAAAATTTGACAAAAAACGAGAAGGGTTCACTGTAATATCGCAATGATTATCACATACCAGGAATATGCGAGGGCTGGACTATTACTTTGAATCTCGAGACAAAAAAAAAATCAGGTTTACCGAAAGGAAGTGTATCATTTCATTTAGTATTAATTCCACGAATATGACAGAAATCTTGACTTAAGGTACGTATTTGCCCTCAATAGTATCTGAATTTTTGCTATCCAAGCCCCGCGTACGCTTCACCGAAACCAATATTGCATTCTAAATCAGATACTATCGCTCTTAGAATTTAAAGAGTAAACTTAAAATTTTAAAGCACTTACGTCAATTTTGTTCTTAGCTACGTCCGCTTCGTCTAATTTCGGCTGCACTTTGTTGGTTTCTTTTTCCATATCCTCCAACCATTGGTTCATTTGATCCACAGATTTCTCAAAGTCCGCCAGTTTTGCCTTGTACTTAGGCAAGGTCAACATTCGCTGTTCTGCCGCTGAACTCAAGTCTTCCCATGCGTTATTGATCCGTGTTAGTCGGTCTTCTAAGTTCACAAGTTGGCCAGTTTCAGACAAGTCGACCAATTCACGACCAACTTGTGTGAGGTTTTGCACGTCTGACATTTTGCCAGTGACCTCTTGCACGAGACCCTAAGCGGAGAAAATACACCCACATTACATAACTATTCAACGCAAATGACTAGTTAGAACAAACTACTTCTCCACTAGAAGAAATTTGAAGAAGCAAAGGTATTGACATAAGAGTCAAAGTTTTATACACTTGCTCAGATAATCTGAAACATACAGTCAAAACGGAAAGAAAACTGTTAGGATGTTAGTTCTCATTCAAGTTTCAACCGCTCAGAACACTACCTTGTAATACTTTGCTTGACGACTCCGAGATTCATACGTCAAAACAAAACCTTGGCGCATTTTTCCATCTTTAGAAAACTTTCTTTTCCTGGTTAACATTTTTCTAGGAGTTTTTCCTTATCCGGTCGCTTCGTAGCAGACAAATACACTGAACAAGCCTGAATTAAAACTACGAAAACATCGCCATATTGGATTCGAGCGCCGCAGATGCTGATAATTAAGTTAATATTATACTCTTGAATTTAGCGATCGTTACCAAAAGAGACCGAGGCCAGAAATATCTATATTGGCTAACTAACACAAGTTTAAGAATGATATTCTCTTGAGTTTGAAACTATATTGCTGAAACTCCACAGGGCTTAATAAAGTGTACATAAAGAGTCACGCAATCACTCCTGCTGTGGAGAACAAAACTAACTCCAGATTGACTGACATCACAAAATGTCGGATTGAACAGACAGAACACTAACCTGCGACCAGGCGTTCTTTTTCTGGAAGGAGACCGATACAGTGGCGGCGCAAAAGTTATTGGGAGAGGGGGGAGGCAGCATAGCGAGGGAAAAAGGACACCCTCACAATCCCAACCCCGGCTCTTGCGATTTAAAATATTGTGCTCCCCGAAAAAAGGGACCGTCTGATCGCAGGTCTGAGAAACACAAGGGTGGTAAGAGTACGCAAAGAAGTTGCAAAGATGGCTAAGGATGAACTCAACTAAAATGTATCGGAAATGACAACAAAATATAAGTTTGGTATGAGAAAAACACCGAAGAGGTAAAACTGAACCAGAAAGGAGCCATGAAAGGCTTAGGATGGACAAGATTGACACTGTTTGTACATAAGTTCATAAGTTTGGCGAAAAAACCAAAAAAATCAGTGAGCCAATAATAAAACAAGAAGGAACAAGGCGACAAAGGATAGAGAGGAGCGACACGGATTGTATACGACTTCAAAATATTAGTAAATAAAGATAGAAAAAAATGAGAAAAAATAATGGACCAAGAAAGACACAGGACGGAGAGGATTCTAACGGATTGCAAACTATTACGAAATAAATGTTCTCTAAGATAGAACAACACCAAAAAGGCATTAATCTAAGACAAAACAAGGATGGCTGAGGATGGAGAAGATTCTTATTTATTTATGTTGTCGTTGTCATCAATGCCCTAAAACTAACCTTGTTCCACTTAATCTCGCCATCCACGTCCTCGGGGAACCCGTCCTCTTCTCTCTTCTTCACTTCAGTAGTCCTGTCCTCCAGCCACTTTTCCAAACTGTTCATATCTCTTTCCAGGCGCTCGGCCAAAGGTAACGCTTCACGGAGAGACTAGGAATGAAATGATCAGCAATGTTAAACATCAGCGGTTATAGTTACTTGCTTTGCTACCGTTACTAAGCCAAATTTAATAAGTCGGCGAATTTCATAAAAGACCAACCAAAACTCCTGAATATACGGACACCAATATGCATATTTTTCTACAGAAATGCTTTCCAGAGTACAGACTCTGAAAAAAAGATTCGAAGTTCAAGAATTCCACGGGATCTCTTTGAAACTCGAGAAGGATTGTTGTATGGAGGTGTTTTCCTTTTTCTTTTTTTAAATTCTATTTTATGACAAAAAGCACAAAAACAATCATCGATGAGGTCCATCTGAAGGTGCCGACACTTTCATAATTGTAACGTACACTTTGTCACATGACAGAGACAATCTCGTCATGCCACGTTTGTCACGTCACTTTCCTCGTCCACCGCGAGACTTGCCGTGAAATGAAAAATTTATCGTTGTTTTTATGCAAAAGCCAGCCGAACTAAAACACAACAATTTTCATTCGGTATTAGCGAGTGAAAACAGTGCAATCTATCTGTGAGATTTGTACAAAGGTTCTCCTGATCTCAGTAAAGTAAGTAATGACCCATTGATAATTCAAAGTAGTAAAGTAAGTTCAGAATAATAACAATAATTTCCCTGTCTCCCTTCTCGTTTCAAGCAGTCCTGTTTTCGAGAACTGTAAACGGTTATCAAAATTAATATGCAGTAAAAAAAGATTAACTTACAACGTTGTCACAATAAAATCCAGTAACGACTAATAGCATCTCCACAAGAAAGTGGTTTAGAAAATATGCAATTCGTGAATTTACATAAATGCATTGTGATTCCTGTTTTCAGAATATGAGGGGTGAAGTACGAAATACGTACGCTAAAGAGCATACAACATGAAAAGACTACCACAACAAATATCACACAACTTCAAAGTTATCACTGCAACAGAAATATCACAGCAAGAAATTTCGTTGAAGACTATGGCCCAAACCACAACCTTCGGAAATACATGAACATTCCTGAATTAAATACGATCAGGTTTCTTTTAGAAAACTGGGATCGTACGTTTAAAATCAAATATGCGGCAGAGAGCGAAATCTTAGAAAATACGGCGGAGTTTGGAAATCGCCTTTTAAACATTGCTTGAAGTTAATTTAACGAGTTCGCAATTTAAAACGTAGGAATAAATATTAAAGTTTAAAGACTAATCGTAAATTCACACTCTTTTCTAGTTCAAAACTCGTTTACCTTTGTATCTTACCAAAAACCGCATTCTTCCCGGGGATTTCAATGCAACCAGTGTAATGAGTTTACCAGTGCCGAAGTCTGGTAACATATAACCGAAGCGATAATTTTGACTGCAATCATACGATCCAACGACGCCGTTGGAATAATTAATCCAAAGGGAATAAAAACAGATGTCACAGCTTTATCAGTAACAATCAGGGAGGGTCGGCTATGAAAATCCAATGAAAGAATAAATTGCAGATTTTGTTTTCAATTTCATAATTGCTGAAGTCGGCGTGAAAAAGCTACTGTTTGTTGAACCAAAAATAGATCACATTTAACTACCTGTGAAAGGCAATTAATCTGTACTTTGACAAGAAAGATTGAAAACAAAATAATAAATCTAGAATTTAAAGCTGATAAAATCATTTGTCATCTTCAAATCACAAGAATCCAAGCAGATCGAAATATGTCAGATTAATAAGACTTTTCTCTAGATTCTTGCAGACTAATCCAGAAAGAATCTTTTTAAATCTATCAGCATGTTCCGACAAACCGGTCATTGTAACAAAAAAAATAAAAAGAATCATGAAAATGGGTAAATTCTCAAAATTTGCGATAAAAGAAATATTATTTCAATATTATTTCAATGGCTATGCTAGGAGGGATGAATTACGAAACAAAGCAAGATAAAAAGACTGTCCATGAACAACCATGCAATGTTAAATTAAGAAGGAGGCCAAGTTAACAACAAACATGTCGGTTACTTTGATAAAAAAGAAAACATAGAATGAAATATAAACAACATCGATTCTCGGCATTTCTAGAAATAGTAGCTCTATTTTCTCTTTTTTTCCATTTTCGTTTTTTTTTCTTTTTAACTTTTATATATTTCTTCCTTTTAATTTCTAAGCTTTTTTCAATCTTCTTGATTCCTTGGAGAAGATTGAAAACATTGACTTCGATTCTACGTGGGGGGTCTCCCGGAAATCCTCAATGGGTTTTTAAAAACTTGTCAATGGCAAGACATGATAGAAGGAAACTAATCAAAAGAAAAATGATAATTTTTCGATGTCCAGTCGGGAGCGAATTGTTAAATTAAAAACGAAAATATTCACATTTATCACCACAAAAATACTTTAAAAAGTAACAACATCTGAATGCTAAGTAATCCCAAAGTAATCCCAAAGTAATCCCGAAGTAATCCCAAAGTAATCCCTTCCTTTCGGATCTTGCGCAAAAATAACAAATGAGACTTTCTCGTGATTTTCACGGTTTGAAAATGTAACAAGATTACAAGCCACAAGTCACGAAAAAGTCCCAGATGATTTCACATTCTTCAAACTTACCGCAATCCAAATTATTTCCCCATTCAAGGCTTAAACCAAATGCCCCCCAAATTGAAAGAAAATTAGACTGGTCCGCCTTCTCAATAGAAAAGTAAAACCTGATTACCAAATATACTCCCACAGAAAACAAACCTGGCGAAGCAACAGTAAAGAAGTGAGGGGGAATGGGTTTGACCATGTCAGCTCAGTAATATGCTAAAATTAAACTGCTGACTGGTTTTGAAGCACAGCTGGAATTGACAGCGATTAAAGAACTTTGCCCTTTACATCATTATCAAACAGGAAACCAGGCTATTATGCGAGGGGACTTGTGAGAGCAGCGACAGGCGAGATGAGTAGCAGGGAGGGGAAGGGGAATTAAAAATTTAGGGTCGTACAGTACGTTCAAGATTACTGATAAATGGTAGGACGATCCGACCTGAAATTGAAGCGAAAGCGAGTTGATTTATCTTGCACAACATGACGCACAAAAATCCCACTATCGCTAAAAATTGTCCTTACAGTGCATGCACTAACCTCGTCCTTGCTTCGTACTTTCTTCTCCAGTTCCCTGTGTTCATGAACCACTTCCTCCACTCGTCTTTCGACCCCAGACTTTTTTTCTTCTGGAACTCGCTCCATAATCTGAAAGCCAAGCTTCTTGACTTGTTCCAAGTCTTTCTTAACTGTGGACAGTTCATCTTTGTATGACTACAGCGAGAGAAGAACATTGTGATTAGACCAACTTCACCTGACAACAACTATTATGAACTGTGCTTAACAACATGACAGCTCTGAAAACAGAGCAAAACTTCTCAACACACCGAGAGGCCAATCGATGGCAAAGACCTTCCATCTTAACACCAACAATGAATGACAACAATTTTCAGGTTCTCCATAACGACCTCAGGCCATCCTGAGTGAAAACATTGATCTTCCTTATTGAAAGAAAGCAAAGGTATCCTTGTGGGCCTTGCTCCGAGACAAAGAAAACGCTGTGAAACCAAAATATGCTGACGCTCTCAGATACATCCGGTCAAAAAATAGGGAAATATATTTGCAAACGAGAAATGAATACATCGCGACAGCGAAATCTTTCCGCAAACTTGGAAAACAGATGACGAAGCATAGACATACAACGAAAGATGTCACTTCCTTCAAGTTACGAAGTTACGAGTATTGTAAATCCTTAGTTTAAAAAAAGTCTCACTTCTCGCTTAGAGACGTGCCTAATTAACACCAAGCTCCGTGGAAGCCTGTCTTTAAAAAAAAAAAAGAAAAAGACGACTTACGGTTGGTGTAATTAGCTTTAAAAACAAAAAATCCACCAATTTTTTATGTGTTCACTACAGGATTTTAAAAGTTTTTTCAAAGGTTTTTTAGCAGTAAGCTCAACCGCCAGTATTTGCGACAAGAAGCACAGTTCTTCAAAACAAAAGAAAATTTGAGGATCGGCAACAAAAACAAACGAATTCGTCTTAAGATTCGAGAATCATTCAGTTTTACCACCGAGCTGAAAGGAAAATACGAAGGCAAAGCTTCGAAGAACAAAACGTGTAACACAATTACCTCGGCTACAGATCGCAGCTTGTTACAAAATGACGACAACATGATACCACAAATTGTGGTCACAAATAATCTGCATTAGAAATTTACGAACTCTTGTAGACGACTGAAAAGAATATTCTTGCTAAAACACTCTCTTCAGGAGGTCATTTAAAAACATCTAGCTGCAATTTGTTTTTAAAATTCTTAAAATAATGGAACTTTAATTTAGACCCCATGAAAGAGTCATTACAACTTGGCTGGAATCCAATTTTCAAGCTTAAATTTCACACCGTAGAGTTTTTATTAGGAAAAAACTCTAACAGGTAATTTGAAAGCAAATGAGGTCTGCCTCAGATTTGCAGGAAGAGAGACCTTGGTAAACATAATAAATATCAACAACACTGTTTACTCTTCTCATTTGCATCAAGACAATTAAAAAAGCTCTCGCTCAAAACCAAACTTTACCACCCTTATCGTAATCTTGATAAAAGGAAACCTCAAATTATCTGAAGATCTAGCCTCAAAAACCAATGAACATTGTGTATATCAATATATTCACCAACATTGCATTAAACCAAATTTTGGAAAGAAATGAAAGGTAGTCCTCTTGGTTAAATGATTTTTCCATGCACAATAAGAGAAACTTTATTTAAAATCTAAACAACGGATTGACTTGATAAACTTTGAAACGAGTCTCAGAACGCTCAATTAGGATATGAAAATCAGTTGGAAACCAAAACTAACAAGCAGTGCATATTTTCACGTAAATTTGGAAAGCTGATTTATCAACACGAAGCATTAAAGCTATTGTTCATTCCATCAATTTTACGCTAAGGTCACGCACCCAGAATTTTTAATTCCAAAACAAAGTTTATTAAAAAACAAATCAGAGTCTCAAGATGTTAAAATATATTTTTAGTTTACGAATGTTGTTTTTTTTTTAATTATCTGAAGGGTCGGTACAGCTTTAGTAAAGAGTGCTTTTTAAAAAAGAAGTAAATTATTCTCAAATGCAAAGTGTTAATGATATGAGACTGTATGTTTACGCCTAGCGATAAACGAAGATCCTAAGAAATGGTACTACTAATAATGATAATGATTATTATTAATATATAATAGTAATAATACTGTGATAACAAAATAATAGTATAAAAATAATCATCAGAGTATACCTTCACGAACAACATTACCATATGAACAACTTACCATACATTTATCCAAAAGACCCTTGATATTCCTTGGCTCAGCAGATTCTAACTTGAGCTTTTTCACACCTCTGTGTATTTTATCCAAATCAGTCAATGTCTGACCATGAAGTTTGTCAAACTCCGCCTCTAGTTTTTTACCTGGTTGCTCTTTGAGGTCTACGAACCTAGTGTGGATTGTTGTCCATTTCAGTCTAATCTGCTCCAGATCTTTTAACACCTTAAGGTAGACAGATCCTTTAGGGGTTTTGCTGAGTTCAGTGGCCGTTGATTCCACTGAGTTCATAAGTGACTGGTTTAGAGAGAACTCCTCTTCTAGAGCCTGTTTTAACAAAAAAGAAGAAACAACGTCGTCTCGTGACATCCCCATCATTTGCGTCTTTATCATAGGAACAAGTCGTACAATCTGACTCTTAATGGTTCAAGAAAGATTTCAATTTTTTTTTCGGCTACTTTGTACGAGTTGCATTATACACGAAAAAAAAATAATTTACGAAGGTGTTTAACTTAAAAATGTGTTGATTATTTCATAGTCCGGCTAAATAAAATATATGTAAATTTTTCATCTGAATGGCCAAATAATTTCCAACAAGTAGTTGTGTTCTGTCTTTCCAGCTCTCTTTCCTTGAGGCTGTCAGTCAGTCAGAATGTCTATTTGCTTTTTTATTTCAGTGCCTTGTTTAGGTTTGTCATTTACCTTCATTTCCCTCTCGTCCATCTCTTCGTGTTTGGCGAGTTTCGAGTTGATGAGAACTTCAATCTTGACAAACCACATCCTAATTGTCTCCAAGTCTTTCTTCATCTGCTGCCTTCGCTGTATTTCTCCTTCAAGAACCTGGCGTGTTTTGTCAACTTTACCCTTAATGACGGACAACCGATCCTGATAATAACAAAAGCAGCCAGGATTAGGTGAGCAAGGAGAAGGATTTACAGAAAACTGATCATCCCTCAAGAAACACGAACCTCTACAGGGTAATGAGAATTAAACTGACCTCGTACTCTCCCATATCTTTTCTGATCACATTTACAGCGATTCTTTTGCTCGTCAGCTGCCTGGCGAGATCTGACACCGAGCCTGGACCGCTTTCCTTGATGGCTGCGAAATGACGATTTAGATTCTACAAGGAGGAAAACAGAAGTAATGTGCAAAGTCACAGATAAGTGGCTTAAAGAGGGTATGTGGTAATCAATGTTGGAAAGATTTTAAGCACCCATTACTGTCACAACCTATCATGGTTTCCGTAGCAAGAAGCGACAAGGAGGGCTGTCACTACCTTGCCTGGGATGCTTGTCCACTGTAAGTGACCGTTCAGCCACAAGACTAGTTTCCAAAATGGTTTGCTCCTCTGGTCCATTAACAACCCAACCCTGAGGTAAAGGGAAGCATTGCAAGTCTATATAGGAGTAAATTGCGTAGACCAAGAACACAACACAGTGACCTGATCGAGGCTCCCACCAAGTCCTCCAATCCTGGGTCCATGGGTCTAACCATGGTGCCAAGCGTCAACCGCATGAGTGAATTTAACCCAGTTTACCAACCCTCTGTTCCTTTATACTTTATTATAATTTCAAACCCTTAAAATAAACCTGACGTACCCTTAGAGCTTCCTCAAGTTCGGTTTCAGTCCCCTCGAGAACGTGATAACTCTTCTCCACAACTCGATCCAGTTCACCAATCAGCTTATAATCTCGCTCGATCAACACATGAAACTGTTCCATTTCTAATTGAGTCTGCTTGAACTCGTGCTGCCGCTGTGCAACCTTAGTCTTCAGACGGTTCCAATCGCTATTCAGCTTTTTCAAGTTTTCTTTCAAGAGGGCAGGGCTGCCCTGTTTTGTGCGGTCAATCAATTGATTTCCAGTCGTGTTGATTCGAACAACTACTGGCGCGCGCTTGGATATATCTTGTTGTAGTTCCTGTACAAAAAATTGTGCCAAAAATTTAGGGTAATTATCAATTCCAGACTCTTTTATTAGCTTGCAACACAAAAAGAAAACTATTTTTGCAAAGAAGTGCAAAGATAATATTTTCTTTCAGGGGATAGAAGGTTTTCTCTAACACAAAAAACAACGAGCCCTTACACAAGGAATTTAATAAAATCCACTTACTGGTGGTATAACGCCCTCTGTTTAGCATACCCCCCTGATTTCCCGAAGAAGAAGGGAGGGGCTTTACAACACCTTTTTCCGAGCACAGTCACAGTTTACAACATCGGCAGCCGCTTATGAAAAATCATATCGAAACTCCCGTTTTCCGTGACCCCTGAACCCTACCCTCATAACAACACCAACATGAACATTTTCCAATTGTAACAAAAGTCACCTACGACCCAAATCGCTTTGAACGCAAAAAGACTGCGCCCTCATCTTGAGAACAACTTTCTCTTGTTAGAGTCACGAGGTATTCTGCAGTCAAGTTAATGTAAAATGCAAGGCGAGTCAATACTTTTTCCTGGACACGTAATGCTACCTTATAATGATCCATCCTCTCCTTGGTGATGCCACCACCCGTGATCTCTCCCTCATCATCAACAATGGACCGCTCCACCTGCATGATCCAATGGCTGATCTCCTTCATGTCCTGACTCAACTTCTGATGTTTCTCAAGAGCTGCAACCAAATTATCCTTCACTCTGAGCGACACACGTACCAGCTCTTCCCAACGTCCGTTCAGTTCATCCAACTCGTTTTTGAGTTTATCGGCATAAGCTGGTGAAGCTTTGCTTATCATGTATGTCCCAGTTTCATTCAAAGAGTCCAACTTGCGCTGAAGCTTGGTTACATCGCCTTGCAAGGCCTGAAAAACAACATTGAAGAAACAGAAAGATTGAGCCAACAGAAACATTGTTACCCTAAAAAAAAGCTTCCGGCAACCCACATTATCAACATATTTCAATTTTTTTTTCACTTTGCCGCCTATCATCTCTGAAAACGAAATGCGAGTGTTTCCAAGGCTTATCTGGATTATACTTGTTTCAATTTGTCACAGCTACAGTATATGTCTGAGATGGATGTTCTCTCCATGAGATATTAAGTAAGAATGCAGGTAAGTAAAAAAAAACGGACCTCGCTCTGGTCCAGTTGAGCCTCCAGCGTTTCCGGGTCGCCAGCGGCAGGTTCCTGATCCTTAAGGAAATCACTAGCGTCTGTCATCCATTTAAACAATCCTCGGATCTCTTCCGTAAATTGCCGAGTTTGGTTGACGGCCTTTCCAACCTGACAGATAAAGTAAGTTAACCCTTTACCTCCCAGATCAAATTTGTCATTCTCCTTACTGTTAACCATACAATTCTTGTAATGTTGGTTCAGAGAATTTAGTATTGGATCAACAAATTATCCCCAAATTGATATTTTTCTTTATTCTTACCACTTATGTGGTTGATATTGTATTGATATTGTAAGGAGAAATTCTGTCTTGGTCACTCATGGGAGTTAACGGGTCAAGACAAACAGGAACGTTTTTCCAAGAACACCATCCAAAGACTAGAGTATTTGTTGGCAAAACCTTGTCCTAAACAGGACAATATTCTCACAAGGTATCTGTCAACTGAAGAGAGCTCATCAGAAGCGTTTCTGAAACTTAAATCAATAACCAAAGAGAGACGTTTTATTTTATCACGAAGCTCGGAGGGACATTCTTACTTGGTTTTGTCGCTTCTCGGCGTGAAGATTGATGTCCCGCCATTTATCATTCAGATCTGCTAGCTTCATCCTGAGCTGTTCTGATCGCTGTCGGGGAAGAGACTTGACAAACTTGTCTCCAGTGCTATTGAGATAGTCCATGTTTCTTTGCTGTTCAGTCATGTTCGCCTGCAGTTGCTGTTGAAGAGAAAATTAATACTTCTTACGTATGAAGATTTTTCTGTGGACCCGAAGAACATTGAAGACTAAGGAAAAACAACTATATCAGTCTTTACAGACGATAACAGGGAATACGAATGTTTAAGAAGATAAATAACTTTTTTCAGGCTCCCTCGCAATTCATAGCGTAAGCTGTGTTTTGTTACAAGGTAGAAATACTGGTCAGCTGTTTAAAGTGCCTTGTTTCGCTTCTGTATCTTTTTTCTCTCTTGTCTGCATAACCATGACGCCTCGACTTCATGACTCGGCTCTTGTTATGTCGCCTAGATATCTTAAGTTCGCAGACAACATTTTCAGCTTTGTGCTGAGAAACGAGATCAAGGAGTTGAGTGACTTCATACTGAACTCAATGTAAACCTCTGACGGTAATCACTTCAAATGACACTTTTCTAAAGACAAAAATGAATCATAAATCTCCTTCACACCTTGTACTTCTGTAACTGTTCCTCGAGAGATGTTGTATCAGAAATAAGAAACTCCGCGCCGAGTTGTGACTCCATGCTCTTAATCTTAAGCAGGACGGCGTCCATTGTGCTGAGGAACTGCTTTGGGGGCCCAGACTCCAGTGCGGCCGTCAGCTGTTTCTGCCTATCCTCCAGAGTCGTCTGCGCTTTTGTCCAGCGGTCATCCAGTCGTTTCACTCCAGACTGGAGGTGTGGGGTATGTCTGTCCTCTTTACTCAGATTCCGCGACAGTTCACGCACTTTGATCATGGAGACCTCATTGACGGTCATTTCCTCGAGTTTTATCTACAGTGGAACAGTTTGTGTTAATATCAACGCTCACGTTAGCTTAGTCGGGTTTCTGGCAACCCAACACGGGTGAGTATAAAGGAAAATCAGTATGGAAATGAAGAGAACTGATCCCAAAATCACAGAAAGGTGTAAATCTATCATTTAAGAATAGAACCAGTAGATAGGAGGTGAACTACAAGGGATTTGATTTCACGCATTTGAACCTTGAGCTACAAGGAATTTGATTTCACCCACTCACCTTACATAACTCCAGTTGTGATTTCATCTCATACTCATTGTCAGGGACTTCAGCACTAAACTTGTGAATAACTCTTTCCACATCCTTGATCACTGCCTCAAGAGTTATCATCAAGTCTTGTACCTCCCGCCTCCTACGTGCCAGCAAAGCTTTGTGCCTGCGATCATCAATTAAGCTACCCACGGAATTCCAGCGGTCGGTAAAGTTGCTAAGCGATTGTTCAAGTGACACTGGTATGTTGCCTTGACTACGGCAGTACTCGATCAACTCTTCTCCTTTTTTCTGCACGGTCGTCACGCTTGATTTCCTCTGTCTCCTAGCGTTGTCAAGAGACTGTGGAGGCGAAAGAAAACTCTTCTCAAAATACATCCAAATCATGAGCGATTGAGACATGTAATTCGTCTGTTTCACGCAATTCCTTTTCAAATTTACACTCGAAAATATAATGCAAGTAAAACACTTTCATTAAGCTTTCATCGCTGCTGATCTTGGTACTGTATAGAATACTTGTGAAACATGATCATAATATGTGTCCCCAACGAGTTCTATAATAAATCAGACAGCGAGATACAAAGATCTGAGCTTAGAAACCTCGTTGGTAACTCCATCGCCCAGAATGCTATGGTCTTTCGGGGTATTTCCTCAACGAATTTAGCTTTGGGAATACAATGTCTTATGTCCCTCGTTACACGTCACAAATGAATAGCGACTTCTACCATTCGAAGACCGAGCTAAAATTGCCCTATATATTTTCCATCTATTACCTCAACCAGTTCGTTCTGTTGAGCCACTTTATCACCAGGAATGTTTTCATCATCCAGATTAAACCCGGGGGACTTGAGCAGTGTTTCTGTATCTGTGATCCATTGACTCTTATCAACCAAGTCAGACAGAAAATGCTGCAGTTTTACGTCCATACCTTCCAACTAATAGCAAAAATTCTTAGTAAGCATTTACTCTTGATGCAACGTACAGGGCGCGAGAAATACAAAAGACCCAACGATAGACACGTTACGGCTGATGAAGGTCGGTAAAAGGTGAAATCCCCTATCGGCTCACAGCGCATGCGTATGCTTTGCCGTCAACATTATTAAAGATCCTGTTGCTGTTGGTATTTTCAAAGCACATGACCGATAGGTCACACAGCAGGTCCTCGTTTCAATTTACCTGGATTTTCTATGAAGTTTACGTAAAAATTATTTAGAATTTTAACTTTAAAACAGGAGAAAGCCAGACGAAGAACCCGTAAGCGGAGTTATTTTCGTAATATTCGATGAGCGCCAGACCATTCCTTACCAGGGATATTCTACTGGAAACCTCTGTGGTAATTTTGTTCCATCTGTCATTAAACTCTTCCATTTTGTCTTGAATCTCAGAGACTCCAGGCGAGTCCTCGTCTAAGTTTTCTGCGACTTTCTCGGCAGCAAGATTAAAAGTTCCAAACGTGGCCTGTTGTGCTTCCATCTCTTGCTCTAAAGCCTGTCCAAAGTAGAAATAAAGGATAAAACTGGTTACACGGTGTTCACAACACCTGAAGACAAAAATAAATTTCCAGCTTCAACAACTACAGCCCAAAATGTAGGTAAATACTGCCAGATATTAAATAATGCTAGATATTAAATACTGCCAGAAATTAAATACTAACCAACTTCAATTTTACCATGGCAACGGAATCACAGAACTCAAAATTGAAGTAAAAACCATAAATCGTAAATGGATCACATTTTTTCGCCTCTTATGATGCTTTAGACTAAAAAACCATAACAAGAGAGTACACTAGGGATTTTATGCAAGAGGAAGGTCACCACGACACAAATAATACTAACCATCAAGATTTTCACCGTCTTCTTTACAACATCGCTATCGCCCAAGTCAATGTGCTTGATATCTTCAATCTGTGATTCCTTTTCTTTCAACCATTTAGACAGTCTCCTTTCTTCGTCTCTGTACTCTTGCCAACTCTTCAACACTTCTTGTAACATAGACCACCTGGTATATCACCAACAAAGAATTTCTCACATCATTATCACTAAATTTCCATGAAAAAGGATGACGAGAAGAAAGAACTAGATCGACCAAGCGTCACACTGATTGAACAAAACAGAATTTCGTTTGGCACGTCACTCAAACAATCCTGCAGAAATCGCAGATAAAATGAAAAAGACTGCCAGCCCCCAAAATCTTCCGTAAATAAGCCACAAGAGGCGTTTAACATGTGATAATAGGCATGCAAATCCCCCTATAGGATAGATAGTCCATTATTTTACTTGGGTTCATTTACAGGATCGCTTTCTTCAAAAATACAAATGGGGGAAGAAAAACTTCAGCACACCAAATCCGAGACGAGAGAATTCGAGCGAGGGGGGAAACATTTTTTTCCAGACATCAACACAGAGAATCTTAATTAAGATTGCGTCACCTCTGCTCTGTCCACTTGCAAACGTTTGACCAGCGCTCCCCAAGAACCGCCAGCTGTTCCTCCAGGTCAGCGGTTGCACTCTCATTAGAGCTCTCATCAACTACAACAACCATGTGCGTCAGTGAGTTCACCTGCAGTTGCTGCTTCTCAAGGTCTTCCTGGAAAAACTGTGTGACCCAACAAGGTTAATACCAACAAATGGAAAGTCAGTCAATAGACTACGTAGCCGAGGAATGGTTCTCCTTGTGCGGCCAGACCTACCTTCACTTCATACAATATCACGAGCGCTAAGATTCCGAATCTTTAGCAAGTTTAAGGAGGGAATCGACGAACTTACAAATGTCTGCAATGTTAAAAAATTAGTCATGGTAATAAATACAAAGTGAATCTCATACCTTGTGATTTTCCACCTGGCGTTTCACGGTGTCCAGATCAGAGCCAATATTTTCCGAGCTCTCGATTCGCTTTTCGGCCACAGCCAGCCAGTCGCCCAAGGAATTGATCTGCTTTTGTTGGAGATCCATCAACTGTATGTGAAGCCTGACGCAAGGAAACAACAACACAACATTTTAGAATTCAATTTTCTCCACCAATGTTAACAAATTGTAGAAGCCCCGAAAGGCAACAGTGTCCACGTCTCCCCAGACTATCGCCTTACTAGCAGTATACCAGGTGCATGCTATTTTTAGAAAACGTTACGCTAAAAATACATGTCTACAAGTATATACGTCTTAGAATGCCGACAGAGTTCCACTTGTCGAACACTGGTGATTTCGTGCCCATGAGGGCATCAAGTGATAAATTGAAGACTTTCCTCAATTGCGATGTTTGCCCATAAAGCCGACATTCTTGTAAAACGCGCGCTGATCACGCGCCAGGGAAAGCGTAATATCCTCCTCTATTATTTTCTCCGTGATATTTTCTTTATTCCAAAAAGCAAGATTAATATTCTGCCCGAAAACAAAATAAAGTCTTTGAAAATTTTTTCTTCCAAAAGATTTCTCAGACAGTCATTCAAAAGAAATACGTCCAAAATAGAAATCAACGGCGTGCTTGAGAAAACATTTGGGTTGACACTTTAAGGTACAGTTTTTGCCTAAAAATCAGAGGTCATGAGAGGCCGAGGACACTACAACGCTCTATGAAGCTCGTATAAGTTGAACATTGAACTTTGGACAACCGTTGTTGAAATCCAATGTCATTTTCTACCAGTAACGGTGAGATGTGAGCATTCTCAACTTTTCAAGTGGACATTATTTCTTGTGGTGTCATTCAGGGTTAGGTGCCCACCAAACGCGGCTGTGAGTAAGGTAAGCTTTGCTTTATTTTAACATCTTGTAATATTTTCTTTGTGCCATGAAAAGCTTTATTCCGGTGGGCAAACGAGGCTATAATGGATTCTTCGTATTTTAGTAAATTTTACCTGGTAAGGACGTTTACAAATTTCAAGTTCCGTACATTAGAGATGATCAAGATGAAAAATAAACTTTAAAATAAAGGTTTTGAAGATTTTTTTTAACTTTTCCTCACAAGAAAAATATTTTCGTAAAAAAACAGACTGACAAAAAACGCGTGTTTATGCCAGCCATTTTGTTTCTGGTTTTACGATCACGCATTTTCACAAGATGGCGGGCCAATCAGATTTCTCGAATCACTGAAACCGCTGAGAGTTTTCCCACTGTGTGTCATACGATTTGACCATGCCTAACTTCCGACGGTTTCCAAGTAAAATTAATACATGTACTGTGGGCCACTGTTTGTGCGAGCGAATATCTATTATTTCTGTCGACAGAGTTTAGCACCAGAGCTACAATGTTTAGCACCAGCTTTACTAACTTTGTCTGCCTGTCCATGGCCGCAACTCTCAGTGCCTCCCATCGGTCATTGAGTGAGATCATTTGTTCTCTAATCTCAGTTTCTTCCTTCTCGTTCACAAGCCCCTCGCTAATCAGTTGGTTACCAAACTCTAAAACAGCTCCCACTTCCGACTGATGAGAGGTAAGCTCCATCATGAAGTCCTGGAATTAGAAAAAACTTTTCTTGCAAACATTTTTCATTCAAATAAATATATTTTTAACTCAAGGTGATTCCTCAGTATTGCACGGCGAATCCTCAACTGCGCATAAAAATCACGTAATCGGGCGTATAAGCGCGCGCATTTGCGTGATTTTCCCACAAATTATATATCAAATTGTTAAATTTTTTTCAAGTGTTATTTTAAAAAACCTTGCTTCCAGCTACAGCAAAATGTACCGTGAACCGATGAAATGACGCGTGTGATTTGTACCAGTACAGGCATAAATGAGATAAGTTTGGCCCTTTATATCTCTTAAACAAGCACGGTGACTTATCTTTTTTATTGTACTTTTCGAAACAGATATTGGTAGGGAACATTTGAAGAAAGTTTAAAAAAATTGTTCCATAACTTTTGTTCTGAGGAATCACCTTAATCGCAACCTTTTAAAAATATTTTAAAAAAAACTTAATCGCATTTTATGTTGTCAACTATCGTAAATCAGAAAACAGATATTTTGGAAGGGCAAGGCCTCTGGAAGCCTACGGCAATCTTCTGTCGAAGCCTGAATTTTCTCAAGTTTCTTTAAATTTTATGTAATTTCTAAAATTCCAGCTCACCAGCGAGGAACATTGCCTTACTTGGTTCTCAATCCGCCGATCAAATGAATTTTATTTCAATTCAAATTGTATCAGTTTCCTCCTTTCCTCCTTTCCTCCTAAAAGCACAGCGTAGTCAGAAATTTTCGAAATATTCAGAGAAACGGTTGGAACATATATCGTCGAAGATCCTCATATCAACCACCATCTTAATAGCATGTTTGGTTAAGTATAAATACGTTCAGTGAGTATGAGCACTTACTGAGGAATGTAGTTCCTGTTCGAACGTACAGTGTCGAGTTAATGTCTTGTAAAGATAACAGACCTCAAAGTCGGTTTTTAGGAAGTGGTATTTACCTCATGTCCGTGAAACTGCTTTTTGACGGCGTCCACTTCACCAGAGATGTTCTCTTGTGATTCCAAAGTTCTTTCTGCCTTTGACAGCCAATTCAAAACATCCTGTAGCGCAGTGTTGTAGTCTTCCCACTCTTTAAACGAACCGACAGAATCTCGGATACTGCTGGTTTCACTGACCATGGAGTCGGGTCTCTCAGATTCCTGACTACGTTCAACCTGGGCATGAAAAAAAATTTTAAAAAATGGGTCATCAACTTGAGCATTCTTTATAGCACGTTGAACCTCTTATAAAATTTTCGGGCGATTCTCCAAGTTTCCTGGTAAACATGAAGATAAGGAATTGAAAATTACCGCCACGTAGAATTTAATGGCTTCCGTCATAATTGTTCTAGTTTCCAGGACCGTATATCATTACAAAGATTTATCTAATCTGACAACTTGAAGGAATTTTGATTATCCACTGTTGCAACTCAGTGTGTTCGGTATTTGAATAGTAACACTGTTTTGCTTACTTTACAAACTTTAAGTTATGATCACTAAACGTGTGAATGTCACGAGACAGAGCGATAAAAATAAACACGCCGAAAGAGGTCCTGGAGACACGAAACGAAAAAATTCTCAAGCATCCTGTTTGTCGCGGCGAGAAATCAGAGAGAATTGTAACTTATTAGATTTTTTTTCTTTTATTGAGATTTGAAAACACATTTTCAAATTTATCACCATTGCAAATTACGTTCATATCTTCCTCACACCCATTTGGCTTGGTTGCTCAGTTGGTATCTGGAAATCACGTGTTCGAACATCGTCGGAGCATAACTTTCTCTCAAACTACATTTCTACGATGTCTTTAATTATGGTTTACCTTTCAAGTTCAATCGGCTTTTTAGTGACTTACATGTGATATAATTATATGATATGATTGTAGACTTACCACAGTGGTAATGGCTGAGTGTTGTATTGGCGGCTCCTTCACTGTGGTACTTGTGGTGGTCACATATCTCACGGGTTCTCTCTCATCATAACCCTTTTTCACGTGTTTCACTGTGTGTTCAGTGTGATACGTGCTGCTAATCGTGCGTTTCGACACGGTATGAGTGTGTTCCGACTTCTCGATCTTGCGTGACGATGTACTCGTAGCGTTCCTTTGTACGGTCATGTGAGTCACGCCAGGTGCTAGCTTGTTGTACAAGTTCGAAACGTACATCAGGATTGACTTCTTGTCTGGTCGGTCACGCACAACGTCTGCAAAATATATATCATTTGGATTTAATTTTGGGTGTTAAAACTTCGCTGTTAAATTTATTGAGGCTCAGATTAACTACCCTGAATGTTTCCAAATATTCCAGAAAATTCCCTCCTGAATGTTCTTAATTGATATAATAACAATTGTTTTAAAGATATTTTAGACAAATTACACGATAGCTACGGCTGCCCAATTTCTGAAAAAAAAATTATAACACAACACATTCAATAATGAATGTTCCGGCATTTGTCTTAAAAACACACATGTACATATGAGGTACAATTTTTCAATGTATTTATACGCATGTCAATGTACATATGTACCAGTTAAAACCGTCAGTAGAAGAAAGGATTATCAGCAGCAAAGAACTTAGGTGTCCCTTGTAGCAATAATTGGCCAACATAAGTACAGTTAAAAGGATTGAGGATGATTGTGTCCTGCGCAATTAAATTATCAACTAAGAAATTTTGCTTTTGAAAATCGCCTCATTTGTAATCTTCCATTAACTTCACGAACAGAGGCCAGATGCTGCAATAACCCATCATTTACATTGGATTAAAAAAAGTTAAACCAGACTGAACAGAACAGAACAAAATATTTTATTGTGAAAACCTAGAAGTTGGCCTGTCTTAAATTTAATCAGTACCTGAAGGATCCAAAAGTCTGTCTACATCAAGAAACTGCTCTGCAACGGAAAAAGCGTGTTCACAGCAATCGGAAGGATTCTTTTCCAGTTGGTCACTGTAGTCAAACAGATGGGGTCTGAAGAGGAGAAAAAATGTTGCTAACTCTTTAATTCCCAAGATCTGATTGTTAATTCTCCCCTCTAGCTGCTACACACTTCCTTGTAAATAAGTTAGGAGAATCTGGTGTCAGATCAAGATAACAACTTCTACCTGATAAGTTTGAATATTCTCATGACCTGTTTGCTGGATAAAGTTCAGATATAATAGGGAGATGTTAATGTTAATGTCAATCACTTCTGGGAGTTAAGGGTTAAAGTACAGCAACTACAAAGAACTTGCAATTTTCTTTTCCTTTATCAAATACTTGAGAGTCAACGGTTTTCGATTGTTTTGTTTGTTGTCGTTCTTTTTTTAATTTTGTACTTTTTCAGAGAGGATGGTGTCAGGTCATGGATGTGGGTGGTAAATCACCAGCAGACTTCAAGGGATGAGATGCATGTAGAGTATTATGGGAAGCATTTAGCAGGTCATGGATGTGGGCAATAGACTCCTTTCGATGGACAGCAGGAAGGAGGAGGTGGGTTGTCTCAGGTCAAGGATGTGGGTGGTAATTTGATGATTAATGGGTGGCAACTAAAAAATAGTGGGTGAGGATGATCAAAAGCATTTATTAGGTCATAGATGAAAGTAGTAGACTGTTCCTGAAGGGTGGCAGGAAGGAAATGGTAGGTGGTAGATATCAGGTAATAGATTGTGGGTGGTAGACAAGTCAGGAAGTGGAAGTGGCACGTAGCAGTGGATGTCTTGAAGTACATGTTTCAGCAATAAATAGTGAAGAAATTAAGAAGCATCTGACCTGTATCTATGGATTAACGCATTGAATGCCAGTCCATCACGCCAGCTTGTGGTAAAGTTCTTGACATCCACACCGTCATATCTAATATAAAAAACATTGATGGATATTACTACAACATAGTACTTTGATCCAATTTAGAAATCAATTCACCCAAAATACATTGTTATACCTTGCAATCAAAATACACCTTATCCTCAATTACATAAACCACATATTGTATATCTACATGTATAACTATGTCTCTAATTTTAAGTTGTAAAATCAAGGAAAAATCCTCAGAATAGCTAAATATTAGCTCAGAGCTTATTCCCATCAAAAGGAAATTTCTTCAAGTACAAAAGTAAAGCTACATCATGTATATCCCTTGTTATTTCCTGTAATCTATGCACTCCATAATGCATTGCATGTGTCATTTGTCTGACATCATCACTCACCCCCTAACTGACTGACGACACCAGGCCAGCAGTTTCTCCTCTGGTGTCTCTGAATCAGAATCCAACATCAAATTCTTGAGCAGCAATTGCAACTACAATGCAAGACATTGAATTATTTATCACTTGCTGCATAGATGTGATCCTCTACACAATTTTAAATGAGTCTCATAAAGCTGTACATTTATATTAGCATTTCCATATCAAACCACATCTCTTATGATACCATTCTGCAGTAGCAGTTGATGGAGCAGATTGGGGACAATAAACACCATACCAAAACATAAGAGCCTGCTTGCAAGCTAAACAGATGGCCGTAAGAGGTGTTTTTGAAACCCCTGGTTAATAAGTCAGAGAATTCTTGTCAGTTTTTGACCTGTTGACTGTCACATTTTCAGAAAGCATCCACCAGCCCATTATTGCCTTTATCCTTCACATTGAGCTTACACCTCATTGCAAAGTGATAAAGCTTGAGTATCTCAACAATCCTAGGAAGGAGTTCAACCTCTTGGAGGGTGTGTTTTCAACCTGCAGTTCTTGAGGGTACAAGATTCCTCTAACCCCTATGATGCAAGTCATGCAATGTCAGGAAGCAAACCTCTTACTGAAAGATTTACATGTACAACATAAGCACCCTTCCTGTGTGGAGGCATGGTGTGACAAGGTGACCAAAAGTCAGTCACATTTACAAGACGTTACGTGTATCTTCCTGCTTGGTGCATTTGCCTGCTCCTCCCGCAGAGCACAATTGTCACATGTCAATAATATAATGCACTAGTGTAGAAAAAAATTTTTTTTCTTCATACCTGAAAGTGTGAAATGATGTACCACATCAGCCCCAAGGTTAGTTTAGGGTTTCCATCAACAATGTCATCATTACTGATATTAACAGGTCGTACCTGACCAATAGAAAAAAGTATAATTTATTCATGTTGGTAAAAGCCTGATAAGTATGCATACACGTTTGAATCAACACAAACAATTGGTAAAAACCACTTACATTGTTTTCCTCAAGGATCCGGAGGGCATTGTCTACATTGGTCATAAAGTGAACACGGGTGCGTCCTTTTTCACTTCTCTATCAAACAATGCAAAACAAATGGATTTTAAGACATAGAGAATTAAGCCTTAATTGCACGTCTTTTTAGATTACATACACTCAAAATTTCACTTATTTTAAAGGAAATCAGAATACTGTAAATACTCTTAGCTGTAACTAAAGTTATATAGAACATGACATGTAACTGCAGTACACATTTCAAAGGGGAGTCACAAAAAGTGCTTTTTCAATTACAAAAACATTTATATGACACAGAAATCAAGATTACAACAATCTATCAGACTTACAATTCGTTTTCCACATAAAATTTCCAGCAGCAGAAGTAGTTTGGTTCCATCTTTTAGGTCTTCAAACAAATCCTTAACTTGTTGGCCACTGCCAGCCTACCAACACAGAAAATGAATAGTTTTGAAAAATTCGAATTACACCACCAAAAAGTGTATAATAGTAAATGCTACAATCACACCACAATTGTTGAAATAAACTAGCCCTTAACTTCTGTGCAAAGTGACCAAAATGATCATCTACAATTTGCATGTGCTAAATATCTGCATTATCCTGGTTGTTCCAACTCGCACCTCCTCCCCTCCTCCCCTCCTGCCTCCCCCCTCTCCTCACTCACCCAGCTCATCACCAGAGCTGTCATCAACTGTTGGCTTGTCTATCATCTTTAGCAAACTACTTTCCCCTCATTTTACAGTAATTTCTATTGTAAAATTGTTCAGTTGATGAAACACCATAAAAAAAATTGTACAACAGCTTTCATCAGTTTGAAAAGGAATTAAATGCATAATTTGCACACAACAAGCTTAGATGCACAACTCCATCCCACGTGCAGAATTTGCTGGAAGATTCATGCAAATAATTCCCATGTAATTTGACATAACAACATGGCATTTGCAATAACCTTACTTCCTAATATTTCTCATTTGCCTTCTACTTTAAATCGTGTTGAAAGCCCTTACCACATGTAAAAAATTACTTTTTTTCTCTACTTACAATCAAAGTGATAAAGAACTATCACAAGTATATATTATACAACTACATAAGCTATAGACATTAAAGAAATCACCCCCGGAGACAAAAACAACAGAGATGGTAACAAAATGGAAAAAAAAAAACAGAAATCAAGTGATATGAGAAAACATGTATTGTACCTTGGCTAGTTGTGCATTTATCCACTTTGTGAAGGTTTTCTTCTGTGTTCCTTCATGTTCATCTAAAAATAGAGCAGAAAAGGAAATTAATCAGAGAGCATATACACAAACATTAAAAGAATTTGAACTTCCTTTTCACCAGTGACAGATCTATATTTAGAACACGAATGAAGATAAGTGAAAGGTACATAAATAGAGTAAGCAATATCACATGTACATGCAACTATCCAATATTTCAGCATGACAGAGAGAAAACATTCTGCTCCTTTGAAGAAACATAAAGGAAATATCAACAAAAACAGGGAGAATCCAATGACCTATGATCTTATAAATTATACTTTCTACAATGAAAGTACATGATAATTCTGATTTCTTTAATAAATTTTCATTCAAACGGTTGATCGATCAACAACAATCATCAAGCTTCTTGTGCCAGAGGGGTAAAAAAAATTGGAGAATTAAGATAGAGAAATGGTAAAAACAAAAATAACAGGAATGAGGGAAAAATGGCTAAAATATCTTGGAGAGAGAATGAATCCCTTTGAAATCTAGAAACAAGAAAGATAGAATATTCAGAATGATACATTTCTTCCCAATCACTGGAAGGGTTTCAAAGTTGAAAAAGCTGCACAAAAGCATTTAGGTGGTATGAATGTACACTTTGACTTAAAAGTGCTCAGTAAAGGCAGAGAAACACATTGCATATTCCATCATGCATAATAGATTAATTTCCCTTTATTAGCCTACAGTTTAGCTACTAGGTTTAGCTCTAAAATTACAACTCATTGTGGTACTCTGTAGGGAATCATAACTGGATCAAATTACATTTAATTTTTAAAAAAGTCTTTAGCTCTGATACATGTAGATCTATTAATTTGAACCCCAAAATTAACTGTTATGAATTACCTCACCACTGCTTTAATATGTAATGAGCTGAGGTAATGAATTATCTCCTATGCCAAATGAACATTACTTTTGTAACAAACCCAGGGCTAAAATTTCGATTTTACTTGATGAGTTTACTGATATTCTAACCTTACTCTTAATGTTTTAAATCTCAGCCCCCTGCTAATTGAATTGGTGTGTTCAAAATTCTAAATGTAAAATGTATTGTGGTTTCCCACGGAAGGATATTGACAATGCAAATATTTCACGTCTGGATCAAAATCACTTAAATTAATCAGCTGATATGTTAGTGTCCTCAATATATGAGCGCATCTGCTTCAACAGGGTTGCGTGAAATTCGCTTGTTCCATTCCTCGTGAAATCCACAACGATGTAGATTTCAACGGAGTAATTGAACACGTGAAGAGTGAAGAGACAGTAAGCTCCTAAAAAGCCACAGGCATTTCTCAAATGCGAGGTATTCGACTCATAACAAGATAAATCTCGCATGGTGAAAATTCGCAAAAAACTTTGTATTTGACCTTTTATTCGATCTTGTTAGTGAAATCATTGGTGTTCTAATTTCCCAATTATCGGCATATGGTTTCTCTAAAAAACTTAAATAAAAAAGTACCCCAGCTTTTTAAGGTCAATTATGGAAATCATGTACTGTGTTGTCATAACGGCTAGCCGCTTATGCTATGTCCATAAAGTGAAGGAATGAGCACATTGCGCTCTACAACAATCTTCAAAACAATTTTTGAATGCCGAACCGTCTACAACCTCCAGATTTAAATGACTTGGTATTCAAAGCTTGAGTTCAAAGATCCTAATAGTAAACAAAGTAGCACTTTTTATTCATTTAGGTGTCAGGATGAAGAGCCCGAACAAGAAGGTACATAAAGAGTATAAAAACACGTCAAGTAAGCCGTGAACGACTAACAAAACAACATGGCGAAAGCGACCTAAGAACTCAACGGGCACGAGTTGCTTCGCTTCAAAGCTGAAATTATTTACCCCGAGAGCGAAAAAAAAACCCACGGGAAAAAATTAAGTTTATTGTTTAAGTCTAAGAAACTTTCTATCCTGATGACAATTGCGGGATTAGGTTATTGTCCGCAAGAAAACCACCCTTCCGTTCGAGAGCGTGGACTCACAAACATGCTTGAAACCTTCGGAAGACAACACCTAAGAAAATTCTCGTTTAAATGCGAAGCTTCCCTTTAATTTATTGTATAAAAACAAAAGGCCTCTCTCTGACGGTCTGAGAACATTTCAATACAGCCAAAATAGGTGTCACCGAAATAAAATGACGCTTTAGAACTCAGTCATGCGATAACAGAGATCACGATCGAACAGCTGAATTCACACTTGGATGTTTATAAGATGTCCATTTTCGTCATGGGAAGTACTCCATAACGAAACACAAATCTTACCTGAACGGGACTTAATTCGCAGCGTGAATGTTCCACTATCGTCTTCTTCAAAACTCATGATTCAATACCTCCCAGCTGAAGATTCAGTTGAAATTCTGTCAATGACTGCTTGCAAAAAGATTTTGTTCGCCCACAGCAAATCAATCGTTCATCAACATTTGGGACAAAGCATTCCAAAACTGCTGAAGGATACAAAAAGGCACGGGTATCGTTAAGTCTTCGATCTGTTACTCACTCAACATTAAATACATCGACTCAATAAAAACCAGATGATTTCATGTAGCACGCTCAGGGAGCGAAAAGAGCAGTCGATGTCTGTGAGTGAGAGAGCGCCCGTACCTGACATGTGTTGCACAACCAGCGAACAATCCTTCAACTCAAGATCCACGAACTTCCTTTGAAGTACCGAGCGAAGGAATAATTGAACCACGACTGCTACAGCGTACTACGATATTCCAAGCACTAGGTGGAGTGCCCCAGAGACACAACACATCAGCGATGAAATATTTCTGAAATATTCGCTCATGCGGAGCAAGGACTCAAATGATCTCGGACGCGGCAAAAAGTAAGACAATGGGTAATTGATTTGAGCCAATAAGATCGTTAGGTACGATATGTGAACTATGTGGCGAATTTAAAGTCACTTTGGTATAGTGAACATCTTCAAGACACACGAAACTAAACTCTTGGTAAAACATACTTGAGGAGAGAAGATAAAACAACTGATAAGATTTTCTAATTTGATATCTTACAGCTTTACAGAACAAGGGAAGGCTAAAATCTAATTTATCGAATTTCATTGAAAAATCATCCGCTTTGTTAAGTGTAAAATCATCTGTACACCTAGAGAAATATCAACTGCAAAGTAATATCTATTAAAACAAGTTAAAGACAGGATATTACTTCAAAACCTTTGTTTAAAGATAATATTGTGCCCCCAAGGCTGTTAATCTCGTAAAAGCGTTGTCGAGAGAGGGAAGAATGCTTCTTTCTGTGCTTCGCAAAACACAGAGACAGCTAAGCGTGGGTTTAAACAAATGAGTCCCACTCTTCCCGATTTTTGATGGATTTGTTTTTTTCGCTCAGTTTTCGCTCAACTGTATCCCCCTTAAGAGATAATTTAACTTACAGGAGATCACGCAAAACAATGCAGTTCGATTAATTATATTCGCTCAGAAATCAACAAAACTGATCGTTCACACATTGGATGGATATCGAACGTTTTAATACCTCACGAATAAGTACAGTTCAGGAAAGGAACTAAAAAAAGTATTTCTTTCCGAATCAAATAATTTCCTTTGTGTTTGTACGTTTTGAGCAATCTGTCTGTCAGTTGCCGATCTGTTTAGCAGACCCTTGCATGTAAGAGCCCTCTGCATTCGATGTCATGACACTCATATCATTCTCGTAATTGAAATACAACTGAAAACCAACTCCTTATTTTTTCGTCTCAATGCTCAAGAAGCGCTGACAAAATATTGCACTTTCGCTATTAATATCTGTTCGATTTTTGGGAATGATTTTTAAATCCTGTTGTGACTTCTCAAAATTTTGAAAGTTGCGTGGCCGTGAATCGTTTAATTACATTAATCCATTGATGTATTGTATGTGACACAAAATCACGGGAAAAGCGGAAAACAAGTACAACTTCCTGCGCGTGGGAATGACAAAGTACAACAATTAAAACCGTCGTCGGGGTGCAAGCCCCAGAAAGATTTGTTTCCAGGCGCGTAGCTGAAGTTTTCCAAAGGGTGTTCGTATGTGACCTATTTTGAGTTATTCCCCGGAAAAGTAGGTTCTCTGAAACCCAATTTCCCGCATTTTCACTCATGGTATGTACCTGTTTTGAGTTATTCTAAAGTAGTTTGTCAAGACAGTTTCGAGCGAAATTAAACTCTATTAGTAAAAAGCTGGAATAAAAATATGATTGTCATGATACGCAATGGTTTATTCGCAAAGTCCAACGGTCCTTTAATGAGCCACTCATGATCAGTTGGTTTTTAAGTCCGATCACTATACTCAGAAGCTTACCAATTTAACATTGACTGACTGACTGAATGACTTACTGATTTACTGACTGATCGTCTGAGTGACTGATTGACTAACTGATTGACTAACTGATTGACTAACTGACTGACTGACTGGTTGACTGACTTAATGACTGACTAATTGACTCACTGGTTGACTGACTGAATGATTGAATGATAGACTGACTGACCGACTGATTGACTGACTCGCTGACTGATTAAGTAAAACAAACTGACCGACTGACTGACCGACTGATTGACTGACGAGCTGGACTGATTGTGTGGCTCACTGACTGACTGAATGACAGATTGACTGACTGACTCACTGACTCACTGACTCACTGACCCACTGATTGATTCTCTGATTGACTGACGCAACTAACATTGAAAAAAAGTGTATGTACTTGATGAAAATCAGTTTCATTACAATTAAGTCCCTCTTCCACTTAAAGAATAAGATTCCCTGTTGTTTTCCGATGAATTGTTTTTCTAGGAGTTTATATTGGCCTGTGGGCAGCCCGCTAGCGAGCATAGCTTTCCTATTAGTGACAGGAAGCAGTATGCATATGCACGAAGTAAATGGCTCTCTTGACTTTTTAGCATACCTTGTCTCTGTTGAAGTAAAATGATTCGCAGAAACCAAGTGAACCGATCTCTTAGAAAAACTTATATGGCAGTTACCAACCACTACTGAATAAAATTCGGTCTTAAGACTGTAAAGCGTCACGTGACTCATCAAAGAAGAATACGTGACTTGATTTTTTTTGTTTCATTCAGCTGCTGAGCAGCCCTTTCATTGTAAGTGGAAACTGTTTGACGAGTTTGGGAGGTGTATAGCGATGAGAAGAAACTGATCGATGTCATCAATTTTGGTACGCTTTGGCTTCAAACAAACGAGTTGGATGATACTTAGGGTTTTTTTACGCTAATTACAGGCGAACCACACAGATTTTACAATTTATGAATGCTGCTTACGTGTAACATGGAGGAGAAATTGTACAGAATTATGAAATAACCAGCGAAAACTGCTAAGAAGCATCCGGTTGTATCCGACAGCCCCGGCGAGGACCTGAAACTCAGGATATTGTGTAAACATGAAGTTGAACCAACCTCACTGATTCCAAATATGGTAGTCATTAAAAGCAGTGGCAGTGATTAACGCGATCCAATTACACAGTTTGGATTTCTATAAAGATGCACTTTGGGTAGCGATCTCCTGCTAATTTCACTAAAATCCACAGAATGGTTGTAATCGCTGAGCCAGACGAACTGAAGGCAGAAGGTGAAAAAAAATTGTCATAATAGAAAAACAGCCTCACTTTTTTGCCATTCTGATAAAGCTAACAAGTTTACTTTCGAGTAAATAGAAACCACATGTCGTGGCGTGCGTACAAATGAAATCAACTCGAAATTTAATAGCAAGTTTCGAACCCAGTTCGAAACTTGCCATTTTGGGTTTTTAAGTTAAAAAAAACAACAACAACAAAACGTCGTGTGTATGAAAACGGATGTTCTTCTAAAACTGTTGCACTTTTCCTCGCGAATTAAACGGTCTCAACTGTTCTTTTGTCGCGATCAGCTACGACCCCAAATGCTATTGTTCTTTCAGGGTCTGTTTTGTAATTGTTTACAACGATTTCATATATTTCCTATGAACAATTAAAATAGTGAAATACTAAAAAAATCAATAAGAGTAAGATCCCAAGGTAGCACTTCTTGTCCACTCTCTCCACGTCAAATCAAAATTCAACGTGTTACTTTCGAAAGTTTGAGAGACGTGTGCTTCCTCAATAAACATAGATTGTTATAAAATGAGGTATTTTTTTCCTTAAACAGTCTATCATCCACGACTAATGATAGCAGAATTCCTTTCCGTACCTGTAGAGCTGCTTTGCAGCGGCTTCATGTTGTTCACAGAACACATCTTCAAACTTTCCGAACACAAGGATTCATTCAATTTAACGGAGAATTACCCTGTTGATTGAAAACCCACAATTTAAGATACGCATGGCGAAAACAGACCAGCAATGAAAGTCTCCTTGAAGAAGAGTGCCTGGAAGAATTTCAGGTAAAACTGGTGGCCATCTTCGAAACTTTCAAATGAAGATAATTTTCGTCTGCGATTGGAAGGCACTCCGTGATTCGTCCATCCCTCTAGAAAAAAAAAAACGAGACCAGCAATGAAAGTCTATTTGAAGATGGCCTCTAATCAAACAAGTGCCGTTTACTTTTTGAATTTTCTTTGATCTCGCCTACAGATTTTTGGTTGCTGTCTATGGGTTGTACTACCCTCCGTGGATTCCATATCCACTGAATATTCTTTATTTAATTATGATTCTTGTCCAAAGTTTTTCTGTCGGGCGTATTTTCAGAGGTAATATATTTAGTGCAAGTTTATTCGGATTTAAGCTCTGTGCGCAGTTCATCATAGGGGCCCCAGTGTTTTGTTTGTTCGCGTCCGTCTTGTGTCCACTGTTTGCGCACCTCGAAGGTATTTTAAAAGTCGCCATGATTGCTCTTTCATATTCAGTTGGCATAATACCTAAGATACTCTCAAAGCGATGTGTCTCAGGATTGTACGTTATAAACCCAGGCTTTTCATATGTTTTGGTGTCTACTGCATCTAGCGCGGTTTGCATGGCAGTGAAATTTATGCTGGCCGAATTTAAAAGCCTTTGGGCGTTTATTGCGTTAATTATCGGCGAACAAACAATTCACCTAGTGTACCAACTAATCGTCAAAGCTGGAGAATCTCACGAGGATAAATCACAGTATGAGAGAATTTTACACTCTGGGTTGGAAGCAGATCCCACAGGACCATTTAGTGCTGCCAAAATGAAGGAACGTCGATCTCAGAGGCTAGCCGCTGACCTAACAATACACGAAATGATGTCTAGCGCTGCCGCAGTTATCCTCTCAGTTGGACTTATGACAGTTTATGGTATAATTCACCGGATCCTGCGTCCTAAAGAGTACCAGGAAATGATTGTGGATCTTTTGATACGTATAGTTTTAGCGCTGCTTGTAGAGATCATGTTCAACGTAATATTTGTGATGATGCTAACTCGTACAAGAAATATTCCAGTTCTTAAAGTATGGAAGGTAAAATGGAAATTGCATCTTATTGTTTGTATAGTTACTGTCTATATGATTGTAAATTATTATGCAAACAAAATTTTGATGATTCTCAGCACACTACACGAAGCTGAGGGGAAGATTGATAATTGTTAATTAGGCAGAGATTTTAACTTTCTTTTCAGCACAACCACAGATATAAAGATGCTGTTCACTTTGTTCTCAGGTTTCAGAAAAAGGTATTAAAATACAGGCCTCACTGTCAATAGAAGTCTTAAACCATGTAGTAAAAAAATGCGTCTCATTATCATAACTTTAGTACGAGTCCTGTTCTGATAACTACATAATCGTTCCTCTTTCAACTTGAATGGCATTTACCTGCCGCACGACAATTCTAGAAAACACTTTATTGATAAAAATTTTAACCATCACAAAAATCAACAGAACTGGTATCCAAATAACCTACGTCAACAAGAAACGAAGTTCGCACAAACCCTCAAAACAGCTCGGCAGAAGGCTGAAGGTATGTTAGCGAAGAGTAGGTAGCCTGTCTATAGCCCTCCTATACCGTCCACCATACATAACCCATCCCAAATTCCCTTTAGAGAGGCCCTCCGAAAAAGAATTGTGCAACAAAAAGTTGCGAAGGCATCATCAATATATGATTATTTCTGCATATAATTTTTTAAGCATGACATTAGCAGCTAAAACGTATTTAACAGAACTAGCTGTTGCTCGAGAAAAAAGAAAGGGCGATTGTTACAAAAAATAAAATCTGAACTTCGTAAGTACATCATTATCTGGCATCGAGCGATAATCTATCTTCATTGTTACGATATATATTTAGAAAAAGAAACATTTGCAACTTTTACTTAAATTTTCATGCTTCTTCGCAGCGTCGTAAACTGCTATGATGAAAGATTTCCTGAAACAGGAAAAACGTCAACACTTAATTTTACACCCATAAATTGAATCGTTTATGTCTGTCCCTCTTGTCTGCTCGTTTACTAGCAAACAGATCAACTTACTTATACGCCGGGATTGTCGGTTTAAAAGGATGTAAACAAAGACTTTTCATTGCCACTGAAATGAAACAAGCTTACTTTGGAAACTTACGAAAAATTTATAACATTTTGCTCTGTTAGATTAAGTAATTTTTTCGATATGGACTTGCATGAAGTCTTATTCGTTTAATTTGTACGCTTCTGTTCAATCAGCACAGCTGGCGCATAGAAGTTCAACCCCTTCTCTAACAAATCCTTCCTTGGCCAGAGACCGCTGACACCGAGTGCAGTTAAAGCACTCTTTGTGGAAATTTGACTCCTCTAATGTGAAGTATTCACCGCCGATAATTGGTTTAAAGCAGACCTCACACTGCTTGGCCAGGAACCTTCCATAGCACTCGATACAGTAGCGGTGGCCACTATGCACAGAGAATGGTCGAGATGCCAACGATTCATGGCAGGTAAAACAACTGAAACACTCCTTGTGCCAGGTCTGTTCGTTGTAGAGGACACCACCTTCGGAGAGTGGCTCTCCGCAATCCGCGCAACGCTTGGCATGTAAATTCTGATAGCATTCGGGACAGTAGAACTCATCATCTTTTGGAACAAAACCGCTAGTCCCGATAGCTTCCCGACAGACGGCGCACTTGAAGCATTCTTCATGCCAGTAGGTGCCATTGTATTCTAAGCGCGCGCTCCCAGACTCGATGGCATAATGGCATCCTGCACACGTCTTCTGGAAGTTAGTGATGTAGCAATCATTACACAGAACTTGCTCCTTGTAGAAAGTAAATTTTCCGTCTGATCGCAGAGGTTTCCGACACAGCTCGCACAGGAAACACATTTCATGCCAATGTCGATCGTCAGCTGTTGATACGTCTTTAGCATCAGGTCCAATCTTGCCATGACAGTGGTCACACACGTTGGCAAATCTGCATCAAAAGAAGAAATTTTGTCAATTGAAATTGTTTACTCGATAAAGAATGGAAGATCAGAAGTAGCAGTTGCAAGACTGCTCCAGAGTGACCCTCTAGTTATTTATGAAATAAAGATCTCAGACGCAAAATTGTAAGACAAAATCTCACAATATTGTTCCCGTTTGTCCAACAACTGCTAATAATTTGACTCCCTAGAAAAGATAAGAACATACTTGCAAACAATATGTTACGTACAACACACAGTCACGTAATTCATAATAAATAGAACACACCTGCAGTCAAAACAGTCAACGCATACGGGCTTTTCGTCTCTGACAATAAACTGCTTGCCGGTGATGCTGACGTCGCACTCGTTGCATCGGAAATGACCCAAGTGCCAGCTTTTGTTCATGGCTATGGTGTATTCCCCGGTGAAGATAAGCTGAGTATGCGCAGATAAAGGGAGCAATAGAACTTCAGAATTAGTTTGCTAAACTAGTCAAAGTCTGTTATGTGTCTCAAAGACATACAACACACTGAAACAAAAAATTAACTTTAACTTTTGAAGAACAGCTCTACTGACTCAATCAAAGCCCCAGAACCTTGGATCGATGGCAGTATCTGAGCAACTGCACACTGACCCGTCCCTTGACAACAGTAAGATGATAAAAAGTTAGGGTTAATGTTTGGTTCGGGGAGGGGTTGGTGCGCAGCTGCTTAGATACTGGTGAACCTTTCAATCACAGCTAACGAGCTACAGATGGCATTGAGAGCAAAGGCATAAGTGATGACAAAACAGATGACAAAACGTTTGACTGATAAACAACTCCACCGTTAGCCCTTATAATGACCACTCAAGATTTCGCAATATCACAAGCTATTCCCATAAAGCTGGACGACCACAGAACGACATAACAAATTGTGGCGGGTAATCTTACCTCATCACATCCATAGCAACGTTGCCTTGACAACTCAGCGTGATGTCTTGCGCAGTAGACTTTGTTTCCATACTGGAAGTAGGTGAGGTCTACCAACAGCTCCCAACAAGTCGCGCAGCAGAAGCATGCAGCGTGATAGCATGACACTTCACTGTCGTCTAACTCAGCTGAAACCACTACGTCGCCTTTAGGGATGGTCTTGAAACACGATTGGCAAGTCTAAAGAAGCACAGGAACCCAAACGTAAATTGGCACACGGTAAACTTTTAATTATGTTTACATGAGATATGCTGACCGTAAATGCTTTAAAGAACTTCCCTCTTTAGTAAACTCATCGTCCAGAGCTCCTGTGTAAGCCCCTCTCTCCCCACCCCCCACCCCCATCCCTGAGCTGCCCCAACTCTGCCCCCTTCAGTTTTAATATCCTAGTCTTATAATCAAAGAAATGCACACTAGATACGACATCCTTCTATCCGGGTCACACAAAAGAAGAATGAAAATTCCTTCTCTCTCTCTCCATAGGCTTTAATCTGGAATCCCTGTGAATTAAGATATCGCCGGAGAGGCTCCAGAGGCTTATTAGCTCGTTTATTACAGACAAAAACGATTTTACTCTGTAGCCCGGGTCTTTGTGAGGTACCCAGACCTTCACCGCTTTTAAGTGGATTACATTTGAGAAACCAGGGAAGAACAGGAATAATCTATATATAATAATTTCATCTTTTGCACCTCGGTGGCGTTTGATCATGAAAAACAACACCATGGATGAGTCACTTGGCCGAGACAAAATGCCGCGTCCTACCACTCAAGAATTATTCTTTCACAAGCATCGGACAATTCATTTTTAATACAAAATTATTGGATGAGCAAGTGACCTATCGTAAAATGTGAGATAAGGTTAAGACTTGCACCACACAAGAAGACAAACTGCTATGCTGTGGTATTGATAGGAATAAATTATGAATTCGACGGCGTGGTTCTCGCAACACCCGCGCAACAAGCGGCCGCCTCGAGCCTGGTCTCTCTCAACCACTGAGAGAGATTATGCTGAGCCATATGACATGCAGACATCTTATGTTAGTTTCACGATCTGTGCAGGTGAACAATGATAGAAAAGTAGCTTACAGCGCTCATACGTGTAAACTAAAAGCAATCATAGCAATTATACGCGGAAAGGAAAGACTACCCAAAATTGTATGAAGGGTTTAAGATTTGTAAGGAATTTTGCGCATATATTTACATAATTGAAGCACATCATTGACAACCCAACTAAACAGGGTTAACTGAAATGGCCGGTAACTTGAACTCTTATTAGTAAGAGCCGTTTTGGTACACTGAAAAGCCATCCCGACAAACTTAACATGTTCAAGTACGCCTTTTTAAGCTTTATCTTTAAGAACTCTTGAAAGATTAGTGTAAACATCTACAGCCTCGTCCTTCGCATTCTCTTCATATCTAAACGGTTTTGGTAAACTACTATAGGTAGTGTTCTTATCTAGGCTCATCTAAAGCTAATCATTTCTTGTACATTAAATTCCATGGCGTTTAATTTAAAGCACACTGGACAAATTATTGGTTAAGGAGGATTAAAATATCAGCGGATTATCCAGCCAACTTATGAAACTATTGTTGCAGAGGATAAAGAGTTAGGAGGTATGAACATTTCTTGGCATGTGTGCGCTTGCAAAGCTTAAAAGTTTATATGCTAAAGAAGAAAATAAACACGCCGAGCTCATATATTATTGCTTGAAATTGAGGGGCACCGAGAGTAGATACACAGATAAACCCATTTTTCTCCAATTTAGTCTACTACTATGAGAAAGAAGGGAAAGTAAAAGCATTGCAGTAATACGTGTTCTACCAAGTAACTAAGTAAAACTTAATAACAAAATGACAGTACAATCCTATTACAGTTGTTTTAAAATCATTAACAAGTTCTAATGTTACAATTTTCTATTCATATCGAGGAGAGCACATTTATGTCGGTTTTTCAGCGAAAATCGTCAGAGAAACTATCCATCGTTTATGGTGCCTCTCTGTAATTTTTTTCACTCAAGCATAATCCAAACAGTCCATTAACACAAGTTATGCCGAGTGTCAAAGAACTGCTACCAGTAATGATGTTCTGTGGCTACACTTGGCCACGTACCTTTTCAAGACGTGTGTGTGTCATTTAAAAACTTAGTCCAGCATTGTGTCTGGTATGAGGATTAGGGTCTTTTAAGGAGGTCAAATGTTGCAAATTGACATATTTAGCATCAGTGTTGAGAGATGAAAGAAATGTGTATGCAATCGACAGCCTCTCTTTGTTATTCCTCTAAGCGTGCACTTGCTTTCTAATTTCTCCCCTCAAAAGGAGCTGAAACGAAACAAATGATAAGAAGGAGAAGCAATCCTCTCACCTCTCTTCTTCCAAGTGGAACTTTGACCTTTCCGGTTCCTTTTGCATTATCTTCGCTGTTCCAGAATTGAACAAAAGCTTCTCTTTGAGGCTCTGGAATATTTGAGAAATGCAAGGGCGCTTTGTCTTGTGGAGGGTTTTGATATACGCGCTGTTTTATATAATAATCTTCTCCAGGTGACCCAGGGATGGGAATTCTATCCTCTGGTAAGGACTTCATGTAAGCCTCTACCTGTTTGTGATCCAGACAAGAGCACGAGTTTACATGAACATTTCTGGTTAAGGTATAATCTTAGTTCAACAATTTCTTCTTTGTGTGGGAACATGTAACTTAAACCTCCTGGCTTAAAGCATTAGCAGGTCTTTCCAGATTTATTCGCAAATCTATTAGCTCTATTTACTCTCATTCCCCCAAAGGTAACTTTATCTACAGGAATGAATCTTATTCGTCGGAAAGCGTGGTGCGGTTTGCCAATATTCATTCCCTGGATTGCGATTTATCCGTTAAACCGCAGCGTACCAAGGTACTCGGGTTGAGAAAAAAATTATTTGATACTTTTAATGACTAAATGGGGTAAAGGATTTTTCCTCAAAAATGCAAAAAATTGACGAGGACACACAAATTTGTCAAAATACCAAATAGACTTTGATCAAAAAAAGAATATTTGTTTTTCCTCACCTGACCAGTCGTCAATCCAGGAGGAGACCAAAGGTAATCTGAGGCCGTTGAGGGAGGGGGAGGTGGGGGAAACAAATCGTTATCCACAAGAGAAGATTGAGTAGTAAATATCTTCATCGTTTGGTATTCGTTGTTATTTGACAACGGGGAAGGGGACGGTAAATCATCTTCGCGGTTCGTGTCCGAGTTGATTTTAAGGCCTTTTACTTTGAATTCAACTTCGTCTACATCGACATCAGCATCAGCATCAGCATCCACAGACATATCATGGTTCTCACGGGGACATTTGCAGTTCGCACACACTTTGCTGTCGAGAAAGATTTGGACGATTTTAAAAAGTCAGGTTACCAGGGATGAAAAAGGGCTTGTTAAGTCTGGTTCACGCCCAATACATAATGGCCCAACGACATAACGAAATGAATGAAAGATAAGGTTTGTCCTAAATTATGCCATCATGTCCATGTTGTTACACTGTTAATTCGAGAAGATGCCTCATCGTTCAAATTACCTGTACTACCTTGACGGACAAACTGTTAGTACGGTTCTTGGTACCGTTGTTATTTTCTGTGAAAGAACAGCGCGTAACGCGTAGATTATTGTAAAAAACCCAAGTAACGGTTATTACAATTGAGTGGGTTTCTCTCAAAGAACAGAAAATTCTAAACAGTTACAAATAGTCAAAGGGTTAAAAAAGTATAGCAGATGTCTGAAGTGCTTCATCCTCTGGCAATTGCATTTCTGCGCTTGCATGACTTCATTGAGTATAATCTGCTCTAATCACCCTTTCATTTACATGCATTAGCAGCATGCACACGATCTGAAACATTTCCATGGCGTTTATTAACATGCACACGACCTGCATCGAGGAGAAAAATGATTGAGGTCGCAATTGATTTTAGTTCAGCATCCGATTAGGCTAATCACAAGGCCGCTGGCAAACAAAGCAATACTAATGAGACCACAGTTTACTTTCCACACTCAACTGGTAATCGCTCCAAATTGTTTCTTGTCTGTCATGATCAAAATTTGGAGAAGTACGCGTAGTTCAATTCCGCAACTTGATCTTAAAAGAAAAGTAAATATTTACACTACGAAGAGTCAACAGCTTTATAAAAGGATTAATGCTTTTTAAAGTTAAAATCAGACCCGCTATCTTAGGAAAATTCTCAACCATAAGGCAGTGGGATAGTTATTTGGAAACAAGAGCAAGTTTGGTTTCAAGGGAAAACGATGATTTTGGTTTCTGGTATCCTCATTTCAAAAATAAACTTATAGGTTGTAAACAGATGCTTAGTGCAAACGGGAAACTCCTAACGATGAAAAAAACAAATATTGTTCAGCAAAGCAGAAGCCGATTACACCGAAAATTAGGACCAGCTCTAAATGAAACGAGGAACTGTAACTTCTGCCTTTTTTTTATGCGAGGTTCGAACAATGCATACGCACTGCCGGCAGATGGCTTACCCCAATACCATAACTAGGGTTCAATAGAACAATCACTTTTTACCACAACCCAATATCTCACATTTCTCCGAAACTGAACGGCTTGAATATCCACCAGATCGTAACCAAACTTAGCTATGTTTCTGTAACACGCAATCTTAAGTTGATCATAAAATCCCCAGTAGGAATTTTTTAAAGGCATTTCTTCAGAACTTTTTTTTTCGTAACAGATTTTCTTCTAATCTTCTGTTCTTTGATCACAGAAAACATAGAGATTTAGAATTTAATTGTTCAGGTCCTAAATTTTATCTAATTTCGAATGATTTCCACATGGTTAATCAATTTTCATGAATAATTTGTGGTTTTCGGCAAAGTTTTCTTGAAAGAATTAATAGCCAGTAAAACGGATGTCCTTAAATAAGATTTTGCGGCATATTTTCTGCCATTTTAAAAACAGAAATGCGTAGATATTACATAAAATCCTTAGGAAAACATTAGCAGTATCTCTTGACTTGCTTAAAGGCTATTTTGCGTTTACACTGGAATCCTAAAGAAACAAAAAGTGACTAGTTTATTTTGAAACATCCTTTGTTGTTTTGCTGCTTTCGGAAAATTAGTAACGCCGTGCGTTCTGACCAAAGAACTTTCCTTCAAGGAACTTAAAATATGTGTCCTTAAAGGAAGATTAAAAAGACGCAAGTACAATCAAGGGCATTCACATGAGATCGCTTACATGTGGCGATTACAGAGCCAGGACTACGTCCGGCAAGAAACTCCTCGCTTCTTATGAGTTTGCACGTTCAGGGGCTATTAAGCCATTAACATAATTACGCACAGATCGTCAAAAATAACGACTAGTCTGTCTCTGTGACACAAAATAACTTTCAGTGTTTGGTTACAAAACTACTCAGAAATTCTCTTGATACCAAACGGAATTCAAGTTCACTCGGTCATTTTTGCGCTGCGTCTTAAAAGCTGTCTTTACAGTGCGCCGCGGGTATTTTGGCACGTGTCTGAAGAATGTTATTCTAACGCCTTCTAAGACTGATCTCTCCAGAATCTGGCCTCTTCTTTTGTGAAAGCATCACTAGAGACGGAAAGGGAAAAAATTCCAATCTGGTGACAGTCCATAAAACTCTTAATTTTTTTTACGCAATTGTTCACTTGTCTAACAAAGTAAACACTTCACAGGCGCGAGAAATGGTTGTCCAAAATAATACGGTTGTTGTCAAAGTACTCAAGACTTTCCCGTTTAAAAATGAAAGTTTAGAAATCTCCTGCAATGTAATTTTCGTTTGTAGACGTCGGCCATTCTTCGACAGTACAGCCTACCACGATTTCCTGATATCTGCTCGGCAGTCACGATTCATGTATAAAAATAACATGTCAATATCGCTCGATTTTTCTACGGCTAAGAATAGAACTGAGAACTTGTGCATTTAAATTTGCTCCTACGCTAGGAACGTCCAAAAAAATCTCACCAAGTGTTAATTCTTTGAACTAAGCACTGATAAGTGAAATTTTCTTGAGTGTGTTTTCTTGATCAAAGCGGCAAGCAATGAAACACGAATAAGGTATCTGTTCTTAATCAGTACTAGTTAAAATGAGCTCTTACACAGTGTGTTCATTCATTCGCGAAATTGAAATTCACTAACCTTATACTAGGTCTTGGTGGTTTTTGAGGAGGCTTTGTCGTCTCTACTTTCTTCACAGTCTCCATAAAGTGTTTAAACAGGCTTCTCACGCAATCGAAATGTTTTAAGTATCCCAACAAACCGGCAGGGGTCGAACAGAAAAAAATTATCTACGAGGCACTTTCGTAACGGGCTTTACATGGGCACAGCTTGTGTATTTAGTCACTGAAGCGGCTAATGAATGAAAATCGAAGTTTTAATGCCCTCCGGCAGCTCGCAACTTGACACATATCCACAATGACAAGTCGCTATTGCCAGCCCGCACTGACATATTACATTCTAGCAACCAGTGTGGGTATTTCACTTTCATGATACTTTAGCGCAGAGATCGCGAAATGATAAAGTGGATCAATAGATACGAAAGGCGCTTTGAGGAATCAATAATTTTAAACAAACCCTTTACATGCGAAAAATTGAAGAGACAATCAAAGCGAAGAAGTATTATACGAAAGCGAATAATTTACTGCTCTAGAGTTATTTTCTGCGGGTGGGAACGACACGGCGCGTGATAAATTCAAAGTGTTTTATTGTACTTAATTAAGTGACACACAGAATAATTTTAGTCTAAACAACGGGATTAAAATTTCGATTTCAATAATTCTCAGTTCGTGCGCGCATTTTGCTCGCTGACAGCCCGACTGAGAGTATGCGTAAGATGGACTCAAAAAATAAACAAGTTTAAGATGCTTGAGTTTGCGCCACTTACCGCCACACGTGCAAACTGAAACCAGAACATTTCTCTCCACATTTAAGACAGGGCTTTCCTTCGTCCAGATTCTGTAGTAAAATTCCCTGAGAGCAAAAGGAAAGATTCGACTCAGCTTGACCAGCCAGCCTCCACTACGACCCCGTCGTCGCAGTCTGAGAGGCGTTATTTAAATAATTATAGGGAAAAAAAATGATTTGATAGTGTCTCTCTCACTTTCTTCGATGCAGATGAGCGCTCCGAACCCATTTTAATCTCGTCGGTACTCAGGAAGCGGTGAAAATTGTCCATATTCTCAGCAGTACGCGTTCTAGAGCGTCCAGCGTTCATTGTGGCATGCACTGGAGAGGTTAAGCGAAGCGCGATGCATTGACGAAATTAAATCCCGCTTTGATATTTATCCAACAAGGTTTTCATATTTCAGTCCCTCAGGGCGCGCCGGATGTCATTTTTAGAAGCGCGGGCGGCGGACGGACACGCGAGGAAATGCGCGCAGGTTGTGTTTCACTACGTGCGTAGAAAAAAGAGGACAATTGTGCGCCTTCCGGAAGTGTTTAAAAGTTATTACGAGTTAACAGAGAGAAAACCAACAGTGAGGGTGTTAATTCATTGCACAGGGTACGAGATTTTCTTCGAGTATGACAACTGTTCAGGATGTAGGCACAAAAAAAATAACGTACGGCCAATGCAAAAAAAAAAAATAAGGATTCTCTGAAACATGCTGAAAAGTTTATTACACGAAGGCTCGGGTGCTTTTAATTAAAGAGAAAAAATGCCTGGTATTGTTCATGCAAATCCGGAAACAGGCTTTTTATGATAATCCACCTCGGGACACTTTCTGTCTGAATTCCTTAGCGCTTTCTTAGACTTTCTAAACTGCATCCGCTACATTAAATGTAGATATGGAAACAATATCTATAATTTAAAGCTAATCTTATTTTAAGAAACCCTCTGTGTTTTTGTTTGCGAGTTAAGATAAGATTTGAATCAAAAATATCAATGCTATCTTGAATGCTCACTTTGTCACTGTCAAAGTTCAAGAACAGATTGTCAATCAAGCTTGAATTTCCGCTCAGACAAAATATTTTTACCGATGATTCACGCAGAAGATCAAAGTTTTACAAATTTCTTGATATCCTGCAAACTCTGATGACGAACAAAATGGGAAAGAAAGAGTTTTGATTTGTAAATCTCCCGGAAAATTCAAGTTTATTAACTCACGATAAATACTTTCGCAAATAATCTCCTGTAATCATCCACATTCCTAACAATCTGTTTTCTGCTTTCTTTTTTTGTTTTTCTCTCTCACCAAGGATTTTTTTCTGACGCCGAATTCTATTTGTGATAAAAGTAAGGATATTAGAAAACGGTATGATGTCGTCTGGCGACAGAAAGTTCAGAGACGTCACAGTTCCAGAAGAGGTGTAACGTTCATTCGTCACGGGCAACTTGGAACAAAGGAAGTGTATGGTTCCTGCTGAGAATTTGCACCAACCTGTGTAACTGCATGGCTAATGTGTAACACTATTGCGCGACGAAGCTACAAGAAGAATTCCAAACAAAACGTTTTTGTGGCTCTGCTACTTTTATCGTTTTCACCGCGTATTGAACTAATTACGAAGGTAAACTAGCCCCAGACTTCTAATTCCGTATCGTTTTCTGTACCTCTTAGCTACGGAGATTCTATTATGGAGTATGCTTACGTTTCCTGCATACCTCTCCGTTTCAACAATATCGGAAGCCTCTTGTGTGGTTGATAAGGAAGGAATAAAGGTTGTCGATTAACTAAATATTGTAGAAACAACTCGGTATAAATTAATTTTAATTCTACAGGTCTGCCGGTTGAATTTTTAAGTCAATTTGTTTGATTTGTAGAATGCAGTACTACTTTATTTTCATTTGGCAGGTCTCGATGATCAACGAGCTTCGGTGTTTCGTGTCTTAAATTGATAGAAATAAAAAAACAATCACAGCAAAACGAACGAACATAGGAAAAAAACATAAAGGCACTACCGTCAGGTAAGAGGCATTTAAGCCTATATAAAAGTACAAGCGACTCCATCTGGGGGAGGGGCCGTGACGTCATGTTAAGTCTTCCCTAACAGGCTTGTCTTGTCAAGAAGATTACTCTTTGGCTTTACCGTAAATTCTGACCACTTAAACACGTCACTAATGAAAGATCGCGCGACACGCGGAGCACGCGAGGGAAAATGTCGCGCTCGCTAGGAAGCCAAGAAACCTCAAGCTATGGTATCAATTGCACAGCCTATAAATAGCCACTTTCTCCCATATTAGAACCAATACTCCTCTTATCAGCTTTTGCAGATGATATTGAACGGCTAGGTGGAAAACGAGGAGTGCGGAGTCTGGAAAACGAGGAGCGTGGAAAATGTGGAGTGTAGAAAATGCGGAGCAAAGATAACCTATTATTCCATAATATTCTTTGATTGTGTTATGTCCGTAATTACAGGTACGCAAATAATTACTACTGCTTTTAGTCCCTTCGGCCTCGGCCATCAAACATCCATCGAGGGCGAAAAAGAAGCCTTTGAACATTGCTTGCCCGTGTTTCCACAATCCTCATTTTCCGCACTCCGCACTCCTCGTTTTCCACCTAACCGAACAAAACCAAAATAAGAAACTTGAAATAGCAAGGTAAGGATAACGATGAGTGATAACGATGACAAATACAAGGAGAAAAAAGAGGAAGGAAAAAATATGAACACAACTGATCAGATGTCGACGCAATAACACTACTATGCACTGCATTGAACCGAATGTAACTGTGTCATTCTTCACTCAGAAAAGGATTTCAACATACATACATTGCCTGACTACAAGTACAGAGATTTACGCTATTATTTTTTTTTTAAGCCCTGGTTAATTTGGAAATATTTAGCCATGTACTGATACATTCAAAATACTTTCGGGCTGTAAAAATTGATGGAATTTAGCGAGCCGATTATCGCCGAAAGATTTATCGTATCTTTAATTAGCCATCTGAAGAAAAATGGTCACATATGAGACAGGAACATTCCAGAAAAGATTAAGTAAATCTCCCTACCGCATTAAAAAGTTATTTGCAGTTAACCTATCATATTAATCCGGGTAAGCATCATATTTTGCTGCGTTTTTTCCAAAATGTCTTCAAAGACACAAAAACATGTCCGACTTTCCTTTCCTACAAATTACTTGTCCCTGCTTTGATCAAATCTCCAGCGCAATGTATCTGTTCTTAGAATAGAGATCCTGGGAATAACTTGGGGAAAGTATTTAAATATTTGCTGACTGGAGACCCCATGCCCTGCAAATTCATTCCTTTCGTGAAGAAAAATTAGAATAACATCAATGCTAACAAATCAATTTCCTCATATCAAACTCATGGGGTACAAATAGTCTTAACATGAACATAGTGACCACGCTCACTTCAACGCCTCACTCAAATCGAGTGTAATTTTCGAATGTTTTACCATCGTGCAGATTCTCTACGGAAAAAGCACTCAATGTACCTCTGAAATATTAAACTATAATATTGTGGCTTTCTATTTCGCTAATTTTCTAACTTGAAGGTAAAGTTTTTCCCTCGTCATTTTTACTTTTTCTCCGAGCGGTTGCGTGAAATTAACAAGGCGTTTTTGATCAAAACACTACCGAGCGAAGGGTCTCGGGCGATATCTCTTTCACGCAGGCGTAAATTAAAAATGTACCGCCAGAATCTAAAAGAGGAACAAATCTCCTTTGTTTAATATTTAAAGTGTCGAACAAAAAGCAGATTTACCCCCGTCAAATGGCGTTTCAAAACAGCTGTATTGTCCTCCTTTTGATTTTTTCCTGTTTTGTCAGGCGTGAAAGCAGTAGGAGAGGGGTCGGGAAACTCAGAAAGCGCTTCGGGAATTAGATGGGCAGACCACCAAAATGAAAAGAAAAAAAATACGTCTATGAATATAATATATCCTACAAAAACGTCAAATAGGAAATAAATAGCAATCATCAAAGCTGAGATACAATGCATGAATGAAGAATTCAAAATTCAGTCATATCTTAATTTTTGGTTCTATTTCAGTTTTGATGATTGTTATTTATTTCTTATTGGTATAATTGCTTTCTTAAAACGAATTCAAACGAAAAAAAATTGTCTTGGGATGAATTGAAAAACCGATATCATGTCTGACGGAGCAAAAAAAGAAAAAAAAAAAGAAAAAACCAAGTTAAAAGTAAATTGTAAACTATACTTTATGTACGTGTCGGCTTATAATATACATCTGCCGCAGGGGACGAAACATTCATCCTTTTTCTCTTCTTTCTCCCAGACCTAAAGGGTTTGTCTCTCGAGCTGAAATACGGGACAAATATATCTTATAATTCACTTTCTCGCTTGATGGGTATTTTTTCCCTCCAGTCGAGTGGATCCGTTTCCCATTTTCATTTATTTTACATGCTGAACTATATGTATGGCCGGCTGGGAGGTCAATAGCCTCGGCCAGCATTTTCAAAACCTTGGTCACAGTTTTTCAACATACGGACCGACCCTTAGCCGGTCAATAAAAGGTTTTTTTTTTAAAACTTAACGAAATTCTTTCCGAAAGAACCCGAACGATTTAGGGCTGTAAATACGGCAAGATCTTCCATAAACTGAACAATTTTTGAGCGAGTAAATGGTAGTTAAAATAGAGGTGACGCAAATTAAAGAGAGATGCTTCACTGAAGCATTTTCATTTGTGTAATGATAAAGGCGATCTATTTCATAAGTACTGAGATTTACCCACAAAAATCGTAGTGAATAAAATTCGTACTGATTCTAAATGTAGCCAATCGGGAGTACGAACGACAAAATTTCACCGTGAAAAATTATCGTTCGTTCAATCAGCAACGCGAACGACGAAATTTCACTAATAGTGATGAATGAACGTACTGAAGAGAACGTCATGCGAGAGCCGTTGCACAAAACCCGCGCGCTTTGAAAAATGGCCGAGGGAAGGTTCGCTTCTGTTTACTCAGTTGAAGAATTCATTTTAGAACACGAAAACAAAAATACCGCTCAAAAAACTGAAAGAGATGTAAGATTGCTTGAAAGATTTTTGAAAACGAAGGACGTAGACAGGAAAATTGAAGATATTCCAGCGGCTGAGTTGAATGAATTCATTAGCGAATTTATTATCTCCGTACGCACTAAAGATGGCAACGAGTACGAGCCGACTTCGCTTCGAAGTTTAATGGCCAGCTCCGAACGACATTTGAAGAAAAAGGGCTATTCTGCCAGCATAATCAATCATAATCAAGGTAAGCTTAAGTGTTATGAACTTTATGCACTTTTATTAACTTGTTGAGAAATTTTTAAACTACTTTTTAAGCTTTTCATCGCCCCATTTGTGCTATTTGTCTACCAAAGACAACACGAAAAAACCTCAGCACCTATGAAATAAACACATTACAGCATGGGAAATGCTTTGTACGATTTTCATTCACTCGTTGATACGTATCAGAAAACTTACTCGTTCGCTGCGCTCACTCGTTCGTTTTCAGATACTACACAACTCGTGAATAAAAATCGTACGCGCGCATTTTCCATGAAGTAATCTCTATTTACAAGGCTACTAAATAAACTTTGAAACATTTTATACGTATCTGTCGATCACAATCTGACACCTGTCAATTAGATAGCGCGTAAGAAAAGAAAAAAGAGCGCATGTTCCCTTTTGAAAAACAACGAAACTAATTTGGTAAGGACTGTTACCACAATGTTTTCTTCAAAAACAGTCCATGATATTACGGAAAGTATTATTCACTCTCATCGACGATTAATTCATGTACAGAGATTTACCTCTGTTCGTTAAGTAAACAGCGAAGAAAGAAATTGTAAGTACATTCAAATTTTTTATTTTGAAGTTGTGACAGTTTGCTTGTTTGTTTGCTGCAATGACGTGTGTAAATCTGGTCTTCCCTCCACAAAAACTAAATTCGAACGATACACTCCAACGAGACACAAGGGGATTTACTGCGGCCTTTTCTCGTTGAATTCCATCAGTTTCTGCTGTGCAATTTACGGTGCAAATGTCTAAATTGAACGGACTTAGAAAGACTCACCGAGAGCGTATATTTGTTGTAGAACTGGAATTAAAACTTCGCTCGCCCTTTTACTACGAACAAATTGTTTGAGAAAATTCAGATATCAAATGTATGAAAGTTCCATCGATTAGTTCAACTGTAACCAAAAACCTCACGTTTTAACTTTCTATGTACTTTTTGTGAACGATTAATTAATTGCAGACGATTTTTAGGCCGCTTGTCAATTAACGTAATTAATGACATTATCGCTTATAATGCAAAGAAGTCATTCTGAAACCAATATTTTTCTGTCAACCAAAGTGATTAGAGAGAGAGAAAAGAGAGGATTCATAAGTTATTTATCGGCTTGAGGTAGTGACCGACGTCTTTGCCTAAAAATACTGCTTAGCCGGTAAAACGAGATATATTTATGAAAAGTGGCAACGAATGTAGAGATTTACTCGACGACTCACGAAAGCGATACCGTTGCCCGTAGGCAGAGATAAGAAAATACTGACTGGGTAAAAAACCAATCAGATTGTGGAATTCGTTACCGTGCCCTCTGAAAAAAAAATTTTTAGTCTTATTGTAGGCGTCACTAAAATCTGACGTGGAGAACGAAGAACGGGAACGGGGAACGGTTCTAGTAACAACCGCCTATTGTTTTCAAACCATGTGACATCATTATCACTAGGGAATTCGCTCCATTTCCTGTTTCCGTTTGTGAATGTTAACAAATTACCAACAATGCAATAGCGTTGAGTATCTCTAAGATAATCACACGGAGTATCACACTCTGAACGGAGGCCTTCTGAACTAATGCACAGGGTTATCCTTAAGACTTAATAAATCCATCAGGTGTGTTCTGTTATCAAAGTCTTTAGTTTCCTAGAGAAATTCAGAGCGAGGTCTTTTCAAAAGAGGTCTTACCAACAACGTATTCGACGTTTTCCGTATTTAGATGAGATGTTCAGCTGAGTCATAGTAATGCTGGGAGATCATGGAATTCTCAGCACCTTTCCTCGCCACTTACTGGCCATACATTGCCTCAATTTTGGTTGGCATCATCCTTTCTCACTTTGTTAAAAGAAGTTTCCAGCCACAGAGCCCTGGCTACACAGTGGATGTAGATCCCTTGGAAGACAACGAACACGCCATCATACCTCCTGCCAATCCACTTAACAATCAACTAATTGGTGAAGGCAATGCCCCTCACATAGCATATCCCTGGTTTGACAATCGCTTGGAGGAGGCTCAAATGAAAAAAATATCAGCTGAGTTCTACGAGAAGATGAACCATCGACGATCAGTCCGAAAAATTAGCGACGAGGACATACCAATTGAAGTTGTTGAAAATCTCATCAGAACTGCCGGTATTAAAATGAAATTTGACCCTTATAGAAGGCATGAAAGCTCAACTGTAGCAATAATGTTTGCTTAAGAAAACTCTGGTGGCCTTTCAAAAGGCGATGCAAAGTGTTCTCTCTACTGAACTTTTGGCAAAGCAAGGACTTCTTGATGGAGTTGTATCCTGCTAGTGGTTGTGGGCTGACAGTATGTCATGCTAATAATAGTAGGTCACATCGCCCCCAAAACCAAGTCACCCAAAATCAAGTGTAGGCATTTCCTCCATCCCTTTCAAGACTGATCATGTCACCCTACCGTAGAACAACTGAAGTATCCCATCCTTATTTCTTAATCCTTTAAACCCAAAGAGTCACCAGCATCTCATTTCTCCTTTCAATAATGCTGCTAAATCATTCACTAAAAGATCATCAGAATAAAGGAAATGCTTTCCAAGTTAAGAAGCTTTGATCTTCAAATGAATTCTCCTTGTAAGTACTAAAAGAAACATACAGAGTAGAGTATAGAGAATATGGGTACTGATGTTAGGGTGTGAAGGGTTAATCTTAGTCAACTTTATTTAACCATGGTTAATCCCTCAGGAATTACAAGTTATGAATATAAATATACATACCAGCACTAAGTCTACCTTATACAACATTGTACTTCTGCCTTTGCCAAAGAATAAAAAAGAATGAAAAAAAAAAACCTGATTTTTGAGGATGCTGTGCTGTAGATGTGATAAACACATTTTAATATGAATTTATCAGATACTCAAAAGTCATTGAAAATAAACAATTCAGCCACTCCGGAAGTTATTGCATGGTGTTGAATCAAAAACTATTTCCTCTAAATCAAACATTTGTTATGGTGAAAAAAATCCAACAGGTTAAGTTTTATTGTTATGATCATTGTTGAGCATTCTTTACCTATCATAATAAGTTTCTGTCTTTAACTCTGAATCAACGTCACAGAGACCCCCTGTTTTTGGCATTTTTTACAGATAACATATTTATTGTAAATGAGAAAGAACTTCTCTTCAATCTTAAGAGATATTATCAAATCAAACCTAGTTGCCATGATGACTTGGAATAAGGAGGGCCAGGAAAGACTTTTCACCTGCAAAGTCCTGAACTTTTTTAAAACAATTTATTATTTAATCAAGACTCATAATTATTATCTTCCAGAGAAAAACCCTTCCCCACTTTTGCGTAATGGCTGACTCATCTATTCAAGGCGAAAACTGTTCAGCCTTAATTCACTCTGTGTCACAAATCTGTGTTTTCAGGAACCTCTCCTAGTGGAGCCCATATGGAGCCTTGGACCTTTGTAGTAGTGAAAGACAAATCTTTAAAGGCCACAATTCGAGAAATTGTGGAAGAAGAGGAAAGACTAAATTATGCCAAGAGAATGGGAGAAAAGTGGGTGAAGGATCTGGAGTTTGCAAAGACAACTTGGTCTAAGCCATACCTGAACAGTGTGCCATACCTCATTCTTATTTTCAAACAGGTGTATGGATTTAATGAGGATGGAAGCAAGAAGACACATTACTACAATGAAATGAGTGTGTGCATCTCTGTTGGCCTTCTTCTTGCAGCCATCCAAGTAAGATGAGGGACTTATTCAGGGGGAGGGACTTTACAGGGACTTATTCCAAGGAGGCTTTTCCTTAGGTATTGGCAACCTGTGCAGCATGATTGACAGTATCATTGTTGGGTCTGTGAAATTGAGTATAAGCCTGTAAGAGGAGTCTGATTGAGGCTGAAAAAAAAACCATATTTTTAATCTGAAATAGCACAAGGGTTGCATACAGTAGTTTTGCCATAGACCCTTACTGACAACTTCTGAGAGTACCTTTCCTCCACACCCCCCCCCTCCAACCCCTCCAACCCCTCCTTTCCCAACCTATGGTCGTGGATCTGTTTGCTTTGTGGAGGAAAGGATACAATTTTAAACTTACGGCAGTTGTAATTCATTTTGACCTTCTCATTGATTAAGCAAGTCCCCCTTACAACCAAATTTATCATTATCAGAATGTAGGTTTAGTCACAGTGACTTCCACACCCATGAATGCGGGACCAAGATTGCGAGATTTGCTTGGAAGGAAAGTAAATGAAAAGCTGTTATTGCTGCTTCCAATTGGTTACCCAGCTAGCAATGCAACAGTTCCAGACATAAAAAGGAAACCACTTCAAGATATTATGGTTTTGAAGTAGAAAGATGTGCAATTATCGCATTTGAAGTTACTGCCAATGGTTCTTCCCTCCCCTTGAGGAAGAGTCTCACAAAAATACAACTCTCAAGACAGCTTTTTTTGTTTTTATTGATGTATATTTAGAAAATGCTCTAATCCTGTAGAGTTTTTGAAATTGTTTTAAATGGCCATCTGTAATTCATTAAACACTTCCCACTTAAAACACATTGTATCTTTTAAAGGCAAATCATGACAAGAGGTACTCTACATGCAAAGCCATTTAACCCTATCTCTACCAAGATATAACTGTAAGTTCTCTCCACTGTCTGTTATACATACCTTTTATTTTCTCTCAGAGAATATACTGTTTAGTCAAACAGAATCTCTGTGCTAATTTTCTTTTGGATTTCTACTTTTCCTATCATTCACTTTTTATTCTGAAAAAGTATGGTTGTAAGAAGAAGTTGCTTTGTGGTCAGTGGTGGGAGTGAAATGGTTAAATTGTTGATGAAGTAGTAGAGTTAAATGGCAATCCTTGGCAAGACTCTTATACCTTTATCCTTTTTAGTCAATTGGTGATAGGAAACATGAATTGTTGAAAAAGAATAAATTGATTATAGCCTACAACTGTTGCCACAAATTGTGGGCTGAATGGTTTTTGAAAGCAATATCTTGTGGAATTCATAAAAATGTTAATGTTATGTAGTATTTAGTTTTAGTGACCTGTCATTAGCAAGTGTGGGCATCCTTAAACTATCCACTGACACATCACATGTAAATTGAAAAGTGGTGCTATATTAAAGTTTCTCAAATAAGTATTAGGTAAATGTCTGTTAGTCTTTATCCGTATGGATGTAGCACAGATGTATTGCTGGAGTAATACTGGTTGTAAAAAAATCTACCTCTGATAGTTGTTTGAATTTTTTTTATTTACTGAAAATAGTTACAATAAAGAAATATCAGAGAGATTTCCTCAATATATTTTTCATAAAAAGTTAACTTCAACACATACATCATATAGTTTTGTCACCAAAATAGACATTCACATCTTGTGGAGAAAATTTGATCTACTTTTACAGTAAATTATTTTCTAAGTAACTTTTTCCATATTAGGATTTATTACCACATGGGTGAATACCCTGATTTGCTGCCACAAAAGTGAGTAACAAGGCTGCCAAGCGCTATTCACCTCCCCCTCCACAAACAGTAGAAGCACGAGAAATGGACCAAGGAAACGGACAGGAAGACATTTCTACGTTTTTTTTATTCAAATATCTTTTTGTTTTCTCCTTTAGTGAACGTCTGGATTATTACCGTAAAGGTCTGGTACCATTTCAATAACTTTGTTTCCTTTTATATTTATATTTTTTATCCGACCTATCTTCCCCTTTGCCTTTTGCACTTCTTTCCTACATTCTTTCATTTAGTTTCTTCGGTCTTTCAGTTCTTTTTCACAAAAAAGAGGTTGGTATTTCTCAAGTTCCTGCTACTTTCCATCCTAACAGATATCGACACTGGTGCTGTAGATGGTAGACAAATCAGGAAACGATCAAGGAGACCATTATTATTTGCCACTAGCTTTAGCGTCACGTACCTCAGGAAAGGATGTGGTTGCGTAAAACAAGAAAGAGCCAAAGCTGCGGAGGGAACCCCAACCCTTTTGTTTGTATTTCCTTTCGTTTCATACCAGTGAGAACCGTCGTAACACTGTAATAATCGTTTCATCGCCGGAGCCGAGGCGCCCGTCTTGAATTCGACTACCTCCTTGAACCATTCTTGATATTCATCGATGGCACACAACGCTACGCGATTTTTACTTCGCAAAAAGAACTTAAATAAACCTTCCTAGCTGGCATCATCAAGAAGCAATTCACCACCGACTTTTTCTTCTCCCTTAAACGCTTTAAAGTACCACCAATGGCACAACAGTGGAAAGTATGCAATGGCAAGTAACATCCCCAGGGAGGAGAGGGATCACAAACTCTTTTCTCCGTTCGTTTTTCGAGAGGGAACACATGTACTCTCAACGTATGTCTCAACTACCATGTGTTTGGATACCAGCCGATCACACATTTAAAGTGTCTGCGAACATTGGCACATGGAATCAAGGAGTTTGGGTCAAGCAGTGTGACTCACTTTTCCCGTTTTAAATGAAAAAAAGCAAGTTCTTGCTTGGTGATTGACGAGAGGTACCTCGTTTGAAAGAGTGAAGAACATGATTCATAACCTGAAGAGGAGATTGGACTGCAACGGTGTCAAAGTGCAATCGATTTGTATAGAGAGCTGCTGCAAAGATTTATCGTATCTCTAATTAGCCATTTGAAGAAAAATTTTCACATATAAGACAGAAACATTCCAGAAAAGATTAAGTAAATCTCCTCTACCGCATTACAAAGTTATTTGCAGTTATCATAATAATGCGGGTAAGTATCATATTTTGCTGTATTTTTTCCAAAATATCTTCAAAAGACACAAAAACATGTCCGGCTTTCCTTTCCAACATTCTAAGAACAGATACATTGCGCAGGAGATTTGATTAAAACAGGGACAAGCTATTTGAGTCAGTCTACTCTAACTTTAATCAAATCTCCTGCGCAATGTATCTGTTCTTAGAATAGAGATCCTGAGAATAACTTGGGGAAAGTATTTAAATATTTGCTGACTGGAGACCCCATGCCCTGCAAATTAATCCCTTTCGTGAAAAAAAAATTAGAATAACATCAATGCTAACAAATCAATTTCCTTCTCATCGAAAATAGGTTATGCCGAAAAAGTAGGTTCAAATGGGTATTTATTTATTCATTTATTTCATACAATTCAATGACAATAAACAAAATCATCATCACAGTCTAAAAAAGAGTCATAGACCTCATACAAAGGCAGACCACATAAAAGAAAAGAAAAAATACATGTATAAATATAATGTATCCTACAAAAACTTCAAATAAGAAATAAATAACAATCCTCAAAACTGAGATACAGACATGAATGAAGAATTCAAATTCAGTCATATCTTAATTTTTGGTTCTATTTCAGTTTTGATGATTGTTATTTATTTCTTATTGGTATAATTGCTGTTTGAAAACAAATTCAAACGAAAATCAAAGTGCTCTGTGAGCAAACTCGTGAATTGACACATGATTTTTTGGATTACGTCTAATGTTATCTGGTTTAAGGAATTTTGTGGTTGATTGTCATATCTAGAGTACGAGCAGTAGTTTAGTGTTCGTAGCAAAGAAACAAAGTAACGTTGGGATAAGAAGGCATTACAATTGAAATGATCATGCTATTACATTTGACAAGGGTGGATGATGTCATGTGTTTTAAACGTATATCATTTTTGTTTCTGGTTTTGTCTTCAAAAGAAAAGGTTGGAAGTAAATGAGGGTGAAAAGTGAAATTTACCGTTTATCATTGTAAATATTAGAAAACCAAGGCAATACTGTCTTAATGAAAACATTAACGATTCCCTCTTTATCAAATGAGACAAACGGGAACGAGTTTTGAGTGATATAACTAGGCCCAGACTGCTACCGTCATTTTGGATCTCCGCCTGGGTAGATTTTAGTCACGTGCTAGGCAACATATAATCAAGAACAAGATAGAATTTCATTTCAGGCCTATTTATCAATTTTGTGGGGTATAACTTTCGCATTTTATTACGTAATATTTATTTTGAATCTTCAAATTGTCTTGAAACTTAAAAGAAAATTGTTCTTTAAAAATTCACTGAAAATCGATGGCTAAAATTGTTTGTTTAGGTGTTATTTGATTTTCGTGATAACTTATAATTTCGTCAGTCGCCGGCATCTTGTTGCTTCACACAGGAAAAACACACGATACGAAACGTAATGATCGATTTTTTCCTCAATCTCACGCCATAACAGAAAAAGCTTTTGAACATCTGTAAACTCCGAGCGCTTCGCAGTAAGTGATATTTTCAATGAATCTTCGGATTGTTTTCAAGTTCAAGGATTGTAAATTACAATTTTATGAAAAACGAAGGTTGTTCTGTTATTTCAGTGTGAATCCTTGCATGCCTGCCAGTCGCTGGCGCCGCTTGTTGAAACTAAAACGAAAAAAAAAACTCTTTTAAGATAATCATTGGCTTCTTTTTCACGCCACCACTATTCTTAGCAACAAAGGTCGCCATTTCGTTTGTTTATCGCTCGCCAAAAACTATCAAATGCACTCAAAAGCCTAAAATCGAAAAAAAGTTTACGGGTATCGATTAATCGAGCGAGTGTCATTCTCCACATCATATCTTCAATCCGCTCTTGCGCATGCGTGCAATTCACGAGTTAAAAATTAGCTTGAAATGAATTGAAAAACCGATATCATGTCTGACAGGGCAAAAAAAAGAGAAGAAAAACCAAGTTTAAAGTAAATTTTAAACTATACTTGTACGTGTCGGCTTGGGATCAGTGTATCAGTTTCCCATTTTTATTTATTTTACATACTGAAGTATTTAGTCTTATTGTGGGCGTCACTAAAATCTGACATGGATAACGAAGAACAAGGAACGGGGAACAGGGAACGGGAAAGGAACGGTTCTAGTAACAACCGCTTATTTTTTTCAAACTATTAATGGGTTTCTCCGTTCATTTCCTGTCTCCGTTTGTGAATATCGTGAACAAATTACCAACAATGCAGTCGCGTTGAAGATCTCGAAGATAACCACGCGGAGTATCACGCCCAGAATTGAGGCCTTCTGAACTAATGCACAGGTTTATCCTCAAGACTTAATAAATCCATTATGTGTGTTCTATTATCAAAGTCTTTAGTTTCTTAAAGAGAAATTCAGACCGAGGTTTTTCCCAAATTATCTTAGAAGTCGTACGGACCATCTCGACCATTTACTGGTGTTCCTGTGCACATACCTTCCTTAGAAGTTTTCGGTACTCAGTTAAGATATTCAGCTGAGTCATAGTAATGCTGGGAGATCATGGAATTCTCGGCACCTTTCCTCGCCACTTACTGGCCGTACATATCCTCAATTTTGGTTGGCGTCATCCTTTCTCACTTTGTTAAAAGAAGTTTCCAGCCGCAGAGCCCTGGCTACACAGTAGATGTAGATCCCTCAGAAGACAACGAACACGCCGCCATACCTCCTGCCGATCCACTTACCTATCGGCCGATTGGTGAGGGCAATGCCCCTAACATAGCATATCCCTGGTTCGACGATCGCTTGGAGGAGGATCAAATGAAAAAAACATCGGCGGAGTTCTACGAGAAGATGAACCGTCGACGATCGGTCCGAAAAATTAGCGACGAGGACGTGCCTATTGAAGTCGTTGAAAATCTCATCAGAACTGCAGGTATTTAAGGGGCATGAAAGCTCAACTGTAACAATACTGTTCAATCAAGAAAACTCCAGGAGCCTTTCAAGGGCGAAGCAAAGTGTTCTCTCTATTGAATTTACTCTAATGAAATTTTGGCAAAGCGAGGACTTCTTGGTGGAGGTGTATCCTGCTGGTGGGTGTGGGTGGGGGGGGAAGGGGGGGCGGGCTGATAGTATGTCATGCTAATAATAGTAGGTCACATCGCCCCCAAAACCAAGTTACCCAAAATCAAGTGTAGGCATGTCCCCCATCCCTCCCATGACTGATCAAGCCACCCTACCGTAGAATAACTGAAGTATCCCATCCTTATTTCTTAACCCTTTATAGTTTAAACCTTAAAAGTGACCAGCATCTCATTTCTCCTTTCAATAATGCTGCTAAATCATTCACTAAAAGATCATCAGAATAAAGTAAATGCTTTCCAAGTTAAGAAGCTTTGATCTTCAAATGAATTCTCCTTGTCAGTACTAAAAGAAACATACAGAGTAGAGTATAGAGAATATGGGTACTGATGTTAGGGTGTGAAGGGTTAATCTTAGTCAACTTTATTTAACCATGGTTAATCTCTCAGGAATTACAAGTTATGAATATAAATATACATACTAGCACTAAGTCTACCTTATACAACATTGTACTTCTGCCTTTGCCAAAGAATAAAAAAAAATGAAAAAAAAACCTGATTTTCAAGGATGCTGTGCCACAGATGTGATAAACACATTGTAGTATGAATTTATCAAATACTCAAAAGTGATTGAAAATTCAGTCACTGGAAGTTATTGCATGGTGTTGAATCAAAAACTTTATTTCCTCTAAATCAATCTTTTGTTATGGTTGATAAAAAAAATCCAGCAGGTTTAGTTTTATTGTTATGATCATTGTTGAGCATTCTTTATCTATCATGATAAGTTTCCATCTTAACTCTGGATCAACATCACAGAGGCCCCCCGTTTTTAAATATTTCACAGATAACATATTATTGTAAATGAGAAAGAACTTCTCTTCAATCTTAAGAGATATCAAATCAAACCTGGTTCCATGATGACTTGGAATAAGGAGGGCCAAGACTTTTCACCTGCCAAGTCCTGAATCCTTTTAAAATAATTTATTATTTAATCAAGACTCATAATTATTTGCTTCCAGAGAAAAACCCTTCCCCACTTTTGCGTAATGGCTGACTCATCCATCCAAGGTGAAAACTGTTCAGCCCTAATTCACTCTGTGTCACAAATCTGTGTTTTCAGGAACCTCTCCCAGTGGAGCCCATATGGAGCCTTGGACCTTTGTAGTAGTGAAAGACAAATCTTTAAAGGCCACAATCCGAGAAATCGTGGAAGGAGAGGAAAAACTAAATTATGCCAAGAGAATGGGAGAAAAGTGGGTGAAGGATCTGGAGTTTGCGAAGACAACTTGGTCTAAGCCGTACCTGAACAGTGCGCCATATCTCATTCTTATTTTCAAACAGGTGTATGGATTTAATGAGGATGGAAGCAAGAAGACACATTACTACAATGAAATGAGTGTGTGCATCTCTGTTGGCCTTCTTCTTGCAGCCATCCAAGTAAGATGAGGGACTTATTCAGGGGGAGGGACTTTACAGGGACTTATTCCAGGGAGGCTTTTCCTTAGGTATTAGCAACCTGTGCAGCATGATTGACAGTATCATTGTTGGGTTTGTGAAATTGAGTATAAGCCTGTAAGTGGTGTCTGATTGAGGGTGAAAAAAATAACCACATTTTCAATCTGAAATAGCACAAGGGTTGCATACAGTAGTTTTGCCATAGACCCTTGCTGACAACTTCCAAGAGTACCTTTCCTCCTCCCCCCCCTCCTCCCACACAACCCCTCCTTACCCAACCTAGGGTCATGGATCTGTTTGCTTTGTGGAGGAAAGGATACAATTTTAAACTTACGGCAGTTGTAATCAATTCATTTTGACCTTCTCATTGATTAAGCAAGTCCCCCTTACAACCAACTTTATCATTATCAGAATGCAGGTTTAGTCACAGTGACTTCCACACCCATGAATGCGGGACCAAGATTGCGAGATTTGCTTGGAAGGAAAGTAAATGAAAAGCTGTTATTGCTGCTTCCAATTGGTTACCCAGCTAGCAATGCAACAGTTCCAGACATAAAAAGGAAACCACTTCAAGATATTATGGTTTTGAAGTAGAGAGATGATGATGTGCAATTATCACATTTGTAGTTACTGCCAATGGTCCTTCCCTCCCCTTGGGGAAGATTCTCACAAAAATACAACTCTTAAGACAGCTTTTTTACATTTTTATTGATGTATATTTAGAAAATGCTCTAACCCTGTAGAGTTTTTGAAATTGTTTTAAATGGCCATCTGTAATTCATTAAACACTTCCCATTTAAAACACATTATATCTTTTAAAGGCAAATCATGACAAGAGGTACTCTACATGCAAAGCCATTTAACCCTATCTCTACCAAGATATAACTGTAAGTTCTCTCCACTATCTGCTATACATTCCTTTTATTTTCTCTCAGAGAATATACTGTTTAATCACACAGTATCTCTGTGCTAATTTTCTTTTGGTTTTCTACTTTTCCTATCATTCACTTTTTATTCTGAAAAAGTATGGTTGTAAGGAGAAATTTCTTTTAGTCAGTCATGGGAGTGAAATGGTTAAATTGTTGATAAAGTAGTACAGTTAAAAGGCAATCCTTGGCAAGACTCTAAAACCTTTACCCTTTTTAATCAATTAGCTATAGGGAACATGAATTGTTGAAAAAAAAAATACAAAATTGATTATGGCCTACAACTGTTGCCACAAATCATGGGCTGAACTGTATTTGAAGGCAATATCTTGTGGAATTCATAAAAATATTAATGTTATGTAGCATTAAGTTTTAGTGACCTGTCATTAGGAAGTGTGGACATCCTTAACTATCCTCTGACACATCACATGTAAATTGAATAGTAGTGCTATATGAAAAGTTTCTCAAATAAGTATTATGGTAAATGTCAGGTAGTCTTTATCCATATGGATGTAGCACAGATGTACTGCTAGAGTAATACTTCTTGTAAAAAATCTACCTGTGATAGTTGTTAGAATTTTTTTATTGACAGAAAATAGTTACAATAAAGAAATATCGTAGAGATTTCCTAAATATACTTTTCAAAGAAAGTTAACTCTAACACATCCATCATATATTTTTGTCACCAAAATAGACATTCACTTCTTGTGGAGAAAATTTGATTTACTTTTACAATAAACTATTTTCTAAGTAACTTTTTCCTTATTAGGATTTATTACCACATGGGTGAATACTCAGCCCTGATTTGCTGCCACAAAAGTGAGTAGCAAGGCCACCAAGTGCTATTCACCTCCCCCTTTTTGAGATGAAGAGATGAAATTGTGCTTCCAGAGATTCATTTCCAACTATTTTTTCCATTTACTAAAAGTAATGCACTAATTTTTTGCTTTTTTGTGTAGTAAATATAAATAATCCAGTAATCCAACTTGGTGTTCCTGAAAGTGGTGGATAAGTATGTCTCCACTTTGCCATTCAGTAAATATCTACCACTATTCATCCCACTTTGGTGAAATGACTGACTGTGAATGACTGTGTGAGCTGATTTTCATGAGTGCAAAGTCACAGGGGGCAATTTCTTCATTCAGCAGTTCACTGATGAATAATCAACAGTGGTATTAAGATGCCCATTCAAGCAATCAGTTTCTCTATTTATGGAATGCTGACGAATGATTGGTTGTCCTATTGTCCCATCAACATCATAAGTTGCCTGAAGTGAGTTAGAGCGTTTCACTCCAGTTGGAGATCTTGAGTCAAAACACAGTGTACAACACTGGAAACAGCGGCGAAACTTACCAAAACATTTTTCAGTAAAAAAGCAAAATAGAAGAAAGTTTGCAAATCCAGGGGCATTATCTCCAATACCCTATAACAACAACAATTACAAGAAAGTAAGCATAACAAATCAGTAAAGGTAAATACATTGGGAACATATGCATAGCATGATTGCAATATTCACAATTTGCTTATCATAACTACATAGTTCCATAAACAAGAATTCAGGATGTAAATTAAATTGTTGCACATTGCAAGTATGACTGGAAAATCAAAAAATACTAACTGTAAGGAGTTTTTTAAAATAAAACCATTACAAACCCTAACTGAGGTAATTTCTACCTGTTTCTCACTAATTCTTAATCCCAATTTCGCTCACCTGTAGAATGAGCAGCCAAAATGGTGACTCATGGTGTGAAATCATCAGGAGAAATCTTATAGTTCCCCAAACACGCAACAACACAAATAATAAGGGAACACAAATCAGTTTCCTTTCTGCCTTCTGAGCTTGTGCCACTGTACTTTCAGTGAATACTCTGTTTTTCTCATGAAGCTAAGGAGACAATCCATGCATTTGTTGTTTTATATTGAAGTATTCTTAAAGTTTTAAGGATAGTTATATATTTAGATCTACAAATATCATACAGCCATTCATATCATATTAATCTTTTCCTAGATCTAATTCTAATGCACTCTAATTTTTGAGCAGGTTTCAAAGTTTTTTGTCCCCACTAGCATTTATGAAAGAAGCATTCCACAAACATACTAACCACAGCCAACCAAAGAGTAATGTTACCAAACTTGCAAAACAATGCAAAAAAAGTAAGCCTAAGAAGAGAAAAACACACTGCTTGCACTCAAGTGCCTCAACCCCTCACTCTGAATACATCATGATCCTAATCAACACTTGCAGTCTGTGTCTGTTGCTCTTGCAGCAATAAGGAGTAACCTTTTGACCCCTAAGAGTGACCAGCATCAAGTCAAGTCTATTGTGCATATACAATGAGGAAAATCTCACCAACTAGTTTGCAGGTATAACACAGAAAGTTAAAGTAAAAATAACTAAATTGAGATAATATTGTCTATAACTAAGATGATATAAGATTGAAATAGTATCTCAGCAATATTGGGGACACCAACAAAGGCAAAAGCTGGCATTTAATAATCAAGCAGTACTACCAAGGTCTGGAAGGGTATTTTCGAATCCAGGATTTGACCAAAATGCAGTGTGGGATTCAGGAAAATGCAAAATATCTTGACAGGACTCAGGATTTGACTGCTCCCCAGGAAGTGGAATTTGCCAAAATTAGAGTACAGGATGCAGGATTTTTTTGCCTATCTGTTGGGAATTTGGTATAGTGCCATGAACCAAATAAACATTGTAGTGGTGAAAGTAAATCAAACAGGCAAGCACTTAGTGTGTAAGTGGTGTCTCCTTTCAAATCAAACAATAGAGTGCATTTACCTGGTCAATAGTTATCTAATTGAAACTGTCAAGAAATCACCTGACCCTGGACCCTGAGACAACAAAGGGTATTTTTTTCAACCGGATACCAGGAAAGTGCACTTGGTGTAATAGCATATCAGTTATAATGACTAAATATAACTGTTTCTCAAACTCTTTACATGACTTCACAACTGTTATCTTGAGCAGTTGAGAGGATTGTTTTTAACAATAAGACCACAAGATATGGTGAATACTGATACCAATACTGATACTCCCATGACCAACACTCAGCTCAACTCAGTCAAAGTTTTGTTGTCATTTTTTGCAGCCACTGATGAGTCAGACATGTCTTCTAGTGCCATAAGTACCGAGACAATCCACAAAAAAATTTAATATCCCATTAAGTGAAGAACAGAGAGAGCTATACAGATTTAAGATCCATTTAAAAACCTTTACTGGTCTAGAGGATATTGCACAGAGTTAAGGTCTTGGAGAAAACCCTGAGGGCACCATTGCTGTTCACATGCTCCACAATCACAGGAGCCAATCTAAATCTTACATTCATTTCCTTTTGCCTTTTTCAATGTATTCGTGGGAAAGAAAAACAGGATTCACAATGATGATAAAAGAAGGTACAGGAAATGGGACTCTAGTAAAAAATGAGCAGGAATTCTGGATCAAAGCCCCCCCTTCCAGACCCTGTACTACTTCAACCTCATAAATACTACAGTGGAACCTGTATGAAGTGGCACCATATTCAGCGGTCACCCTGTATTATGCAGTTGGTTGTCAAAGTCCTGAATTTGTTTCTCCCAAAACACTGTAATTTTCACCTCTGTCCAGTGGTCACCTCTATGAAGTAGTCTTGGTCACCCTTTATTCAATCCCAACGGCCTGTTTGTATTGTCTTTCACCTGTATTGAACGGTCACTTAGGCTGGAATCCCCCAAATAAAACAAAGAATAATCTTTCAAGTATAATTTAATCCATCTTTATCTCCCTAAATAAGTGTTTGAAGTATTTTTGCAACTTGAGCAACTTAAGTGGTCAATTGTGGCATAAAATGGTGTTTTTATTCTGTGGAACTGGTATTGATTGGTCAATCTGTATTAAGCAGTGACCTAACCATTCCCAATGGGTGACCACTTGATACAGGTTCGACAGTATTTCATACTACAATATTGATAGTTCATTTTAATCCTTGAACTCCCAAAAGTGATTGGCATGTAACTTCTCCTCATAATATCCATAATTATGCAGCAAAAATGCTATGAGAAGACCTACACGAGATAGAAGTTGTTATTGTGCTCTAACACCAAATTCTTGTAGCTCGTTTACAAGGAAATGTTTAGCAGCTACCAAAGGAGGATTTATTTCTTGAAAGTTAAAGGGTTAAATGGCTTGAAGTCATTGCAATTAATAGCAAAATAACCTTACCTCCTTCTTCATATTTCGTTTGACTAAGGCATAAAGTACAACTATTGCACAAAATGCCATTATTTCCCATAATTTTCCTGCCAACAGCATCCATTCGATTTGCTCGTGCCAGTTCAACTTTATGTTGATCCAACACCATCCTGCTGAGACTTTGTTGCCGTTGTCTCCCAGTTTATGAGTCGACGCTGCGATAGTCGCAATTATTGCTGGTATTCCCCAGCCAAACACGTGAAATAAGTACAACAAACGCTCAGCTAGTCGGGAATTCTTCCAGCAAACAGAAATGTACAGATACAACGCCATAGAAACTGTCCAGAAGAAAGAACACAGCACAGAAAAAGTTCCGATGATACTTTGGACGAAACAGACCTCTTTGTTTTCAGTTCCTGACAACCAAAAATTTGTTATAGCAGCGATTGTTGCAACACATGTGAGAAAGTCTGCGATAGAGATGTAAACCAGAATTCTCCTTGACGTAGTTCGAATGTCCTTCCATAGAAAGAAAGAGACGATGATGAAAAGCGTACCAAAAAGAGACAGAACTGTAGTTATTGTCGCCAAGATTTCGTTCTCCTCCATCGCAGCGCTGATACAACAATCTCTACGTCGCCTTCGACTGTGGCGTAACAGAACTTATTACGGAAAGTGAAGCATTGTAGGATTTCACACACAATAGAAATTTGATACTGAGATTGCGTCACGTATCTAGTACGCTACGACGTGAGCTGTGACGGAGGGGATGTGTTGAGGGGTAACACGAGGGGGCGTACTAATTCCAGAGTCGTTTGTCACCGATAATTTTTCATTTTTTGCTGCTACCGGGCTTTTCCGGTATTGAAGGAACAGTTTTGTCAGGTACCAGGGTTCTAAAATTAGAAGGTTGTCAGTTTCGAGTGTGGTTTTCTGTCTCAAAATCTGTTACTTATGAATATATTAAAGTTTTATTGCCTTGCTGGGTTGCTGGTTTTCTTTAGAAATGTAGACAGGTTTCTCGCTTGAAATAAGAGCAGTAGTCTCGCAAAAAGTCCCGATATTTTCTTCCCCAGTTGTTTCACAATTCGGGACTCATAACGCATCGGACCACTCCCCACCCCCGCTCAGCACGCGTTTAACTCTTCCGCGAATAGACAAGCAAAGTTTCGCGCCCGAATAGAGGCTATCGTGGTTATATCCCTCAAATATTTTTAAAATAAATACATATATTTCATGAATGGGAGGAGTAAGAAGTAATAAGTAGATGCCGAGAGTTGTTATTCTCTTGTAGATGCTCATTTTATTGTCGAGGATTGTTCTTTGCTATTTCTTCACTACTGATGTGTTTCTAAACGGATTGTTCAAAACTGTGACAAACTTAAACTTCGACACTGTTTTTTTTCCGCCCTTGGGCTCTTATTTGTTTCTGTTATGAGTTGGTACTCGCCCCTTGATATTTATTGTGTTTGATATCTGTTGTGATTACTGTGCTTTTGAGTTTTAAGAGAGTCAATCAAAAAGCGCTTTACTTAATTTAGCTATGTTTTTAACAAGAGAAAATCTTGATTTTAAGTATTCGGATGTCATTCACACAGTGTGCTTATAGCCGGATCGAATTCAAAATAGCCAGCAAACAGGCATTGATTATTGGCGCCTCGGCAAGAGCGTTTCTTTTCCCGCAAGAAATTTTTAGTTCACACGGGAAGAGAGCGGCCAACGAGAGAACTGCGAGAGTTCTGGCAAAAATAGTGAGTGCTAGACAGAGCCAGATTCTCCCAGACACAAAACAGACCTCTCGCCAGCTCTCCTCAAACTTTCTCGCGGGCGAAGAAAAGGGCGTTCTGCAGCGCTAAAAGTGGGCCATATTTCTACCGTCAAGTTTGGGGATAAATAAATTAATGTGCACGGTGTGTTTAATAGTCCACATGCGCCAGGCTTAGTTACTCCCATACATACAGTGCAAGAGTACAAAGCCAAAGACTCCGCCAAAGAGCAGTTATGGAATACTCGCGGCGTCCTGCCCCACTCATCTTACAAACTGGCTGAGTAGGCTGAGTGATCTCTTCATGATATGGCTTGCACAGATCTTCTTCTAAAGCCCATGGATCTTTCCCTCCATCACAAAACGGGTTAAAGTTAGCGGTGACATTTTTTAAGATCCCCGTGGACATTGTGGTGACATTATCGCAAACGGTATCCCATGTCATAGTCACACACATCCTGGCTTCTCCACGTTTACTGTCACAATAAAATCATACAGAAACTATTCATTATTAAGTACATGGGATGTTATCACGAAAGATAGAGCAAAACTCAAATTCTTTTGGAAAAAGGGACAATTTTTGCCATGGAAACATGATCAGTGAAAACATCAGACGGTCGTGTAAATAATTAGAGCTTCATCGTAGGAATTCAGTACATGATCATGAACTCATGATGTTTAAACCTCGCCTTCCATTTATCGCGAAAATACAGGCGGACGTTGTATGGTTTCCCAAGGACGAAACTCAAGTAAAACAATGAGCCCAGGGACACAGATACAGTGTTCAAGGAAAAAAATGTGAGTATATTTTGACACCAGATGAAGATCACTATGTTATTATAGTGGTTCACATACTGTAAACGTATACGCGTTGAAATAAACTTAAAGTTAAGTTTTAGCTGCAAGGGGTGATCCGTGCGGACATCTACTGACAAATACTAAGATCAAATAGAAATGTGTCAACTACGGTTTTTAATTCGAAAATCCAGTTGATATAGCATTTAGCAGCTCTGAGAGAATAAAACTGGTAAAGGTAATGTAGATACCTGCACAGCGATTTGTCGCTTGGGTCCTTGAAAAACGCTTTCGCGAAGTCACGAATGCATTCGTCGACTTTGCTCTTGTGTTCGGGCGAACACAAGGACAGCGACGAAACTAGCGGTATCTCTAAGTCTCTCCCGCTGCAGTAAAGCGATTCCATTTCCTCAATGTTAGCCACTTTCAATGTTGGTTCAGTTTTCGAACATTCCTTTGATTTCTTCAAGGAGCGATAGTATAACATCCAGAATTGGAGTCTTTACCATAAAATAGGAAAACAAATGAGAGTGAGCTGGATAATTTATTAAAATCTTGCGGATAATCAAAATTATATTGTGAAATGCTGAGCATCTAGAGTTTGAAAATGGCCAGCTATCGATGAAGGAGGTTCGTGGAGGTTCAATAATCCCGATTCCCTACCCACCCTTTTTTTATGAAGAGTGAATCATTTATAGTAGGTGACGGTCAATCCAACGCCTTTTCAGGCCTTAGCGCATGATTCGATCCAGAGTATCGTACACGATCATGTAATATCGGCATTAGATTCCAAATGCTCAAACTATCAAGCCAACAAAACACTGATAAATTGCAACCAGGGGCTCTTTTTGCAGGGCTGTAGGAGTCTGGCTTTTTATGGACAACCCTTTAATCTACCTCTGAGGACTTATTTAAAATATAATTGGAACGTAATTCGTAGGAGTTCTTTTTCACACTTTTCTAATGTTTTAGATCTTTTCCAATAATGCTTAATGCTTACCCACAATCTGAAGAAGTCCCTTCCTTCAACGCCTTGAAGAATGTTGATTCGTAGTTTCGTAAGCTGCAGTAGTAATCCATGAAAGTACAGTTTCCCACATCTGGTAATCCAGCATCGCATGGGTAAAGACAGCCTATAATGGATAGATTTTGGCAGGAGAATGATAAATTAGAATACACTCATTCAATTCTGAAACGACAGTGCCAGTAATGTTAGCGAGCCTCTTTAGCTTTTGGATAGTACGAAATGGGTATCAAAAATACCTGCTAGCATTAAATAGGCGGCAATCAACACTAACCATGAATCCTTAGTTTCTTTGGTTTACGCGCAGCTTAACCATCCTTCTGTTTGACTACAAATTCAGTCCGATTTGATCCTATGAGCTCCTATAGCTTATGCACAAATACCAAGGTAACCGCGTCTGATTTCGATGACACTAATTAAGAGGCGTAATCGGAATCCGCGGAATCCGCCAAATTACTAAATGGACACTATATATCTGAGGCAAATTTTAACCTGAATTCATTATCATTCATAGCAATAATATAAAACTGTTTCACTTCAGGATTTCTGGCGGCGGAGGAGTTGTTTTTTTACTTATATTCTACGCAGTTGCTTGGATTCCGCCGTAGTTTCGAGAAATGAGTGCTGTCACGCGATAACATTTCCAAGATTCAACTCACCTCAGCAGATGGTAAATGTAAATTATTTTCTTTTTCTACCTATTTTTTATCTTTCTTTCTCATTTAATCCCATATCACTCTATTTAGGATGGTATTTGAGCGCCTGGCAAGGTTTAAAGTGACATTTACCACGCTATCCATGGACGTATTGGCAACAGAGACGTGTTTCGCCGAAGTAGCAACATAACGGTAAACACTGCAACTTTGAACGCTTCGTACAAGGTCGATAAACTTTGGCCGAAAACTGTTTTTACAGAAATGTAATGTATATCCTTCTCATGTCTGATTCATCACTGTGATTGCTTTCAATAGCGTTGGATTTTGCAGAAATAATTATTTTAAAATCATCTCAACGCTCCATCTAATTTGATATGTAATATTTGAACATTTATTTTTCATTCGCTTCTGCAGTTTTTCGATTTTTATCGAATGATTTTGCATTAAAAGGCCTTTTTCTTCATAAATTTGTAGTTTTCTCATTATTCTGTGTTGCGATAGTGATTTTTGAACCGGTTTTTGAAAGGGCATATTTTGGGACAGATTTTACTACAATCAGACGTAACAAGTTCGTGGCTCGATATTTTTGGTTTAAAGCGAAACTGAAGCAAAAGAAATTAATTTTTAAATAGTATTAGGTAACCTCTACTTGGAAGATAAAAATCGGCCGATTTTAATTTTTAGCTAGAAATCATCGGTCGTTTCTTAGGCGCAGGGCCTCTTAAACTTTCTTCGAAATGGGACTAAGCTGAGGCGGAAGTGGCTTTAGATTGCTTATATGTCAAACCCAAGCAAGTTAATGTCAATCCATTGCTTAAATGTTAAACCTGAGCATTAAATTAACTCTTCCAATGCCTACTGCACCTTCGCTTTTTTAAAATTCCCTGATAGGGGAAAATCGTAACAGATCGTACTCACCTAAAATAACAACAGCTGTAAATAGAAGCATTATCGGTTTCGATTTCCTAGGAAAACCTGACCAGAGAAGCAAAATATGGAGCATTGACCAACAATTTAAGAGCTTGTTGCTTCCGATTTCGGTTAACGTCTCTCCTAACCAATGGTAAGTTCCTTTTGAGAGTGCAATAATTCCGAGCACAGTAAAAAAAAACTTTCGCGAAGGAATAAAATTCCACCTACGTAGGAAAATCAACAGCGCATGGTCTAACACGCTCGCTCTGAATTGTGTGAAATTAACCGCGTTATCATATTGTTTTGATTAAAGACAGATCAGGCAGTTCACTTCCTCATTTCAAACTGTTCGTAAAATGATTTTTTCGCAAATGATTTCCGGTAGTATTCATACCAATACTTGGAATACAAACGTTTTTCTGGGTTACAAACGCATAAAAGTACGTTTTGGAACCGTTCACTTTCAGCCATGACTCGAAATTGAGATTTTGGTATTTCAATTCTTACGTGGGTATGCCATGCAGTAGATATACTTGAAACAAGGAGGTGAAGCCGAACTGGTTTAACAAAAATCAGGAGTTGTCGGCGCAGGTGGGTCATGATAAAGAAACGAACTGGATGGGCAATGACGAACAGTGTAAACATAGTCGGGAATATAATATTTCGAACAAGAAATGCTACATGACAGAAGGGTACATTCGTTATAATTTACAGACTTGGAAACGCCAACACAGTAGTCAAAGCCAGAAATATGGCGCTTTTTCTCGCTCAACTTAAGAAATATTCCACTCTGCCTCACCTTTGTAAATAAATAATTAAGAAAATAACACAAATTTTTCGTTTTGATAAGGTATTACTCGATAACAGAAGAATACAGTTCATATTCTCTTGTCGATAGTCAGGTATGGTTGCTCGGGTGATCTTAAAGGTAAGGCCTATGATTGGTCGAAGATTGTGTCATTTTTCGCCTAGTAATACATCAAATCAAGAAAGGATATCATCCTCTCTTTATATAATACATTCGTTCGAACAATTTTGGGCATAATTTTCGCCTCTGGCCATAACATTGAATGATAATGAATGTATCCCTGTATGATTCCATTGTAGCTGTGATGCTGACAGAGATCCATAGACAATAGGAAAATATCAGTGTAGTCCTTACAATGACAAACCTACCCAGGCCCCTAGCAGGGCAGGAAAGAGCAGGCGTTCCCTTATTACCATGTGGCAGAAGCTTTTGCCTTTTGTGGTGACACTCTCGCTCATTTTTCCACGGCAGTAAATAAGCTTGACGCACTCACTGAAGGAGAAGTAATGAATTTCTACCTTTACTATTGAAGGTATACATGAAATCATAACATGCACCGACACGTTTTGATGTCCTAAAGAGTAACTTAGCTTGTCCAAATTGTCTTCAAATAACTCAGTAACTCTCTAGTAAGCATCAATCCTCCATTTTCTCTCAACTCTCTGCCTGAACAATTAGGGGTTGCATCATGATTAAAATGCAATCTTGACTCAAATACTGATTTTTTTTCCGATTGTTTGACCGGGGCAGCAGCTGTTTATGACCTGCACGCTGTTCTTTTCCTTTGTGCGGTCAGCGAGCTTCTGGGTTGTTTGCAGAATAGGAATAATTCCCTCTTTTCCAGTTCTTAATGATTACAGGATCGGGCGGGTTCGTGTATCAAATTCTAGGTTTGATATTTAAAACAAAACATCCCTGATATGAAATTAAATTAGGCACAGCTGCATGCATGTTACCTAACATTTGAGCCACACCCGTATCGAGAGGAATTGGGAAGGCAAATTTGACCAAGAAATGTGTCCGAGGTGTAAGCAGTATCCATCATGCATGAAAAATAACAACAGATGCCCGTTGAATCATACTGGAAAACCAATTTAAAAAACCGGAAATAAACTCGAGCGAACCGGCTGTTAAGTTGAGTTAACGAGAACTTTGATGAATTCGCAATCGCCAATCCGTCTGAAGACAGAGAACACTGACCTTAGTCAAGCAAAGAATGAGAACATCTCGAAAACGCACAATTTACAAATAACAAGAGAATATCAATTATTCAATCGATAGGAGACCATCACAACGACTGCTCTGTGCGTCTTTTGTATATAAGCCTTCGTTAATCTATTCTTCTCCACAACTTTCCCGCCTACATCAGCTTCAGTCATTGATTCATCGTCTTGATAAACTTGATTATTTGTAAAAACTTGTCTGGGGCAGAAGTCCAGACACTCACTGAAATAATACTTAACGTCATCAAACTAGATCACACATCACAAGTCTGATACGCTGATTTCATAATCAGACTTAAATAATCACATTTGACTGACCACCACAATTTATTCATCATGAAAATCCCGCTACTATTAAAGATTGTTCGTCCAAATAAATCAATTTCAAAATCTAACCCAATGTTCTGATTACATTATTTAAAAGTGAGATCATGGAAAACTCGCGAAATTATTCTTTTTCTCAAACCACGCCTGCTTAAGTCTGATTAAAAAATTCCAGGGTTTGGACAATAATACTAGGTAAGTTAAATGGTTGACGATTCGTCTGAGACGATCGATAGAGGTAAGGAGTCTGGGACGGGTGGTGCATGGTAGAAACTCTCTCCCTTACTCAATGCTCAGGCCACTTCATGGCGGTGACAGAAGAAGGCTTCAGCTTTAGGTTATGGCCAGATAATTTGCATTTAAATTAGATGTTCGAGATAGCGTGACGGTTTCATTCATTTCTGTGCTCTCAAGATCAAGTATGTTATAGCCATCCGCTGGATTAATACTCTGATCGGTTGGCTCTATGGTAGCGTCGTATTCCCAGATCTCCTCAAGACATGGGCAGTGTCTGTATAACAATCTCCGTGAATTTTCCTGGAATTTCTTGGTAAGCAAGCAGAAGAATATAAAATTGGCGAATCCTTGTGCACTCTCACAAATTCCCTAGAAAAAAAATATGGAAATTGGGTAATAAAGAAAGATTGTGGGTTGTCCTGGAAAAGGATTGCGACACACACACAAGCGCTACTTTATTATCAGATAGACCGTTCACATAATATTGCCACTGCTTAATTATTTTTCGAGAGGGACACATCACCGAGGCTCAATCTATTTTTGTTTTAATTCTGCCTCGTTCTCTTTTACAAAGCATTCAAAGTATCTCCTGCAGTGAGCCAAACTTTTTTTAAAAAATGGGGATACTAGATGAGGTTTCTCCTGGGCAAAAAGGCCCCGGATCTAAATCCGTTGTTAGCAACGGGTACAACTAGTTTTTGTGGTCAGCTATTTCCTTCGACCTTTCCCTTAAACTAGATACTCTCTTTTTTGTTTGTTTTATATGCACGAGTTTAGGTAGTTGATACCACCACACCTACCTGCAAATAAACCAAAACTTCTTGGATGTTCAGTGTTTTTGTTGACTTTAATTCCTCCTCAGATGAAGATATATAAATACAGAAGCGAAGCATTCCACAGGATCGTAGAATAAGGAAAATAACAGGAACAAAAGTTAGCCTTTTGTCAGCTCTTTTGGCTGCATTTAGGGCATTACTTCTTATCCGATGTCTTTCGTTCCGATGCAACTGAAAACAAAGCAGTTTAAAATATATTTTTTAAACAAAAGAATACTATAAGAAAAAAATTCAACCTAGCTAAAAGAAAAGGCAATGATATGATCGGCTTAGGTTATACCACAGAGACGAAAAACGTAGGCTTTATTGCCAGCTGCTGCTCAGGAAACTTAAACTGAGCCCGAGCATCTCCCCCTCGAAGTGTATGGGACTGTGGGGAGGGGGGAGGGAGTGGGGCCATTATAGACTGGACCCGAAAACGGCGGGAAAACCAGCCTATGAAAAACTACAGGTCCAACTTTCATCATTCTGATCAGTTGTCACCTAGGATTACGATGAATAAAGAGTCTCACGAATAAAAGAAAACCAACGAGCGAACAGGAAGCAGAAAGTATTCTTTCAAAAGTTTGAGGCCTTTACAGTGTTTTATATCTGAAGAATTAAGTTCATTGAATATATAAATAAAATTCATAAAATAACAGATTAACGTTCCAACCATATGTTCTTCCCGTCGTTCTCTCAAAGAGAGAAAATTCTTAGTATCATCATCTCCCCAAAGAAATCGTGACAGCTAGTCCTGTTAAGTTTTGAATTGCGTGACAGCTTTGACCATATCATCATTATATACATCTCAAATTTCTAAAAGGCATTCATGAGCTTTAACTCGGTGAAGTAATATATACTCAGTAGTGAGTAATTAAGATTACAAAGGTTCTTCTAAGCTTATATGAATTTATTCATTGTACATTGTGGCCTGATGAATTTCTTAGCGCGTGTAAAGATTGTAAAGATTAAAGATCATAGCGGGATACATCATGATATCAGTTAAAAATTAGAACTGTTTATAATTTAAACTGTTTTTACCTCTTCGCGAAGATGCCACTTGAGCAATCCATAGAAAATCAAAATAAGAACAAAGACCAGTATTTCCCATGCTTTGCCAGTGACAAGCATCCAGATGATATAGCTGTGATGTTGAGTGCTTTTTCCACTACCCTGTACCTTAATCCAACACCAGGCAGAACTAAAGATATCACGGTCGTTCCCCAGAACACCCTCAAACAGAGCAAAGCTGACGACAAACACTGGCACCCCCCAACCTATGCCATGATACATCCAAAACATCTTTAAGGCCGTGCTGGGTTTTTGCATAGCTATCGTCGTGTACAAAAATATAGCCATAAAAAGAGTCCAAAAGAAGGACCATAAGTTAGCGGTGGTGGATATAAAACTCTGAGTTGTACAAGCGTTGGAGTTTGTGTTTTGAGGTAGATATGCGCCAAAGATGTAACTTGCGGCCACGATACTATCAGCGATGGAGATGTAAACCAAGATTCTTCTCGAAGTCGACCTCATATCCTTCCATTCAACGTATGTAATAATTATTATTGATGCCCCAAGCAGAGATAAAAGGCAGGTAATGGTTACCAAAGCGCGGTTTAAAGTTGTGTTTCCGATGTCTCCAAAACTCAAAGTAACGGGTGGATGCGTTGTTGATGCGTTGGCAAAATTCATCTTGATAGCCCAAGTTTACACGGTCGTGATTTCTCGTCCTTTCCTCTCGGCAATCAGATTTACGGCCCTTAATTTTTAAACTCAGTTAATGTTTCATACTTTTATGTCGACTCCATCATCACAAGAACGAAGATAAAAACGTTTCCTTCAAGCACCAGGTTGAGCTAGCCGCTCGAAGTGCTAAGGTTAGGCTTGTCACACAATCTCCGGAGCTTAAGCTGAGCAATTACCTAGAAAGAGGAATTCTTGGAAACAGCACGACTTGCGACCCGAAATCTCACTTGTTAAATAAAATATAAGGGCCTTGACGTAAAAAAAGATTGATAGAAATAACCGGTGCACGTGTACTTTAGTGTAAGAGAGATCGCCTGATACTGTTGAATTACGTCTTGTGACAAGGAGGTGGCTTTGCCACGAGTTCCTGCTTATTTCATTTAAGACTGACGTAATAAGATCCTAAAGGAAACATGAGATGGTCTGGCGTGCGCGTTAACACTTCTTCAATCTAGCACAGACATCGATCTTGAAAAAAACATGAGTTTACGCAGAGAAAACAAACAAACACTCATAAATCCCCCAAAATAAGACGCTTCAAATATTGCTATTTGCACCAAATATTTCCGCAAATCACCGACCATGTGCCTTCCCCGCTGTTTAAGACAGGAAACTTTAAGAGAGGTGTAAATTTTTGGCGATTTCATATAAACAGTGAGACAAAGGAAAAGAATATTCGACCCCTAACTAACTGTCGTGCTTTCAAGGCGTAAACGGGGAGTTTCGACGTTTTCTAAACGTGCTCGTAGGTGAAATAAGCGCTCCTACAAACTGTACAGCCTTGAAGGCACTGAGGAAGTTTTGACCCGAAACAAAAAGCATGGGTTAAAGGGAAGAAAAAACGTTTCAGACCTAAGAGATTAATCACCGCCCACAAGCATTCCTTAAAACGCTCTAAGAGCAAAAATTGGAGGGCGAGTAGCTCTAAAGTTAGTTACTTCCGTCACGCCTTCGTCACGCCACAAACATAGCAGGGAAAACGTATCAAGTAACAAAGAAGGTAACAACTGAGACGTGCTGAATCTCTCGATTGAGTGGTGCTTGAAGCAGCCTTGCAGAAATCGATGCATTCCTCAAATAATCTCCATTTGCTGATTGGCAGTGAAGCTAAGCACCACAGGGGCCCCTTATAGGAGGCCTCAATGCAAGTATGTCGCCAGAATCCCCTACCTTCGCTAACACGTCTTTTGAAACCGAAGCTAACTCACCAGTCAACAGAGTTCTTACAACTGTGTCAGCGAGTCTTTCGTTATTGGGAACTTCTCTGATCATAATCACATTCATCGCATGGAAAGACTTGAGATCGTCTTCCAGAAAGATACTTGTGTTTATTTCAATAGGCGATTTCTTAATCGCTGGAGGTAACTTGTCTGGAGTATGGTTGCCGGAAAATGATCGAACTATTGCTGCGTGCAAAGCTCAGAGTTTTGTCACAACTTGTGCCTCGCTTTGGTCATTTTTTTGGACGACTTTTCTATCCATATTCTTGTACACTACTGTGGCAAGAAAGCAGGCTGAAAAAGCTGACAAGATGCTGAGATATTTCCACATTTTTGCTTGGGTTATTCCGTTAACAGTAACTGGTATCGCCTTTAACAAGTTAGGAAATGACGATGATTTCTACAGTGCTGGCTGGTGTTGGGTCAGTGGCGAGTTGAAGACAAGTGAGAAACAAAAATGGATGTTACTCACAGGCAAAGTGTGGGAAGTGGCTGCATATGTTCTTATTTCTACATTTTATTGGATGTTAAAGTGTCATATTCGTAAGGAGGTAATGTGTATTGTGTGGTACTTGTACCTGCTACTTTTAGACACAACTATGCATCGGTTAGCCAGGATTTTCTTTCCTTTCTTCTTCAAAAAATCCAACTTTCTTATTTAAACTAATTCTGACTGTAAATATATGAAAATCATATATTTGACCTGCGGATAAAGAAATAAATATGGAAGTGATCTTTGCAGTTACGGTATTTTAATACATGACCTTTGCGATACCGGTGCATTGCTCTACCAGCTGAGCTAACAAGCCAACTGGGAGCTGGTCATTCTGTTGGTTCCAAATAAATCTGTGAAGTGATGAATAGCTGTCTGTAAATATGTGAAAATCATACATGTGAACCGGTATTGCAGAGGTCATGGGTTCAAATCCTGTACGGGCTTGAATTTTTGTTAGGCCTTATTTTCAGCACCACTTAAGTAGTGTTCATAACTGTAAAGATTGCTTTCATATTCATGAAACTGATTCTTTTCCTTAATACTTGACCAGAAATTTCATCATCACTTTGCAACATTATTTCTATGGTGATTGAAACCAAAGTTGGGATAGCTTGAGTTAAACTACAAAAATATGATTGGTTGAGTTAAAATACAACTTAAAATGTGATTGGTTGAATTAAACTTCAACTTAAAAAGTGATTGGTTGAGTTAAACTACAGCTTTGAAAGTGATCGGCTTATTGAACTGTCCAATAAGAACTATCCAATAACAAACTGTCTGATAACAACTTGGCAAATGAATTAGTGGAAAAAAGGAATTTTTGTAAAGTAATCACAATCAAGGAAATTGTAATTTTTATGATTATAATAATAATGATGATGATAAAAATCAAAACAGAGTATAAAACTATGTTTATTGAAGATTATTAAACCAATGATATAGATGATTTCATTAAAATTTGATTATTAAAAAGTAATTTGAAATTAACTCACACATTCAATCGATTGCATAAGAATTCAATTATTTAAAATCTATTTTAAAAAAGTAACACTTGAGCACAAGAAGTCCATTTGTGGCCCACATTAAGCATGTTCTATTCCTCACAGCAAGTGTTTTTCCACCTTCCATGTAGCTGTTAAATCTGTATTTAACCTTTAATTTCTTTACATGTAGGTCTATCATCGCCAAAAGTTTTCATCTCACCAGTCAAAGGAATTTGCTATTAAAGCAGAGAGAAGGCTTACATTGGTACCCATCATTTTTATTCTTGTGCGCATGTGGGGTACAATTCGCTTCATCATTTATTTGTCGAACAGTGTAGCAAATTTTAATTCAGAATGGGAAAAAGCTCTTCTTTACCTTCAGGTTAGTTTTTGAGTATCTTGAAGTCAAAACAAAGCAGTTGACCAACCAGTTGCTTCACAAAACATGCCATATTTTTAGATAAGGGGTTGTAAAGATGTGAATTTATTGATGGTTCTGTTGATTTTCTCATGATGTTGTCACTCCTGTGGTAGATTACAAAGTTCAAATTTACAAGTGCTTTCAATTGCAAATTTTCTTCAAGCAATGTACCAAAGATCAAGAAACAAGTGAGATTGTTTTTAGAACTGTGCTGTTGTGAACTACTTGGGAGTACATCACTAGGAGATCAAAGTGTTAAAATTTCAGCTGTTTCACTGAAAACCAACCAACCCCAGCATTCTAAGGTATCATAAGGTGATGCTTGACTGAATGACCTCATTGCTTGGAGAGGTATATCAAAGAAATGTCCTAATCCTAATTCACAATAAAAGTGACTTCATTAGAAAATTATTTATTTTGCAAATTATATTTTACATGTATTATCATTATTATTACTATCATCATTACATTATAATAATATTAATAAGTTTTTCATATGCTGCATTTTATAATTGGGTGGTTCTTCCTAAATTTGCCCAAGGTTCCCATGTGTAAGAGGAAAATTCTTTAGCTTTTTGTGTTGATTGAGGCAGATTTCCATACTATCACCAAAAATCTGCATCTTGAAAATTATTACTCAAGATCTTTGTTGATTTTATCCATACTCAACCATTGTTATTCTCCTTTCAGGACATTCTGTTCTCCTTGTTGTTTTTGAATCTTAGCAAGTTGTTAATCATTATTACCTTTTTTGTCTCTGTCATGTACTAGTAGCTTCTTGGTAATTGCCATAGAGTTCTGCAGTGTTTCCATACACCATAATACTAACAAATGGTTATGGTCCACAGTTACTATTAATTTCCATAACAAAGTTTGTTGGTTCATTGTTTTGTTTTTAAATTTTCAGGGAATTGGTGACAGCAGCCAAGGTTTTACAAACTTTTTACTATTTTGTCTTTTCACTAAAAAATTCAGAGTTAGTCTGAAACTTGCTGTTAAGGAATGTCTTATGTGCTGCAAATCACCATCAGATGATCCACCTCCAAGGATAGACACATCTGCTGAGTATCAAAATGGTCGTAGAACATTGATCAATGAAAGGTCAAGTCTTCTAGCAAGCACCAGCTCATCAGTAGAATAAGGACCATGAGTTCCATCTACAAAGGACACCAAGGAACCATTAATTCCATAATGATGACTACATGATGGACAGTATTAATCCTTTCACTCCCAAGATCTCATTAGCTATTCTCCTTACTGTCTACAATTGTAATGATATAACTTCTAAGAATTTGACATGTTTTTCTTTATTCTCATCTTTTATCTGCTTGATATTGTACAGATATTGTAGGGAGAAATTCTGTCTTGGTTACTCATGGGAGTTAAAGGGTTAACCAGACTTAAACCAAACTTAAACTTACTAATCAGTCAATAGAATAATTATTGGACTGCAGGTTACACTTGCTGTTGGGTATCTATTTTCCTGACGGCTAAAGGCCTTAAACTGATCATTCAAATTTTTTATCCTAAAGATATTCCTTCATTTTTGCTCTTCCAGAACTGAGTGGTAATACAAAACAAACAAAGGAAGAAGGAAAATCCGTATGAATAAAACCTCAGGCATCACTTGAAAGTTAATGAAAATATATTGTCTTGATTCCTTGAAACGCAAACTTGATTTCATTGAAACCCAAACGTGATCCTTTGAAACGCAGACACATGATTCAATGAAACGCGGGCTTGGTTCTTTGAGACGCAAACTTGATTCTTCGAAACGTAAACTTAATTACGGTTCAAGGAAATCAAGTCACGTTACAAATTGGGTCGAGAACGCATTGTGTGACAAAACTAGACCACTAGTGTGATGAAGAAAACTTACCTCTCTGTAATATTTGATTTCGGTTCAAGTGACTTTCTCTCACCTCCCCCTTGACTGAATTTTATTTGGCTAATACCATTCCTTTGTTTTATGACACTTTAACTGCCACGAGTGAACGCAAAGCAACAGCGCTCGCTTCGAAACGTGGATATGCCAAAGGGCAAAGGGAATACGCCTGCTGGCAACTGAGCACGTGTCTTGGCCAATGAGATAGGAAAAAAAGAGTGCAGGTACTTTCCTTTCATTTATGTTTTACTCAGAACCGTTATAACAAAAATGTTTCATTCGAATCGAAAATTGACTTAAATTTAAAATCCATCGACTTGAAAAAACCTGCTGATTTCCCAGATCGCCACTTTTCCAAATCAGTGAAGTTATTCAGTAAGTTAGCCGAGAAAGCAACCCGTGACGAATTCGGAACTAATCAACTGAATGGCAACCTGATGAGCTGCTTAGTCCAGAATAACAAAAACATCAAGGATAACGCTGATAACATGAAAAGCTCGTGACTGTTTTTGTGATGTCAGGAAAGGTTCGTTGTTAAATATACGACAGAACTTTTCATCTACGGCCCTTCACCGTCAAGTGCGAACAGGTTCAGCTTGTATACAATGTGCTCATGTTCAGCACATGTCTATTACAATGAACAAAACATTTATACTAGGGCGAAAACAGAGAACAATCATTTTCATCTTAATAGGATCGTCACAGAGCCCTCAGATTTACTTTCGATAATACCTTGTGAAGGTTTTTTGACTCTCTTATACGATGATGAATGTTCCGGAAAAAATTGTTTCAAGAGAAAATAGGCCCAATACTAAGGATTAGAGAGCCACAAGCAGTATGAGCGCCTCGCGTGACTTGTGACTGAAATGTGATCTGCATGTTCCCGTTACGAGATGTGCTTAGAGCATGTGACGAATGATGAAGCCTATTCTATAAGTATATTTGTTAGACTAAATGATTTTTAACCCTCAGCTCTATTTCATCTTAAAGGTTTGAAACTTCGAAGGTAGTGAAATGTTCTTAAAACAAATGTGACCGTCGTAACCATGAGCTACGACAAGGAAGCCGCCGGGGAGGTCAACAAAGCTTTGACAACAATCTCTGCAAGCTTCTCGTTATTAGGAACTTTTTTGATCATTGCAACATTTTTAGCATGGAAGGACTTTAGATCAAATTCCAGGCGAATATTGGTGTACATTTCCATCGCTGATTTCCACATAGCGGGAGGAAACTTACTCGGAGTATGGCTGGTAGACGAGAATAACAACGCGTGTAAGGCTCAGAGTTTTATTTCAACATGTGCTTCGCTTTGGTCGTTTTTTTGGACGGTTTTTCTTGGCATATATATGTACACTGCTGTGGCGAGACAACGGGGTAACAAAGCTGATGAAATGATGAAATTTTTCCACATCATTGGATGGGGTCTCCCTCTGGTTATTGTGAGTGTTGCGCTTGGACTTGGAAAGTTAGGCCAAGATCATGTAGATAGTGCTGGCTGGTGCTGGATTGACGGGCGTTTGAAGAAAGGAGAGAAAGAAATATGGATGTTATTCACAGGAAAAGCCTGGGAAATAACTGCTTATTTTCTTTGCTCAATATTTTACCTGATGTTAAAGTGTCGAATTCGCAAGGAGGTAAGTGAAGGTTCTCTTTGTATTTCTAGGACTGGGAAAGTGTTGTCCATAATTTTGGATTGGGGGTGTGGTCTGCCTCACTGTGCTTAAACTGTCAGGAAAATTTTTCTGCACCAGACACTTTCCTTTCTGGTGCTCAACAAACCACATAAATTAATTGTGTGTCGTTCTGCATCTTGAAAATTTTTAGTATTTTCTTCTTGTCATTTCCTAAGTATCTATTCACGCACACCATGAACATTGACAGGTTACAGTAGATATTAAACATGTTTAAAAAGTTCGACTTTTTTTCTGACAAAGTAAAATATAATGGACATTTTTTTCTCTCCTCCAGATATATAATGAGAAAGCGCAGTTTTCATCTCCTCAGTCAAAGGAAGCTGCCATAAAAGCCGAAAAAAGATTGATGCTAGTTCCAGTCACGTTCATTTTAATTCGCATTTGGGGAACACTTCGCTTCATCCTTTACACTTTCGCTGGTGTTCACAGTTTGAATACAACTTACGGAACAGTATTTCTTTATCTACAGGTTAGTTTTTTGTGATGTGCAGCTCAGTGTGACTTTTTTCTCGACTGGTGTGGTGGCCAATCTTACTATCTTCTGTGTTCTAATTTTGTTAAAATGTCTATGACGATCAAAATCACGAGACACTCAAGAGAATTGGATTCCCGTGTGGGTACTCGGCACCCGTGAAGTCCTGTCAGTTTGACCCCATTACCCGATTCGCGGAACATCGATAAAAAAAACCCCTTTGCCTTTCGGTTTCACATTATCTATCGGAAATCCATCCATCAATCAATCAATGTTGTTAATTCATAGTCAACAGCTCAATAACTTATTATTACACCTCACCCATGATAATCATTTCGTTCTAACTTAAAACAATGTCGCACAGAGCCCCTCAAAGGATGGCTGCAAAGGAGATACTCGAAAGCTAGCAAACTTTTTTGCTATAAAAAATTTTACTTGTATCAGATGAATGTGACAATGTGAACAGCGAAATGTTTCACTATCACACTGTCACGCAAACTTGCGGCTACATGGACTTCGTATTCAAGATAATACAACACAGTACAACTTATTAGTTACAATACATTAGTATTAGCTACAATTTATTAGTTATGTGTGTGGTCAGAGTTAAGCTCTGTTGCTAAAGTATAGTCAAGAACGCGCGCTGAATATGTCTACTTTCAATCACAGTTTACGGGGAGATTTCAGTGGGTCTTGTAAAAATGTAAGAGGCTGGAAAATGAAACTTTAGTGGGATTCCCTATGATTCATGACCCTTAAACTACTGTGACTTGAATTAATTGAGCGGATATTGCCCATACTAGGGGGTAGGGGGTAGGGGGAGGGAATACTCTAGAAAATTATATAGTCGGCCCAGAAGGCCTTTGTTATTTTCCTGTATCGTCTTTTGTAAGGTTTTTCAAAGAACTGCTTAGGAAGGAATGGGTAAAGCGATTATTCCAGCAGGAATAACGTCCATTGTTTTTTTGTCATAAATCAAATTTCTTTCCTTTCTTTGCTCTATAGGGAATTGGTGACAGTAGCCAGGGCTTTGCAAACTTCTTGCTGTTTTGCTTCTTCACTGAAAAATTCCAAAGTTGTCTAAATTATAGCGTTCAGAAACTTTCGCTGAATTGCAAGAGATCATTCACCCCTTCATCGATGGTGGAACTCGAAATATCTAGCCAAAAAACACGTAGTATCCAGTCAACAGATGAGAGGTCATATCTACTGCCTAAACCAGACATCGAAAGAGGTCCTTAATTGTGTTTGCATTACATTTTGGTTCTCACGTTATCACATCATCAGAACTTGGAGTGTAGGAATTAATGCACGAGGAGAAAAAAGGAAGATAAACTAAACGTTTAAACTCAAACGAAGGCAAAGCGTTAGCTTTACGCACTTCTAAGATACACTTTTGCCGGTACTCTTCTAAAAGTATCGTTTTCCCACATGTAGACTTACATGTAATTGTTTTCAGTATCAACTACAATTTGTGACAAACTGAAACTTGATTTTCCTCCAAAAATTTTACATTTTTCAGGCCCTGTATCTTCTAACTCTTTACCTTTAAAACCCTGGCAGATTAGCTGTAGGGTATTATTTAGGAAGTCTCTCGATGAATTTTATTTTGTATAGTGTAGTTACTGCAGGTTTGCGTTAGCAAAATTCATATTTTATTTGATTTTCATTTTTATTATATCTGTGTTTTTATCATTTAAATAGGATCCCCTTGATAACAGTACCTTTGTACTGAGGGTCTATCCTGTATAAATATTAATTACTATATAATTATTATTATTATTAAGTTCAAACAAAATATTACTTTGTTCATGGCAATGTGTGTTTCATGTATCAGTTGGTCGCAATGTTCTCCAAGAAATTATTTTGTCTTGTCCAAGTTAAATTTGAATGAAACTCTCAAGTAAATACAAATGTATATTTAAGTAAGGAGAATATATTTATGGTTCCGTATTTCTTAGCACAAGTCATTCAAATCATGATCCATACTGAAGGAATTTACTAAAGATATCAGAGGTACAAGTAAAATTTGAATTTTTTTTTTCCCCTTAATTCTGGGTCAAGTGAAAACAATAATTGTTATGATGAGGTAAAAATTTGGATGGAAATAATTCCCACTATATAAGAGAAGACAAAGACAAAGAAAGAATAACAAAGAGTAGAAATCTCAAAATATAGTTTCACTCATATCACCTGTGACGGCATTTTGGTTTTTAAGGTACATTTCAATAAAATTTTGGTGCTCATGAAAAATATATATATATTTTGCTCACTTTAAGAGAACATCTGTATCAGGCTGACTGGTCAAAATCTACTTTGTAGTAAAGTTTGAACAGTCAGAAACTAGTGCAAAAGGCTATTTAAGTATAAAGTTAGTTTTGAGCTTCATATAAACAAACTAAGTACATTAATTTAATTAGCTACACAATCATTATCAGAAATTGTTATAAAAATGAAAATCCTAGTTACACAATCAAGGAATTCCATTGTAATCTTACTGGTTTCTAACAAACAAAATTCTAACAAGTAATGGTAATAGGATTGAGTGAAGTCCAATTCAGTCTGTTACTGTAATAATCATTAACAAAATTAGACAAAATCCCAGCAGGAGTGTGATTTGTTAATTAAAAGTATGATTACAGACAGAAATGGTTTAATCATTACTATTATAACTTCTGAAAAGAAAATTTTAAAAACTGTGGAAAGAAGAGAAAGTTGGGAAAAATATCTCGGATAGAGACATTGTCTGACGTAAAAAAATCTTTCATTTTGGAAACCCCCAGTTTTGTAGGGAAGTGGTTGTTGCTATGGCTATTATAATCAATTTTTCAATAGGTGGGTTTCATTGAGTGGACTTAGTATAACTGGCTGCTTTAGCTGTCCATTTACAGGTGTCCAATTACAACAAACTGTTCAATTTCACTGTCCAACTACAACTCTACAGAATAATTAAAGAAAAAAAATGCAGCTTATGCACCAATCACATTGAAGGAAATTGCAATGGTTATGATTATACCTGAAAAGAGTATGCTTTTAAAACATCATTTGCCATACCAACACATGTAGAGTAATCACAAAGTACTTTTTCAAATCCATTCCCTGCTCTTTGCAGTGAGCCGCCAAGGAGAGTGTATTTACTGTCTAGATTGTTTGAACTCTTTGACCAACAGTAAGTTCTGATGGAGTAATCCCTTGAGCAAGATATCACTCTGTAACTGTCAATATACAGCCCTGTAATCGGTCCCTCATGACTAGTATGGGTTTGTAATGCCTCAAGTGAGTTTAAATCCCACAAACGGACAGTATGATCATGGCCAGCAGTTACCAAAGTTGATCCCCTCGTATTGATACATGACACCTCTCCTATGTGTCCCTGAAAACAATGAATCTGCTGCCTAGTGTCTGTATTCCAGAGGATGACATCACCAATGTTGAACCCTGCAATAATTTGGTTCTGTTTGCCATGAACCCAACTAAAGCAAGTCACAACTGAATCAGATGGATGCTGAAGGATTTGCATCTCAGGGCTCTTCCAGCAGTCTGGTGCAAGGTGTCTTATATCAAATATCTTGATGGTGCTTTCAGACTTAGAGGCTACAGCCATAAGATGGTCAGATTGAAGTTTCACACAATTTAACCCAAATGAACATGTTAGCTCATATTGAGGACTTAATGTCTGCCGTGGATCCCACATCTTAACATAGCCATCTCTGAACCCAACAAAAAGAAGTTGGTCTCCACCTCTCTCTTGTCCAATTACATCTTTTCCACACACCATTGAGGTTACGACAGCAGAATGGCTGCCTTGCAAAGGAGAGGCTTGCTCTGTATTTATGTCCCACAACTTGATGTTCCCTCCAACATCTCCACTTGCCATCAGAGTATTATTGGAGAAAACTGTTAGACAGGCAACTGATGATTCATGAGATTGCCTCTTCCACAAACTTCTTCCTTCTCGCACATTCCATACACATACAGACTTGTCTTGACTGCAGCTTGCAACAATTGGATAGACATTCTTCTCAATTATTTCCTCATTATAAACATCATTGCTTGTGACAAAAACTGCATCTGTGATCTGGCCCTTATGCCCACGTAATGTTTTGCATACATAATCTTGGCCTGGCCTCCCTGTGGCTACACCAGTTTCAATCTTATTCCGAGCCACATAGTACCTCTGCCATGTTCTCTCTCCTTGAAAGAGGAAGAAATCAAATCAATTATTTATTCTTGATGACGACCTTCTTAACCCTTTAACTACCACATCAAATTTGTAATTCTCCTTACTTTCAACCATACAATTCTCATAATGTTAGTTCAAAGAATCTATTATTGAATCAACTAATTATCCCCAAATTGATATGTTTCTTTATTTTCATCACTTATCTGGTTGATATTGTATTGATATTGTGAGGAGAAATTCTGTCTTAGTCACTCATAGGAATTAAAGCCTTAAATGACATCTATGTTATGTTTAAAGTGACATTTATAACATAACACATTCACAGTCTTTAAGACAACCATGCCTACCTAAATCTATCAATAGAAAGTATAATAGATCAATTGTAGAAAAAGTAGATACTGGTAGATATCAAGGTTCGAAAAGCAACAGATGAAGTTGTTGTAATTTTAAAACTATAAAAATAGTAAGAATTTAATTTCATCCTGTATTTCCCTACTTCCTATAATAAATTTTGTGCTAGTTTGAATGCATTAAGCCTCTGCAATATAAAACGCAACACTGATTTTGGGTTAGGGGGCTAAAATCAAGTGTATGAGAGATGCAATGATTTTCCAGTATTCATATAAACATAGGAGGGCGTTTCAACTCCTTTGTCATTGATTGTCACTCATTGTCACATAATTACAGAAATAAATGGTTTGTTAAGAGATGAAACTCAACAGTATCAATACTGAGACTTTGGCAAATTGTCTTGATACTAAATAAAGACATTTTTCCACCACTAAATAGCGTTCCCTTCCGCTCTCCCTTTGAATATTGGAACATGCCATTATCTAAGAGAGTAAACAAGCTCTAACACAGTCCTACAGTCTCTGTGCATCACTGTAATGGAGGGATGGGAGAGAATAAAAAAACTGGTGAGAAATTCCCATTTTGAAAATAATTATTTCTAACGCACGAACCAGGTTTCAGTTTTCCCAGATGACAGAAGTTCCATTTCTGCAAACAATGCTTCTTCCATAAAGAACCAACTTGGGAGGCTTCATACCAATTTTTGCAGACTTGAGAGCATTTAGAAAGTTCTCCAGGCGAAAGATAACTGAAAATATTTACAAGTTCGTCAAAAGAAAATATATTTCCTTCTTGGTCCGCCATTGCTAGATTACTTCCCAGGGTACTTTGCAGGTGATAAAGAGCCCACAATTTCCCAGCGGCCTCTTCCCTGAGTGACACAATGTGTCTTGAAACATAAAGTAATCAGTGGAAGCACATTGCAGTTTGGTCGTTTTGACAAAGTACCTCTCTCTTCTCAAAACTTAGACAGGATAGTTGAAAATTCCAGTCTCTCTGTGTTAATTGAGACTTCCCAGCCAAATAAGAACATGGCAGATTCACATTCAGAACGTTTTGATGGAATGTTGCTCGCGATTGCACAGCAATGCGAAGGAGGGATTGCTGAGGTACGTGGGAGAAATTACTTAATCTGTATCCAGGTTGATTTTCTTTGGAACAGATCTATAAATATGCCATTAAATATGCCACTAAAGTGTCGTTTCCCGCTGAAGCTATGTTATCTGTGAGGTGCACACCCCAGCTTGCATCAAGCAAGTCAAGAAGTATTGAAAATACCATAACATCTTTTCTGATCTTTTAATTGTTTCGCTATATGTTCGTCACATTTTTCACATTCGATGTCATTGAAAAATGTTCCTTAACAGTTGCTAGATGTATTCTTTGGATTTCTGGAAAGAAAAACAGACTTTTTCATTGGGGCTGGGAAAGCAAATGCTGAAAAAATGGTACTGAGCAAGTTCAAGGAGCATCAGAAGAAAGTTGAAGAGGTTTGTTTGAATTATACGTTACTTGAATTAATTCTTATCATTTATTTATTTATTTACTGAGCTTTAAATGTTTTGTACAAGGTATCATATGTACATTTATGTAACCCATGAATACTATTTTTTTTTTAATTGTTTGCATGCATTTTAAAAGTTCAATGCCCCACACCATCAGATCAGTTACATTTTTTCATTAGGTGTTGTGAGGCTCATGCAAAGTGTAGTGAATCCAAGTTGTGAATTTGGAATAACTGCAGACTATTAAGTTTGATTCCTCTTATTTGAAATACAGCTCCAGTTGTTTCAAGCTTCATAATATTTTAAAATTGGAATTACATGTAGTAGCTTGGGAATTGTAAGGTCTCTGTCTGATTCCAGTGGACAGCTCCCTTGTTTTTGCATTGAATTGTTCAACATTTGTTCTTTTCTTACTAGAGAGGAGCAGTTTTTGTTACTGACTTCTTTATTGAGGATATGCAAATAACATTATTTTCTTGTGGTTTTTTGTTTACCAGAAAAAGGAAAAAGAGAAGAAGGAGGCTGAAGCTTTGAAAGCAGCAAAAGCTAATAAGGAAGCACAGCAGAAAACAGAGGCAAAAATACAAGAAGTGACAGAGGAAGAAGCAGAGAGGATAAAAAGTGAAGAACAGGAAAGAAAAGAAAAGCAACAAAAAGAGACTGAAGAAAAAAACACAAAAAAAGATGGAAAGGCTGAAAATGGAGAGGTTAGCCTTTATTCTTATCATTAAGAAGTTGTACAAACATGTCAAGTGCTTTCTTTTAGTTTCAGAACATTTTCCTATTTACACTTAATGGATACATAAATAGATATCTCATGCTTTTGATGTACATGGAAAAATTTTTTCCTTGTTTGGTGTAGTTTTAATGCTTGGTAAGGATTTTTTAACTCTTTGGCTTATTCTTTACCCTGCTAGACTGCCAAAGCTGAAGGCTCTGAGGATGAAGATGAAGATGCTAAAGGAAAACTTAAACCTAACTCTGGCAATGGAGCTGACCTTGAAAACTATAGATGGACACAAGTAAGTTGACAAGCGTTATTCCACTTCTTACGACTAGTAAGCTTGCCAAGCTACCTGATGAAACTAGTGAGCTTATATCACCCACATGAAAATCTGTTTGAAACATCAAATTCTGTATACCATTACTGTATTTTACAATAAAACTCATTCAAGCTCCTGTGGTGTTGGCCATTAGCTATGTGTGTATCTATACAAGACTTGATTTTTTTTTTCAACTGACTTTTACCTTATATGAACTTTTTTTATATATTTATTTCAGACATTGCAAGAAGTAGAGGTGAGCAGATTTATGTACAACAGTCAGAGGAATAAAAAATTACAACCTGTCTGTTTTATTATTTCAATGTTATGACTTCAAAATTATTACCTTTTTCAAAATAAAGCTGCCTATCAGGAATTAATGTGATCTGTAAGAGCAAACATTGTTAATATTTCTATACAATATTTACCATTTTTATTTAAATTATGTGAACCAATTCCCTGATCACTAACTTGATGACTTTTTCCAGTTCAAGTTTCCAATGGCATGTGCCCTGCCATCTTTCTTAAATTTTTTTTTTTTTCATATGAATGACTGGTAGCTGTTCACAAGCTAGTCACCAGCACTAAAATATTCATCACCTTAATATGTAAACTAGTGGGAAGGTTGTTTGTTTGTATTTAAAATTTTTATAAAATTCCACTGTGATGAATTTACATCCTTCACTTGGAAGTCAGCATGGAATGATGGATTCATACTGATATTGTTGAGCTTCTCCTTGTTTACTTGAAGAAGCTGTGATCAAATAAGCTGATAAGATCTGACAATGCTGGCATACAATATTGTGGCACTGTTCTCTGAAATATAACAAAATGCAAATTTTATTAATAATGTTGTTCTTTTTGGAATGGAATTTAAGGCCTGGATTCCTTTAAAAGTCAGTTTTAAAGTGAAAGGAAGAGATGTAATAGTGGATATACAGCAGTCTGTAAGTTTTTTATTAATAGTAATTTTTACATGACCAAACTAACAATTAAAAACAAAGAACCAAACTACATCAGAACATTGACTGTAGGCTAAACCCTACAGGCTGTGGAGAGTTTATCATCATGAACACATAATGTTGTGGTTCATTTAATTGACTGCTGGTTAAAATTTGATTTTCCCCTTTTCTAGCTTTGTCGTTTTGTACAAATCTTTGATAGAAACGCTTTTATTACTTAAGGAAGTGGTATTTGAAATAAGGGTTAAAAGTGAAGCCTAAAATATGAATCAAAATGTGCAAGTTCTTCTTTTGTCACCTAGTAAGTTTCCTCTGATGAAGCTTTTGTTATTCTGATGAAGTGCATTTAGTGCTCATCCTCACTTCAAATGTTCTGGTCAAATTTTTTTAAGAGGTGTCCTTGGTGAACAACATGTGGATAGTACTGAAATATTTCTGAAAGTTTGGGTTAAATTAGCTGGTTATTTTGCCCAAAACTGACTTACCCAAACTGAAACTATCAGGTATAAAATTTTGGTATAATTAATTGTTTTTCTCTCTTCCTCTGTACATAGCATTTAAAAGTTGGCTTAAAAGGACATCCACCTATAATTGATGGAGACCTGCCAAAGAAGGTAGCTATAATTTAATTTACCTTTAATATACAGGAGAATTTTTAAAAATGCAAAATAAACAAAAAGGATTTTGGTAAACAGCGATAACAATTTTTTATTAGGTGAAGATTGAGGAGTGCTCATGGGTACTGCAGGATCAGAAAAATGTTGTCATCACCCTAGAAAAAGTAAGTGAAAACCAGTTTAATTGGGTTAATTTTTCTACATAAAAGACTTAAACTTTCAATAAAAGTCATGAATTTAAAGGCATGCAATTGGCAGTTATGTTGTTAGTAAGGATCTTTCCCTCTTTTAAAGATTCTGTAATATTGCACAAAATGTTCTTTTCTGTTTGAAAGGAGTTAGCAAGATTGTCATTTTAGAAGAAAAAGCTGTCAGTAGTGGTTGCATTTTTGTTAATAGTTGCCATTTTACTAGAAATTTTCTAGACTAGTAAAATTTTTTTTCCCTGGCAACCATTTCAGGATTTCAGATCACAAAATGGTGACTGTATAGATTTGAGTTTTGAGCCCTTTTAGCCACTGTAATGGCAGTTTTTATGGATTTTTTATGTTCTTTTCATATTAAACTAGTTATTTATTGTTAATTGCTAATCAACCCATGTGTGTGTTTTGTCAGGTTAATAAAATGGAATGGTGGTCACACCTGTTGACAACAGATCCGGAGATTAACACCAAAAAAGTTCAACCAGAAAATTCAAAGGTTAGAATATTCCAAGGGTGTAATATGGAGAAAATTATAAAATCGCCACAACAATTATTGTTGATGTCTTCAGCAGAAACATAGCAGCTTAAGCTCAAGCGTCAGCTAATGCATTGGCAAAATAATGCTCACAAAATTAGCTTAGAGACTCTTTATGGTGGCCAATATACTTTATAAATTCATTTGATAAAGCCAAATTATCTTGTTATACCCCCACCAACAGTTTCTCTAGAAACTTACCCTCTTTATTCAAACTCTGAAAACTTTGAGCAGCAGAAATATTTTGAAAATGTAACTGTGTTTCAAAAAAAAAACAAATCAGCAGAGATAATTTTTTTGTGATTTTGAGGTTTACCCCTGCTCCTGTTTGCCCTGCCAGGATGAAATCAAAAGTGTGGACAGTTTTCTTGGTAAATTAATAATAAATTTATTTTATATTTGATTAAAACATATTAGCAAACATCATTTATTGCTGTCTTTACTGCAGCTTGGGGATTTAGATGATGAAACAAGAGGAATGGTAGAGAAAATGATGTTTGATCAAAGACAAAAAGCTGTAAGTGTTAAAATATGTCATCAGATATATTACAAACTATAAGATGGAAAAATGGGGTAGTGGCCTCATTAAAAGTAACAACAATCCAACATGTAAACATCATTTGAAGACAAATGGAGTAGAAGAAAATTTAAATGTTTACTTCAATTGGAACTGAGTCAAAACTCAAATAATGGCAAGTGCACAGCAGAAAAACATACTGTAGGTGGTTAATCAAGACTGGAAATTCGGAACTTCTGAGAAGTCAACTTCAGTTGTAACATTTAAATTATTGATTACCCAAACATTTGTTTTTTCACTAGATGGGATTACCCACTTCAGAAGAACAGAAAAAGCAAGATATCCTAAAAAAGTGAGTTTTTTTGTCCCTCAAGAATGGAGTTGAAATGCCCATTGTCTGGCTTACTTACTTGAATTACATCACTAAGGAAGTTCAGGACCTTGCACCATTATTTTTACCTGTCAAGGTAGTGAGTACAAACTCCTATGGATCGTGTTTTCATTGGTAGGCAATACCTGTGTGATGTTTGAAAGAGGAGTTTACAAAAACAAAAAAGTTTGTTTCCTATCACAACTGACATTTGGTGGTTTGGCTTAGGAAATTTTCCCAATGAACATATATCACTTATATATGTGTGTGTGTTATGTTTTTTAAGTAAGGAGGCCTACCTTGTATAAGCCCTGTGGTGTTTGGAGGCCCCCTTGCCATCTATTAAAAATATTGTTATTCAACAAGTGCTGTAAACTTACTTAGTTGGTGATGTAAACCACCTCTCTCTTTATGAATGACAAATAAAATTGTAATTTCATATTTGCTCCTTTTTGCCAGGTTCATGGAACAACACCCAGAGATGGACTTCTCAAAAGCCAAGTTTTCATGAACTTTATTCAAGTTAATGATGCAAATCAAATCATGCCACCAGTTTATTGCTCAAAATTTAATGTGAAACGAAGCAAAATCATGGCGAATCAATGCTTGGTTTTCACAAAGGACATTTAGTGTGTTGTCTGTTACTTTGTGCTTTGCAGTAATATTTTTATTCTCTTTTCAACAAAAGCTTATGATCAGTCATTCTACTCAGCTGCTGTTCTTTAGGATATCATGCTAGACTTGTTCCAATAGAAAATCAGTGAACTGGCATTAGAGATTAGTTTGCCCTCTTTCTTTTTTACTTTAGAATAAAGAACACCATGGATTGTGATACTGCAAACAAAAATGACCCAAGATAGCACTTAGAACTATAAAATTGGGTTCATAGAATTATCGGGTACTCATCAGTCAAATAAACAGTAACCTTTCATTAAGTTTGTAGTTCTCTCAGTAGTTAATCAATTTGTTGGGTAGTGCTTCCACGATGTTTTTTTCTTATATTCAGTTCAAATTCATGGTCCCCATATAATTACATGTGAATGCAAAATAATACATATTTGCAGTTAAAATTAGAAAGGCCAACGGATCATCGACAATGGAGATCAAGACCCCGGCCAAATGGAGACAGATGCAATGAACTAGGCGAGTGAGATAGCCATTTTTACGTGGCGATACATCAGAATTACAAAAGAACTTGAGCGCTCTAAGAATAAGTCTTTTCACATGGGTTGGAAGGGTTACTCGCAACTCAACGACCTTTTTTTAGCCTCAAGAGTACTATACATCGAGATGTTATGATTTCACTTGAACATTAGGAAGGTTACCGGGGAGCAGGTAATTTTGTGTTAACAACTGAGTTAAAAACATAAATTGGCCACCGTAAAGAGTAAAAAAGCTGACGTTTTGAGCGTTAGCTCTATCGCTCTGACGAAGGGCTAACGCTCGAAACGTCAGCTTTTTTTACTCGCCAGTTACGTTTTGTCAACTCAGTCGTTAACACTAAATTACCTGCTAAATTACCTCTCCCATCGACGCAGCACCATAGCTTCTTTAGAAATTTACCCTCTTTATTCATTTACCAGGGAACCTCGACTTTACGTGCCCCTGTTGGTTTTGGTAGTTTAACGGACCAGTTTCACATGTCGAAGGTACATGCAGGCTAAATTCCTTCAGTTATTATCGTCAATTATACATTGTTATGGACTAAGGCGTAATATAGGGCGATCGATGAAGTCGATGTATATCACGCTTGAAATATTTCTTTCAAAGACCTGAAATGCATGAATGAACTAGCCCCAATTCGGCCAGCGGCATTTCCTAACGGACCAATCAGATGAAAGTGGAATCAACGAGTGGCAATTTCAAAACTGTTCCCTCTCGTAACTTTATGAAGGAGTTTTTCGCGCAGATTTGTATGGTAAATATTGTAAGTTCTTCTGATTTTAATCGCTGAAAACAATTGTTTGGTAGAAAAAAATGTCTGAGCATCAACGCAGTTCTATTTCGGACGGCGAAGAAGAGCCTGATGATGGTCAGATCGACCATCCTAACCGTGACAATGACGCGGACATTCGCAAGAATCTCTTCGATGAGTTTGATGATCCTGTAAAAGAAAAGACCTCTTCGGACACTTCTGGGAGAGAATACATTAAGGTTTATTTAAGAGCACGGCCGTTTAGTAGCGAAGAACTCGAGGCAAACGAAGATCAACAATGTGTAGAGAGAGAAAGCCGTACTTCGGTCTTGATGAACGCGCCAAAGGAATCGTTTGCATTCAAAAACAGCACTCGGGCTGGCGGTGAGATTTCGCATCGATTTTCGTTCACAAATGTGTTTAGTGAGGATACAACACAGAAAGTTTTCTTCGATGAGACAACTCTTCCTTTGGTAACGGACTTCATTAAGGGACAAAATTGTTTGGTTTTTACCTACGGGGTGACTAACTCGGGAAAGGTAAGCGAGCTTTCTGTTTTATTTGAACATTTGTAACTACGCGATCAGTGAGCTGCAACCTCTTTACTTTCTTTCGAATACAAATTGGATTCATGGTAATAAGCTGTAAAAGGATATAACACTTATTAATTTGGTTGGGTGTCGTTTTGATGTCAGTTACATGTTGATATGATTTATTCTAGTTGAGTTGGGTCGTATACTTCAAAACATCTTTGTTTTCGGTGTTTCTTTTAGACTTACACAATTCAAGGAACCCCCAAAGATGGTGGGATTCTACCTCGAAGTCTTGATGTACTCTTCAACAGTATAGAGGGAAAGAGTTACGAGAGAATGGACCTCAAACCAAGATTCTGCACAGATGTTGTTAGGCTTACATATGACGAGGAACAGAAGGAAAGTAATTTCAAGTGTGCGTTACTCTCGTCTCTCAACAAAGAGGTGAGTTACAGCAATTAATGGTGGGTGATATTTTTTTGAACCGAGCTCTCATACATCTTAAATGAATACTTTATACACTCTTTTTCAAGGAACATCAAATGTTTTACGATTTGCGATTTTTTCGATTTGAGCCTGAAAACGTTCTTATCATGTTCTTAAGTTGTGTGGTATAGTATTCAATAAATCAATTATTCAATAATCTTACTGCCTGGAGTTGTGTTCTAAGGTTTTTGTTTAGGGATAAAAAGTAGCAATGGAACATGATCACCAGCATTTACTGCTGCTGATAAGGCCTCTTACGTCCGTCTTCCAAGACTTTATTTAACATTGTGAATGATTTGCATGGTCACTTGCATGACACAATATTGCAGCCAATAGTGAAAAAGAAAAGAGTCTGTTTTGAGAAAGGGAGGCTTTTTGAGATGGGAAACTCATAGATGCATTTATGGTATTGCAAGATATTCATCAGGAAAAGCAGTCATCTATGTATTTGCATTATTCTTTCAGACTTTTGACATAAATGCATTTCTCAAACTGGACCAAGACTCTACTGCTGACTTGTCAAAAGTCAGTTGCATTGATGACTCAGTTCTGCATAACACAATCAAGAGTCAGGATGGAGGACATGAAGGTATTTAACATTTTATCCAAACAAGATGCAAGGTTACTTCAGTTGTAGCTCCCACTTAAGCATGGTTTCATTTTTTTTAATGAAAATTCATCTCAAATCCTCCTTTATTCAAGAATTTTCTAAAGAGATTTTTGCCAAGTGAAGTAGTTAAACACCAGTATTTTCTCTAGATTTAATTGATCCTGTCGTGTCATTTCAGAGTCCTCCATCGACAATGACGAGAATATCTCTCGGGTGGCAGATGACACCACAATCAATGTAGATGCACAAGGACCAGTCAAATTCTCTGTTTGGGTTTCTTATGCTGAAATCTACAATGAAACAATCTTTGATTTGTTGGAGCCATGTCCAACAGGGAAAGGTAAAAAAAGAACAACACTCAGACTTGGTGATGATGCAAACGGGAACCCCTATATCAAAGGTATGTGCTGAATAAAGACTAAAGTGGAACCTTTGAACATTGCTTTGTTATTTTATTAATTACTGAGAAATGATCAATAAATGAGTTAACTTTATTATTTTTACAAATTTAGAAGGTACAAAAAAGGTAAATGTTATGTTCCCTTGAGCATGAACAGTACTGTATGCTTCCCAGTGTTTTCCACAGTTCTTTCCCTTGCAAGCAGTGTGGTCTATTTATTACATTTGAGACATCCAGATTTTGTGGTACAAGCTACTTGAGTCTTAACATAGATCTGTGCTTTCTGTACTTAGATACAACAACCAGATCCTAGCACCTGACAATCTGTCACAGCTATCTAGTTTGCCTTCCTTTCCAAACAATAATTTTTTGACTGATTTTTTTTATTAAAACTGCACACTCAGCTAGACTGGTCAATTGTGTCATCAGTTGTCAGGGATTTGACAGTTTCAGTGGCCTAAGTCACCAATACCTGCCTCTTCTTTTTCATTATATATTTGCTCATTTTATAAATTGTAATTTCAAATATGGTTAAGAAGTTATGCTACAATGATGATGATCTAGTAAAGTGGAAAATTTAGGCAAATTGTTAATGATGCCTGTTTGCATTTATTAATGAAGGATTGAGAGAAATTTACGTCTCCAATGCTGATGAAGCCTACAAGGTAAGATATACTTCCATCCTTAATCTTTTTCCCCTCTTGGTTACCTGCACTTAAATAACAACAGTGTAATTATAACTGTGTTTGTTTCAATTTCTCAGAGGAGCGACACAGTGATACTAAACAATCTTATTTCTTTTTTTCTGTGTAGATTCTTAAGATTGGCCAGAAAAATCAAAGAATAGCTTCCACAAAGTTAAACCAGTGTTCCAGTCGTAGGTAAATACAACAAATTATCATGGTCAGTTACATTAGGCTCTTTAAAAATGGTCTCTTTTTCATTTACTCTACAACACATTATTTTGTTGCCAACTAGCATGGTGAGATAATGATGATGACAATGATGGTGGTGGTGGTTGTAGTGGTATTGATGATGATGTTGACACACAGAAGTAGACTTTCTCATAGTTTTATGTCACTAACAAAGCAATTCTTTCATTCTTCAGTCACTGTATCTTCAGTATCAAGGTTCTGCGAGTAGTTGATGTTGATGATCCTCATGTAGCAAGAGTTAGCAGGTAAGTGACCATGTCATGCAATTTTTCTTGATATTATTGTTTTAGAAATCACAGTTCAAAATTATTTAATAGAAAACTATAACACATCATCAACTTGCTGTAAAGTAGCCTCCAGAACCTATATAGTTATAGAGGCACATGGCTCCATGTGCAGTTTTACTTAAAATACTTATACCACAGTTACAGTTAACATAATTTTTTTTTTCTGCAGACTCTCATTTGTAGATTTAGCAGGATCTGAGCGCTACTCAAAAACCCAGAGCAAGGGAGACAGACTCAAAGAAGCTGGTAACATCAACACTTCCTTGATGACTTTAGGCAAATGCCTGGAATATTTACGTTACAATCAGAAAAACCCGTAAGTAGGATTTATCCAGTAAACTGCAAATCCATGTTGATAATAGTTTTTAGCTTTCGAATTAGCCTCAATCATACTGCTGTACTTTATGTTTTTGTTTTGTTGAAACAAATGTTATATCTTTTACCATAGACAAACTTTTCATTTATTTTTGTAGGAATCAACCCCTTATTATCCCATTCCGTGAAAGTAAACTCACTAGACTGTTTCAGGGATTTTTCTGTGGAAAAGGAAGGGCTTCCATGATTGTCAATGTTAACATGTGTGCTTCTATGTTTGATGAAACATTCCATGTGATGAAGTTTTCAGCTATCGCCAAAAAGGTTAGAAAATATTTGAAAATTGTCCATCTTTATATACTGGATTTTACCTGACATGTATCATTAATACAAAAAAAGAGGCTTTGGAGAATTTAATGAAGAAAGTTAGCAATTAGAAGCCAAATATTTCAGTGTACAGTTTGATG